TGAGAAGGTTTTTGATTACACTGAATTTTTTCAAATATATGTTTGCTATTGCACTGAAATATTTAAAGTGTACTAGTCGTTCATAGTGATATCTCTGATTGTATTATTTTTTTTTTTTTCTGCTGTTTTGAACCTCCTATTTTTCGCTGTAAAAAATCACATGAATTTTACATTTTTCAATAATTATTGGTATACTGCTTACATTTTCTTGTCTTTGTCTCTTGAATTGTTCCGTAAGTAAGAACAAAGAGAGAGAGAAGAAAAAAACAAAAATTATAATCAAAATAGGGAAAAGAAATTAGCGAAAGGGAATCATTTTGAATGTTTACACACTTTAATTATTATTTAACCTTTTTTTTTTTAAATTAAAGAAGATTAAATTATTTTTGAATTTTATTTATTATAATAATAGTCTTATTATAAAACAAATATACATTTCATTTGAATCCTTATATTGTAATAGTTTAAGGAAGAAGAAAAATAAAAAAGAAACAGAAAATGGCTTCAATTAATTTGAAAGTTCCATTGACTTCTGAAGAATCTCAATTCTTTAATAGTAAATTTAAAGAATTGGATACTGATTCATTAGGTGTATTGACAGGTGAAAATTCAAGATCACTATTTGCTAATTCAGGTTTATCATCTCATATTTTATCACAAATTTGGGCATTGGTTGATATTAATAACAAGGGGTTTTTAAATTTTAATGAATTTTCAGCTGCTTTACGTTGTATAGGTATGTTACAAACTTATTCAAATTTACCAATTAATAATACACTATATGAAAATCCTTTACAAAAAATGCCAAATCTTCAAGGATCTTCAATTACAAATATGACAATTAATGATTCATCATTAAGTATACCATTACCTTCATCATCTGATATTATTAAATTTGCAGAATTATTTGATAGAACAGCTGGTATTGGTAATAATATTTTAACTGGTGATAAAGCAAAAGATATTTTTTTAAAAGCAAGATTGCCAAATCAAACTTTAGGTGAAATATGGGGTTTATGTGATAAAAATGCTTCAGGTTCTTTAGAAAAACCTGAATTTATTATGGCAATGTATTTAATTCAATTATCAATGACAGGAAATCCTTCAATGAATGTTATTCCAACTAATTTGCCTCAATCATTATGGACTGCAGTATCTAATATACCACAACAACAATCCTTTTCTAATAATATGACAATGCCGGGTACTTTAAGTACAAATTCAACAGGTACTTCTACTACATTAGGTAGACAACCAACCATCTCGAGAGTCTCCAGTGGTGCATTCAATAATGCATCTAACGATTGGGTATTAACTCCAGAAAAGAAACAACAATTTGATGCAATTTTTAATTCTTTAGATAAACAACATATTGGAAAATTAGGCTCACAAGTCTTAGTACCATTTTTTTTATCATCAAAATTAAATCAAGAAACTTTAGCAACTGTTTGGGATCTTGCTGATATTCATAATAATGCAGAATTTTCTAATATGGAATTTTCTATTGCTATGTTTTTAATTCAAAAGAAAAATGCAGGCATTGATTTACCTGATGTTGTACCAAATGAATTATTACAATCACCTGCTCTTGGTTTGTATCCACAACAACAACAACAACAACAACCAAGTATGACTATTCCATCAAGAGCTACTAAACCTTCTTTCCAAGATATGCCACAACAACAAGCTGCTCCACAACAAATCCCACAAAATTCAAATAATGGTTCCTTAAATGATTTAATGGCTTTGAATAATACATTTTCTCCTTCTCCACAGCCTATTGTAAGAAATGATACTAATAATAGTATGAATTCTGGTAATCATCCAACAGCACAACATTCTGCGATGAATTTGAAAAAATTTAATCCAACATCTCAATTTGGTCAACACATCATTCAAGAAGAAGAAGAGAGTAACAATTTTGTTGCACCACAACAACAACAAAAACAAGCAGTACCTGCTGTTTCTTCTGCTCCGGTAGCTCCGATGCAAAGAGCTGCTTCTGTATCTTTACCACAAGTTCCAAATTTTGGTTCTTTGAATTTGGCCTCCACTGCTATTGGCGCAGGTGTTGGTGCCGCAGTTGGTGGAGCCACTGCAAGTGCATTCCATAACAATGATTTATATGCAGACTCAAATGCATCTGCACAATTATCTGCAGCTACTACAGATATGGCTAACTTATCAAACCAAATGAATTCTTTGTCTAAACAAGCTACTATTACTAATGATAAGAAAGCTAAAGCTAGTCAAGAATTGGCTCGTGTCACTGATATGAAAAATTCTTTGAACGTTAAATTGACAACTTTAAGAAACACTCATGAACAAAATGTTAAACAAACTGAAGATTTACAACGTTCTTTAGCTGTAGTTAATGGTGAGAATGATCAATTGAAACAACAATTGGCTGTTGTAGAAGCTAATTATCATGCTATTGAAACTAAATTGAATGAAAGTAATGAAGAATTCCAAAGAGCACAAGAGGAAAACAATAATTTCAAAGAACAAATTAAGAATTTAAATATTCAATCAAGTACTTTACAGGTTCAATTGGATGAAAAACAACAACAGGTTAAACAACAAAGATCTATGGTTGATGTTAATTCAAAACAATTAGAATTAAGTCAAATTACTGTTGCAAATTTTACCTCCGAAATTTCAGGTTTAGAAGAAAAATTGGCTAGTTATTTGACCAAGAAACAAGAATTGGAAGATTATGAGAAGACCATCCAAGGAAAACATTCTGAATTAGAGACAAGATTTAATGAATTGACTGATAAGGAAACAGATTTGAATCAAAGAGATGTCCAATTGAAGGACCATACTCAACAAATTGAAGAACAAGAAAAGATTTACAATGATCAAGTGGTTCGTCTACAGGCAATGTTTACCGATCTATCTCAAAGAAAGGAATCATTTGATAAAGCTGACCAAGAGTTGAAAGCACAAAATATGGAATACGCCAGTAAAGTTCAAGACTTAGCTGAAAGACAAATGAATCTAGCTATGGGAGAAATGCCAGAAGATGCTAAGGATATTATTGAAAAAAATAAGATGAACAAACAAGTTGAAACCCCGGTATCTCTAGAAGATGAAGAGACCTCAAGAACTGAAAGAAGTGGAAGCGAAGTGTTTGATAAGGATGTCCCAACTTTGGCTTCTCAAAGTGAACAAGGTGAACCTCAAGGTGCTCCAGATGCTAATCAACCATTATCCGATAGATTTGAAGGTGATTTGAATGAATATGGTATTCCAAGAACAGAATCATTGACATCTTCTGTAGCTAACAATGCACCACAATCTGTTAGAGGTGACGCCGAAATTGTTGAAGCTTTGGATTCTCGTATTTCAGAGACTCCAGCGTTACCATCTGCTGGTACAGTGACCGGTGAACAAGCTAAGGATGTAAGTATCCCACAAAAGGATAACGATACTGATAAGGACTCTAATTTAAGTGGTGCTGAGTCTGAAAATTCTATTCAACACTCTTTAGTAGCAGAAGACGTTGATAAACATTTTGAAGAAGCTGTTGATCATGTGAATGTTCCAGGTGGTGTGACTGCCAATGCCATTGATGAGGAATTCCCACCAATTAGAGAGTTGGAAATTGAAGAAAGTGATTCCTCCGATGAGGATGATGAAAATGAACATTTTGAAGATACCAAAGATGTTATTACACCAAGTATGCAGAACGTTTCTAAACAAGCCACCGAACCAAAGGATGAATTTGATGATGAATTTGCTGGTTTGGAACAAGCTGATGTTGAAGAGAACGATTCAGACAATGAAAACTCTGGCGTTGCTTACACTGCTGCTGATGCCATGGAACCATTTGAAGATGCCAACCAAACTGATTTGAGAGATCAATTACACAGCAATGACTTCACAGCTTCTGAATCCGCTGTACCACAACAACAAGAACAAACTAATGTTAGTAACGATGAATGGGATGAGATATTTGCTGGTTTTGGAAACGGCAAGCAACCTGCTAATCAAACACAAGGACAATTACAGCAACCAATTCACAACGCTCTACAGCAACCTACTCCTGACAGAAATTCTATGCCACCTTCTAATAGCAAGGTTGATCGTATGATTGCCACTACTCCAAAGGCTCTGGCTATTGAAGAACTAAGTGGTATGGGTTTCAGTGAAGCAGAAGCTACTAAGGCTTTAGAAAAATGTAACTGGGATTTAGATACCGCTACAAACTACTTGCTGGACAATGCCTAAATGAGATGCATGTGAAAATAAAACAAAAATGGTAAAGGCACTTGTAATGTAGAAGTGTCCTGATTAGCACATGCTACTACTTAGCCTCTACTTTTATGACAAAATTTCAAAAGACCAAAATGATGACGACCTTGTTCGAACCAAAAATAATAATAATCATAAAAAAAAATATGTATATTTAATATTTGTACAAATTATAAACTGTTTCTATTACTAAAGCATATGCTCGCATGTGAATCTTCTTCTATTAAGACAAATAAACACATATATATAACTACACCTTGAAAAACAAAATCATCAAGTAATGAGAAATTACAAATTTGATCCTTTTAACTTGAATTAGAGAAAAGGAAACAAGATAAATATAACATTCTACAACTCTGTTCGAAATGCCTCTGACTAACGAACGTTTAACTAACTTAATTGAGTTTAATAGTAAACTCGACCCCTATTGGGCTCATCTAGCAATCGCAACTGTGGTTTCCTGTAACTTCCCTGAATTGATACCGAAAATATATATTGCAAAATTATTACAGTTACAAGAACATAGTCAGCAAAGATCATTGCAAGACATAATCCTGAGGGCAGAAACTCTTTTACTTCATCGAGATGAGTTAAACTCAGAATTTGCTGAAGTGAATGATGCACAAATTAAATTTAATTCAGAAATTAAGGAAGTTATCCTTAAAGAAAGCGCATTGGTGGGGATACCTAGAGCAATAAATGGACTTAAATCATTGTATACAACCACACCGAAATCATTATTGAATGAGAAAGGGGACTTACATCCACAGAATGCATATATTAGTGAAACTGTCAGGAGACGAGATGAATCACACAATTTGGAGAGAGGTCTCAATCATTGGAACAAGACATATGGCAAAGTTTCCATGAGAATTATAAATGATTTGAATGATTTCTATCCTGATTTATGGCAGTTTATAATAAAAGATGTTTACGGTGATGTATTATCATATGGGAAGATTATTGATGCAAGTTTGACCAGTTTAGTGGTCATTTGTGCTTTGATTCCATTAGATGTTAATGCCCAATTGCGTGGGCATTTGAGGGGTGCATTGAATGTCGGCTGGGATCGGAATTTCATTGATGTAGTAAGGAATTATTCGTTAATGATATCTGTCTGGTGTGGAGTTCATTGGAAGACTGATGTAGTGAAATTATAAAATTTGCAAAAATTATCACAAATGATAAAAATATGAGATTAAAGTATCATTATATTTTTATATATAGAAGCAATAGATAGAAAATAGAAAATAGAAAATGGATTATTTAAAAAAACGCTGAACAGATATATGAATTGAGTAATGTTAGGTTCTTGATTTCTGAGCTCAGATAACAGATCGCTGTGTATATTTGCTTTATAATGACAGAAGGAAAAAAATGTATATTTGGAAATTTGAACACATTTGTTATATTTATAAAAGGTACAATATAAAAAAGAGGAAAGTTAAGTTATAAATTGATGTCCAACCCATATTAATCTTTTATTGATATTGATTTTCTTATGTTCAACATTTTGCATCCATGAGAAAAGTAACAAAGTTCGAATAGGTTCATTATAAATATAAATTTGTGACGTCTTTAAAAACCCTTACTGATACGTCTGTCAAGTAGAAGATGCTAAAAAAAAAAACGAAAATAAAAAACGAATACAACTAAAAGCTCTATGGTATTTATTAGTTCTTTTCCTTCTATATTTAAACCAGATTCGTATGATTTTACATATATTAAAAGCAACAGTACTTACTATTAACAATCGTGTATAAAAATAAAGAAAAACTTACAAATCTTATAACAAGTCATCTTCAGCCTCCGTTATATTTTCTTTTATTTTTAGTAGAATAGTAGTCTTCCACTTATCTAATTTGTTGAATTTATCAAAATCAAACACACATTGTCCTAACCTTTCAGCATCATTTTCATTGGTGCATTCAATTAAGTTTTGTAGTAATATAGCCTCTCTAGAATCTACAAAATTTGGATCTTCATGTTGTCCTTCTTTTAATGTTCTATCAGCAGCAACAGCATCTGTGGCAGCTAACTCACATAGACCTTTCTTCAGGTAGTATTCCTTTAGAGACCACTGGCTTAATCTATTACCGATACTATTTTTAATCAATTTAGCAAAAACGTTACTGGCATCAATATATTGGTTATCCATTGCTTTCAAATCTGCACATCTAACCCAACATTTGTTGGCCAATGCAATGGCTTGATCTTGAGAATACCATTCAGCAGCGGTCTCAAAACAATCAATTGCTTTCTTGAAATCACTTAAATCTTGTTCGTACATTTCACCAAGTTCAAATTTAAAGTTTGCAGCTCTTCTAAATTGCCCTTTCTTAGTAAACAAATCAACAGCACATACTAATGCTTCTGTGGCCTCTGTAGCGTCTCCACTACTCTTGTATGATTTGTATGCATCTGTGTAAATATTAGAAGCTTCATCGTCATTACCTGCTTTGATTTGGAACACTGCAGCTTTTACAAAGGCGTCACCTGCTAACTTCAATTCTTTACGTAATTTGTATAAATTAGCAGCCTGGATACAAAGATCTGCTGCTTCTTCAAATTTATATGAATCTGAACTTCCAAATATCTTCATAAATCCAGAAGATGGAACACCTTTCTTCTCAGCTCTCTGTAATAGTTCTACGGGATCAGACATAATTATTGAACCTATTTTATAATCTCTGTAAATGTGTCTTTAAAAGTATACCTTGAAATTCACTTCTGCTACTATGCCAACTATCAAACCCTTTCTAATCTAGTTTAACTTGTTGTTAATATCCTCTGTATATGGCGTTTACAATTATTTAAGCCCAGAGTACAGACCACTGCCTGCCCCTTCAAAATAATTTCATTTTTTTTTGTTTGGTTTTCGCCCCATTTTGACTCTTAAAGTGGAATCGATTGAAACCCTAGGGTCCGTGAAGTTTCAGCTGCGAATTTTTGGGGCGCGAAACTTTCCGGGTTTTTTTTGTTTTTTTGCCTCGAAAGGAGTTTCGAATGAATGAAATAAGAGCAGGTGGTTTTCACTGTTTTTCCCAACTCTGTTCTAGAGTGTCTACTTAAGTTTGCTATATTTGATTGTGCGTATATAGATGCATACTCGAATGCTACGGTGATGGAGTTACGTAGAAGGTATGCAGTGACTTTCGTTGCGGTGTCGTTATGTTGCCTATACCTTAGGCCTTACAAGCAATGAAAATTTTAAATCTATCACAGCTACACATGACAAGATAGCGCATTTCATTGTATTTATGTTAGAATCGTGGTTGTTTGTTAAGATTTTTGCACATAGAAAAGTGAGATTACCGATAAGTTATAACAGATCACAACTTCGAGGTTATAATCCTTTGGTCGAGCCAATCGATATTGATTTAGAGAGCAATAATGATCCTATCGGAAACACGAATGATGAGACTTATGCCGATAAGTTTCTGTTGGGACTCATTATATGCACTTTACTAGTGGCAGTTGGTAGTGAGATCATGCAATGTATATTGACCCATGGTGCTCGGACCTTTGATATATTAGATATATTGTGCAATGCATCGGGTAGTAGTCTTGGAATCTTCATAGCATATGTAACGGAAACATATTTTAAATGATGGATATATGGACATGGATACTAGTGTCCCTGGTTTGTAACAAAGGCTATAATTTTATGTTTATATGTATATATATTTGTTTTTTTGTTTTAAAACGCCAATTAATTAAATTATGTAAACAAATACGAAAAAATGAAAAGTTAAAAAAAAAAGATAAAATAAAAGATTACTATCCATTTTAAAGGTTAAAAGTGAACGAAAAGTTTTTTGGACCCTAGGACCTATTATCATTAAAAGAATTTGATACAGAAGCGTAATAGTTAACTCTGTGGGTGATTACTATAACTATTATATATTTAATAAATGACAGAAGTATTGATAAGGGACGACGATTTAAGATTAACTGATGATGATAACGTCTCAAATAATATGAATGGCATCAAATCTGAAAAATTGTATGATTTCCTACAGACTCTTTCCACTTGTAAGACAGATGCAGTTAATAATTTCTGTGATATAACTCCTCATGAATTATTACCTCTGTTATTAGATCATTTATTGGTTACAATACCGAATGAATTATTCTTAAAGAATAGCGCTTATGATCAACAACGACTGGAGACGATTAGTCGTTGGATGACAGAGAATTTTTTAAAACTGAATCTTTTCCCATTTACTATTTTAAGAATATGTCAACTTTGTTATGATCCTTTCAAATATTTTAAGATTAATGAATTGACAAAATTCATCAATGCATTAGAGAAATGTTGTGTAGTGACATCACCATTAGACACCAAGGATAATACCGATCCGGAAGTTAAGAATTCCGATATGAACCAAAAGAACTGTCGTGGACCAACTGAAATAGAGGATGGCCTTGAAGGTAACGATGAAGATGTTTCATTAGTAAAGATTCCTTGGCTTGATGAAGTAAAACCTGATCCTGAATTCCCACAATTCTTAAAGGATATTGATAATATTATGAGCGTAAATTTCGGATATGATGATGGAGAAGAAGATGAGGATGAGGATGAAGATATGGAACAACATCAGGGATCTTTGGATCGTGATGATAATGATATCATGATGGGTGATCACCCTGGTTCAAATGTAATAGTGGAAGAATATTATGAAGACGATGGTGATATTGAAAGTGATAATGTTAATGTCATGGACCAAGAAATAGATAGTGATGATGTGGATGATGATGATTATAATGAAAATGCTTCAGAGAGTCCCAGTGATGAGGATGAGGATGAGGAAGAAGAAGAAGAAGAAGAGGGAAATGGTGCTGATGAGAATAAACAAACATCTGTTCAAGATACGAAGACCCCACGTAAGAGGAAACCAATGGAACTTGATATATTTGATTATAATGATAATTCACAGGTAAGTAATGATGAATTAACGACTCCTAAGAAATATAAACAGGATGATGGAACGTTAGTGATAGAATCACCCGTTGTGACGACTTCATTGGAGTCCAAACAATCTAATATAATGGATACAAATACTGTTACTACAACTACTGAATGTTCTAAACTTGAAGGAGTGGATTCTACTTCAGATTCAAGGTTGGATAAGAGAATTGTTGGTACTAATAATGTTGGTAGTACGATGATGACTGGGACCTCTATGTTATATTCACCATGTGATGAGAATGTTGTTACAGTGAATAATAATGAAAAGATGAGAGCGATTACAGATATCAATGAGACTAGTCCATTGGGAAACAAGACAAGATAAAAAAAAATGGGTAATTCTGTATAATGTGTGTATGTGTATCTTTCAAATGTCATTATAATTATTTTTATTAATTTTATTAATTTTATTGAATAAATAAATAAATAAATACAGACAGATAATATGAATATTTATGTATAGTTTAAAAAAAAGGGAGGGAGAAGGAGAGATGGAATGTTGTTGTTGTACATGGAGTAAGAATAAATTAAAATTATTGAAAAAGGGACAAAATCAAAAAGAAAGATAATAAATCAGATTACCATCTCATCATGGACATGTCATTTCTCATTCTCATGTAATCTAATAAATCTTCGATTTGACCAGTACCTGAGATAGCGATATCTTGGTCCCAAACACGATTACCTGCCCAGTTCTTAATATCTTTAGTAGTGATTGAATCAATTTTTTTAAAGACTTCGGCAGTATTTAAATATAATCCACCGTTTTCAATCAATTCATTACCAAGTAAAGATGCATCTTTAGAACGTAAATTATTAGCTTGTCCTAATTTCAATTTTAATAAGGCTTTACCTCTTTCTAATTCAGTTTCTGTGATGGAAACAGTTAGCCTATTCCATTGTTTTAAAGTGAAATGAATCATATCATCAATTCCACCAACGTTACCGATTTCAGTAGCAAAACCCCATAAACCAGTATCTTTATAAGAATAAGAGAAATGATCGAATGAATCACATAAATGATATTCTTGGATATTATCTAATAGTTTAATACCTTGTAATCTTGAACGTGGTTCATTGGCCACATAAGAACCAAAAATATTAGCAGCTACATTAGCGACCAAATAATTTGAAGATTTACTACTTTCACCTTCAACTGCTAAAGCAATCCAAGCTTTTGGTAAAGTATCATCTCTTAATCTAACTTCAGAACCTAAAAAGGAAGATTTAGCAATTGGTGTTGAGATTGATTTAGTAGCTAAAGATAATTCAGAATCAATGGCTTTAATTAATTCTTCATGAGGTGTATTACCTGTAGCTACAATAGTTGTATTCTTCGAATGGAAAAATTCTTTAGCGAAAGATTCTAAATCTTCTGGAATTAAAGTTTCAACAGTTTCTATAGTACCTCTGGTCGGTAGAGCTAATGGAGTATTTTGAAAAGCTGTTGAATGTAAATGTTCTAAGACACGACCTGAATGATTAAATTCTTCGAATCTTGTTAATTGTTTTAAAGTATCATTTTTAATAGTATTAAAAATATTTGAATTATTTTCTAAATTACCTGATAAATTTGAAATAAATTTTTTTTGTAAAAAATTTAATGCTTGTTGTGTATTTCCAGATAAACTATTAATAGTAAAAGATTGAGATTCTCTATTAACTTTAGATGATAATAAGAAACCCTTCTTAGCTGCGTCTTGTTGTATATTAGAATGAGTAAAATAATTTGTCCATAAATTTGATACACCATTGTTATAAGGATTTTCTGCAGATGAACCTGCTGAATAAACTAAACCAATCGAACTTGTCTTTGAATTTGGATTAAATTCAGTGGCCACTGTAATACCATTAGATAATTCTGTAACTTCAATTTTTGGTGCAGTCTTTGCCATAGTAGCAAGACATCTTTTTGACATCAAATTAGATGTAGTTGATCTAAGCATTGTTGCCGAATTTATTTCTTGAAGCGTTTATTATATTTGTATATGCTTATAACTATACTGTATTAAAGCTTAATACAGGTGTGTGTGTATATATATATATATATATATATATTAAATAACAATAATAATAATATAAATTGATAATTTTCTTTAAAATGAATTAAATTAAATAAAAATTGTATTAATTAAATATATCTGTGTAGTTACTGTGTGTATCTATCTATCTCTCGTCTGTCTCCCTTGTTTAATTTTCAGTATAATTTCTGGGATCCCATTGGCTATCCCCAGTAAGACCGAGAAGTCCTTTTAACAAAAAAGAGAGAGAAAAAGTGTCCCAAATCTACGCATATTGCGATCATTTATCGCAATATGTCATTTGCTACGAACAGAGACCTGTTTTTACAAAACTGAAAAACTTATACATCGTTTCGTGCCAAGTGATTTCTACAGGGAAACGGAGGCTCCACATGATTGGCCAGGGTGTGTGGGTGCGATTCACGTGACATACTATCACTAAGCACGGCCCATATCCATTGACATATACATCTACTACATACACAATCTATACAGAGAGTAAGGATATTACCGCTAATACTCACATCATTAGTATTACAAGTGAATTAATTATTCATTTATATTACTATTGGCAAACAGTCCATGATGTCAGGTATATATATATATATATATATCCCACATTGTTACAATGCAGTTAAATACTAATAATATGTCAGAATAAATATGTAAGATGACGTGACTTCTGCGTGTGACGGCAAATAAGGGACGGCGGTTACACATATTTTGAATTACCATAGTAAGTTGTGAATATCCGTTATACCGGTCAGCAACTATTAAATAACATAACAATATAATTAGTAAGAAAAAGTGCTTGTTCCGGATAAACGGGATACGGCTGATTACTCGAACAAAAAATTAGAGTTACTTCACGTACTGCAGATCGATTATATGCGGAAGGACACAGAAACGTCTGCAGCACTAGAACTGATAAATACGTTAAAAAGAGAGAGCTGTCCCCCCCCAGATAGATGTAACCAATTACATTAAAGACCGATGACCGGTTAATTGCAATGCTTTGTAAGAAGAGAAGAATGGCGAACGCATTCTATTTAAAACAAAGAAGAACCCTTCTTCTGCTGCTGCTGCTGCTGCTCCTTGCTGAAGGGATTACTATACCACCCCACGTAAATTAATTTCTTTCTTCTACTGGTTGTGAGTGGGGAGGACAGAAAATGGAGGGCTCGAGCACAGAGTGCCGTAATTATAGTAACAATTTTCTCGGATTCGTCGGTTTGAAACGGAAAATAAACTTATTTAATTGTCATATACGGATGAAAGTGATCGATTTTTAGTTAGAAGGTGATACAAATATATAGATAGGCTAATGGGACAGAAAGAATAACTGATATAAATTGAATTTTTATTTTTAATTGGTAGGTTGGTCAGTCGGTTCTTTTGGCTGTCAAATTTTTCAATTAATTTATTAGTCATTTAATATATATATAACTGACAATTAAACATTTATATCTTTTTTTAATTTGTTTCAGTTTTGCAATAGTTGTTATTTTACTACTGCCTACACACACACATACACCCTCTATCATCAAAATACAATTATACATATTTGGTGAAATAATACTATTATTATTATTATCATTTTTTTTTTCTTCATATTATTTTAAAAATGTTAAATCAAATAACTTTACAAAAACAACATCAATTGATGAATTTAGCAAGAAATAAATTAGTAACATGTGTTAATATGGAATCACAAAGTAAACAATATGATTTAAGAAAATTAGTCGCACATGCTAATTTATATGATAAATTATCTGCAAGTATTGTATTAAATAACAATTTAATTAAAGAACAATATTTAAACGAACAACAAAAACAAGAAAATTATATTAAACAAGTTTATATATCAGATTCTGAAACAGATTCAAATTCGGATTTAGATTCGGATTCGGACTCAGATTCTGATTGGGACTCAATTTCTGAATCGGATTCGGATTCGGATTTTGAATATGAATATGATTTTGGTGAACAAATCGATAATGTCCCACGTCATTGTAAAATTAGCGATTTATCTTTAATGCCAAGCGTAAGTCATAAAGAATATGCTTCAATTCATTTAGATAAACAACTTTCAGTTTAAATTTAACTTACTTCAGTCATCCCCCATCATTTGCATTATCATTATTTATTTTGTGTATTTACTTATATATTCCGGTCGTTCTCTTCTTTTTTTTTAGTCATTTTATGCATTCATTTCATATTCTTTTTAAAATTATTTGTTTTATTCTATTATTATTCGAAGACTGTCACCAGTTTCACGTGATTTTTTTATCTTATGTTGCTGGTATGTATTTATCATTTGAGACGATGCGGTGTTTGATTTTTTTTGTCTTTTCTTGGTCAAAAGGGTGGCAAAATGTAATGGAATTTTATGTATATATATATATATATCTTAACTCTTCATTAATTGAGGGGACTCAATTTAGATAAAAGAATAATTCAATTGACTATATAGATATAGATATATAGATATATATATATTGAAATTAAGCTTGTAAGAATGAATACAGTGGCTTCAGAATATTCTGCTGAGGTAAATAGTACACCAATTGAACATAGTTTTAACCCTTATTCAGATAATGGTGGTACAATTTTAGGTATTGCAGGTGAAGATTTTGCCGTTTTGGCAGGTGATACAAGACATACAACAGATTACAGTATTAATTCACGTTATGAACCAAAAGTATTTGATGTTGGTGATAATATTATAATGTCAGCAAATGGATTTGCTGCAGATGGTGAAGCTTTATTAAAAAGATTTAAAAATAGTCTCAAATGGTATCATTTTGATAATAATGAAAAAACTTTATCAATGAGTGCAGCTGCAAGAAATATTCAACAATTATTATATGGTAAAAGATTTTTCCCTTATTATGTACATACAATTATTGCAGGTTTAGATCAAGATGGTAAAGGTACAGTTTATTCATTTGATCCAGTTGGATCTTATGAAAGAGAACAATGTAGAGCAGGTGGTGCAGCTGCTTCATTAATTATGCCATTTTTAGATAATCAAGTTAATTTTAAAAATCAATACGTTCCAGGTACAGATGGTAAAGAAAAGAGACATATTAAATTTTTAACAATTGATGAAGTTGTTAAATTGGTTAGAGATGCATTTACATCAGCTACAGAAAGACATATACATGTAGGTGATGGTCTAGAAATTTTAATTGTAACAAAAGATGGTGTAAGGAAAGAATATTTCGAATTAAAGAGAGATTGATATATATATATATACACGTATATTATTATGATTTAAAAAAAAAATTTACATTATTTTGATTTCATACCTTTTTTAGTATATCTATATGTATGTCTATATATATATATAAGGTCTGTTCTCTACTATAAAGAATGAACTCCCTCATTTCATTTTATTTTTCTTCTTTAGATATAATGTGGTAAGTCATTTTTAGCACCTTTAATAACTCTCTTATAATAAATATAAAAGAAATCGGAATAAACTAATGTTTGAATAATACCAGCAAATAATGCAATTTTTTGTACTTTCTCTTCAGCATAATATCTCCAAGCCCAATTTGGTATATATAAAGCTCTATATAAACCTAAAGCAAAAATATAATGAATTGTTAAACTTTTTGATTTACCACTTTTTGATAACATAAATAATTGTGGTAAAATTGCAAAACTTTCTAACCAAAGTGAAAAACTCCAAAGAATTTCAATAATTGAAAATTTATAATTTAATATTAGTGATAACGCAAAACTAACCGCTAATATATATTGAATCTTAAAATTGTCAGCAAGAATCATTTCTTTATAAGCAATTGGATTTGTCTTTTGGAAACTTTGCAATAATACAACAATATATGCTGAAGATACAATGAAAAAAATCTTCATTATTGTATTATAAAATGAAATATAATTAAAAGTTAATAAATCCAAATAACGTGTAATAAAAACTAAAGCATATAATGATTGAGTCTTAAAAGAAATACCTTCAATTACATGAGTACTCCGAATTGTATAAATAAGGATTAATATACTTGCTAAATGAGATAAATCACCTAGAATTCTGAAAATATTCATTGTTTATGGATTCTTTTCTGGTTAAAAAAATTGATATGAAATGTACTTTTTTAATTTGCGTTGATAACAAGGTTTATTTATAAGGTTTGTCAATCTTTCAATTAAGTATCAACTATGGTACTTTCTGGTGAAGAAAAAAATTGGTTATAACTAATTGATATGCGTTTATAAATATATCTGAGAAAGGAAAGAACAATTAGTGAAATGCAATTATAATTACAGACTGTTTTTTTGAAAAAGTTTTACTATTCTTTCAATAAATCTTTGATTCAACTCTAAGTTTATAATTGTAGTGGTTTCAGTAAATGACAAGCTGTTTGTTACTACTAATTGAGAAAATGAAATAAAATTTCAAAAAAAATAATTTTTGACCGTTTTTTTCTTACCTCACACAGAAACCCCCGTAGGAAACGGAGCGAAAAGGGAAACGAATTTTCTAAAGAATTCCAAATTTAACAGAATGTGAGGGTAATTTTCTGGTTTTGTCACTATTAAAAATATATATATACATATATATATACATATTTATATCTTAATCTAATTAGTCAAATTAATGGGAATTATCAGAATTATATGAATAGAAGGATATTATTTAAATGTATTTGAATTTATCCCTTTAAAGTATGTAAAATTTTACATCTTTAAATTCTATTGTATATATCATTCATTACCTTAGCAACGCGCGCAGTAGAAATGAGGAAGGAAGGAATTAATAATAAGAATAATAAGAATAAATTCCAATTTCTGCCCTAAATTAATTAATATTTAACAAGAAAGGTCGGACTTTCTTTGTTTTCATTGTTTAGTACTGAAAGAATTCGTATATTAAAGGGTGTGGATATTGTTAGTTGTATTTCTTATAAGAGTTTGGTTTGTTATAGGAAATAAATAAATTAGTGGAACTATTTTTAAGAAACTTCGTCATTTGTCCTTTGAAAAATTGTTAATCGAATTACAATCGATAATACAAACAACTAGCTATTAATATAATCCTGTGTTTTTTTTCAGTAGTAGTTGATTGACCAAGGACATTAGACGTAAACCATACCACACTTTTGTTTATTTAGCTTTCAATTTCTAATCGGTGCAAACAAATAAAGTTACGGGACACGATATATATATATATATATATTCTTACTAAAATGGGCTTTTTTAATGATAATATTGTAATTGAATATTTTCATAAACTTTTTAGAAAACCAGGTGATTTTTTAATGTGGTTATTTACTGGTCTAATTGTATCAAGTACTCTATATTTAATATTAGCACCTTTCCCATCAGATTTTGATATTGAAAATAATATAGATAATAGAAAGAAAGGTAAAAAAAGATTATAATGGAAAAGTTTATATATTTTAAAGTTTCGTTTATTGTTTAAAATTAAGATATCGATTGAAAACGGAGTTCAGATTTTCAATTATGGAATGGTGGTATCCCGAGCGAAAAGTACTGCAACACAGTGCTGAGTAGCTTTTTTAATCTTTCAATTAGATATGATTAAATATTCAATTCATATATGACATAATAAATATTTAAATTTATATAAATAAAAATATTATCACTTTTATTTTTTTGTTTACCGTGTGACACATTTTTATGGATTTCTGAAATTTTAAAACATCTTCGAAAACTTGAAATTTTTTAAAAAACAAATTACTTAAATGAAATAAAATTGTTCCACCTTTTATTATGATTTTAGATATAACGAATTACTATTTGTATTCTCTTTGTATATATGCATAGTATGTTTTACATTTAGAAAGTTCCCTTCTTCACATTACACTTCATTTTAAAATAAGAATACTAATAAGAAATAGAGTGTGCAAGACACGAGTAATTATTATTATGAATCTTATTCATTGGATTTTATTTGTTTTATTTAAGTGGCTCTACTATTTAATAATATACATATATAACAACTAAAAAAATGAATCAAGATATATGATTACTATATATATGATGACGAATCGGTGTTGTGAATAAATAATTGAATTTCTTAAACTTTTAATTCTTTTTCTATTTTTGTGTTGAAGTGAGATGATTAAAAGTAGTAGACACTTTTAATCAATCAATTATAATTAATATTCAATAATGCACACCCCTGTCTTATTTTTTTTCCTTTTTAGGGAGGAAGAGTTTAGAAATCGTTAGATTCAGAATCAGCATGGAAGTCGTACTTACCATCAATAACATCATCTAGAATACCAGATGCAGCTGCAACCAGACCTAAGAATGGCTTAGATGGATCCAAGACCTTTGATGTATATTCTGGATGGTATTGAGTAGCAACATAAAATGGATGGTTCTTTAATTCGAAGATTTCACAACGCTTGTTAGATTCATCCTTACCGACAAAGATTAAACCATTTTCTTCAAGTTCAGGAACAATTTCTGGGTTGATCTCATAACGATGTCTATGTCTTTCTTCAACAGATGCAGGGCTACCATATAACTTTCTAATCTTACTCCATTCACTGTTATCTTGGAAATAAGTTGGTCTTAAACCAAGTCTCATATTACCACCCATAGTAGCTTTATCAATTTCTGGCATATAAATAACAACTTGATTTTCTTCATCTAAACCTTCAACAAATTCAGTAGAACTGGCTTCAGTCTTACCAATAATATCACGAACAAATTCAATAGTAGCAATTTGTAGACCCAAACAAACACCTAAGTATGGAATCTTGTTTTCACGAGCCCATCTAGCTGCATGAATCATACCTTCAGTACCTCTAGTACCGAAACCACCTGGGACTAAGACACCATCAGCAGAACTAACCTTGTTCCAAGCCTCATGGAATTTAGCCTTATCAGTCTCTTGAGTTTCAGGTTCCAAGTCGGTAGATTCAACCCACATAATATCCAACTTACGACGACATCTCATGGAAGAATGTTCTAAAGCCTTAATAACAGATAGATAAGAATCCTTTAAATTTGTATATTTACCAACTAAAGCAATCTTCACAGTTTCCATAGAGGCATCGAAGTTACCAGTAGTCTTCTTCCATTTACTTAATAGTTCATTACCTCTTTGCTTGTCGTCATCAGATAAGTTAATGTCGACTAAACGTAATCTGTTATGTAAGTAATCAATCATCTTTTGTTCTAATAATAGTAATGGAACGTGATAAGTAGAGTTAACATCATGGACATTAACAACTTGATCTGAACCAACATGACAGAACATAGCAATCTTGTCAATGGTAGATGGATTCAATTGTTCAGAACATCTACAGGCAATCATGTCTGGAACAAGACCCAAGGATCTTAGATCCTTAATGGCAGCTTGGGTTGGTTTAGTCTTTTGTTCACCGTGAATGACTGGAACTAAAGAGACATGAATTAAAGCAAAGTTTTCTTTACCAACTTTGAATTGAAATTGTCTCAAAGCTTCGACGAAAGGAGCACTCTCAATATCACCAACGGTACCACCAAGTTCAATGATACAAACATCTGGTTCTAAACCAGTATCATCAACAGGGATACGAGAAACACGTTCGATCCATTCTTGGATAGCATTAGTCAAATGAGGAACAATTTGGACAGTCTTACCCAAATAGTCACCTTTTCTTTCTTTGGCAATAACATGAGAATATATCTTACCAGTGGTAATGTTATGGTCTCTGGTTAATGTAACATTCAAATAACGTTCATAATTACCTAAATCTAAATCGGTTTCACCACCATCATTTAAGACAAAACATTCACCATGTTCCAAAGGAGACATAGTACCAGCATCGATATTCATGTACGGATCGATCTTAATAGAGGTTACTTTTAGACCAAGGGTCTTCAAAAGCATACCAGTAGAGGATGCCAACACACCTTTACCGATACCAGAGATAACACCACCGGAGACAACGACGTACTTCATTGTTTTTATCTTAATTATATTTTGTTTAACTGTATTGAATATATGCTTGGAGTTATACGATGTTATTAACGATAACAAAATGTATATTCCCTATTGAAAAAGACTGCTTTGGCTACTTTTTATTATTATTATAAAATTTAAACTGAGTAGGACAGATCTCAAACTGTAATAACTCTATTTAAACAAACTATAATAAATGATATGATACATTCAAGAACTAGCAAGAAAAAAGGCAAACTATATACAAAATTTAAACAAACGTGGAAAGGGGACGTGCTGTGTCATTAAGAACAAACCAAGCTCTAAACCTTTAAACAAGCCATATATATACTAATTCTTTTCCAAACTCATCGATGAGGTCTGAAAAATTTTCGTTTTTTTTTTTTTCGCATTTTTTTTGGCGAAAAAGAACAGAGAGCTTAATAATTTTGTTCTACGTTATTTGTTAGGATATAACTGGTTTCTTAATTGAGCCATTCTCTTTTTCACATTTCATTCATTTATTAATTAACTATTACGATCGTCTCTTATCACCATAGCAATAGCTTTTTCACATGGTATCTATTTACCTAATTGGTGCTGTGTGCGATAACTATATATTACGTATATTTCGTTTGCAAACATGGCGACTAATTGATAGAAAGTTTGTAATGTATACCAGGTCAATATATTTATTCCTTGGTAGACTATCATTTAGTAATGCCACTTTTCGTGTGTACTTTTAATGCTATTAGTAATTGCTTCAAGACCTCATTTTCATTACTCACCCTTGTATCACTATCGACTGCAATATTTCGAGACGGTGACGTGTTTCTCTTTGTAGGACCATGTTTTGTCGTCTTATCTGATAGATCAGTATTTCCAGGACGATATTGTTGTAATTTTCTTGTTAGGTCGTTGTAAATAGCAGTCTCATCTTGTAAAGTAGACACAAGTTTTCTATTTTCTTCCAGGATATTCTCTACTTTAGAATCAATCTCTATACTCCTATCTAACTCTTTCTTCAGATTTATTGCAAGTCTATCTTCACCACTCTGCACAGTATTCAAATCTTGTTTGTTTGCTATCAGTTTATTTAATCGTTCATTAGTCTTGAACAAGGCAACAGATTTATCCATTGAAAAACGAGCTTGATTTCGAAGTTCCAATAGAGTCACTTCCTTATCGGTCAGTTTTATATCATGTTCCTTTTGTTTTAATAGATATAATTCGTCTAACGTCTGGAGCAATTGATAGTACACTTCGACGTGTTTTCTTTCCAATTCTCGTATCTCCCTTAATTTCAATTCATCGATAGACATTGTTAATATTGAGCGGAATTCCAGCTTTAAAATGACGCAATGCACGTATAACCAATCTCCTATTTAACTAGAAACAAGGATCAGCGTTTTAGTAAAGTAAATAGTTCCTTTATTTACAGTCAATGACGAACCTTTTCTTGTTTGTTTATTTACCTTCATGTAGTGAAGTTCTGTCTTTTTTTTTAAATATTTTTCATTCAGTGCAAAAGCAAACCTAAAACGTTTTAGTGTACTATTATTTGAAAAGAGGACTAATATTTTCAAACAACGAGCTATACATTACAACAATCACATACAATGCGGTAAGATTCAGTTACAAGTTGGTAAACATTAGATACCATTTTATTTATTAGTTGATTGACATTCTATTAGTACTGAAACATCCCTGCACCACATCTTAGAATGGAATGAAGCTGAGAATTTCACGCGTTTCTTTTTTAAACAAAGATGATGAACCTTAAATCTTTAAGAAGAAAACCAGAAATATACATTGAATTTTCATTGTCAACTTAATAGCCAAATCCTCAATTAGTTTAGAATCATTATTAGACAGCAGTGGGATTATAGATTGTATTAAGAACATATTCGTTAAATATCTGTTTTATTCTGAGTTTAATTTACAGGAATAGACTATTTTCAGCAGGATTTGTGGGAAATTAAAAATTTTCATACAACAAATATATATTGTGGTTTTAAGACTAAAAACTTAACCGTGAGAGGAACGAACTAAGAGATCTGGGAGAGCAATAACTATACATTATTTTCTTTTGATCAATATGGATAATTCATATAATTATGTTCAACCACTGGCCTTAGGTAAAAGGAAAAACAGTAATAATAACAGTACAACGAATACATCTAACCCAAAAGCTATGAATCCATTTAAGAGTGATAACCAGAATGTAAATCAAGCGATTAATACTAACAAGAGGAGGAAATCATCTCCATTTCAACGGCCTCTTCCTATCACTTCAAATTCTAATAAGTGGGATTTAAATACTATGGGGACATCTGATAGTGAGGAAAAACGCAAGAAAAGAGCTGAAAGATTTAATTCAAGTAATGTAAAACGTTCGGAAGGAAGTCAAGGGAATGACCCTAATAACATTCACATTAAAAATTCATTCGACCCACTAAACGATATGGAAGATTTTTCAAATTTGAATGCAATCGCAACCAAATCTCATGCCTATGATAAAAATAAACATATCATTGGGACTTGTACAACAATAGAAAAATCATACCTCAGATTAACTTCAGAACCAAACCCTAAACTTGTGAGACCATTACGTATTTTACAAGAGGCATATACAATTCTGATGAAAAAACATAAAAATCACAGTGTGACTTATACATACTTATGTGATCAATTTAAAGCGATTAGACAAGACTTAAGAGTACAAATGATTGAAAATAAGTTTACTGTTTTGGTATATGAAACACATGCAAGACTGGCTCTTGAAAATGGGGACTTAGGGGAATATAATCAATGCCAAAGTAGATTACTCATCTTATATGAGGACAAATCATTGAAAAATGCCAACAATAATTTTGCTGAATTTATTAGTTATTTGATACTTTATTATATTTTAACAGATGATAACAGTGCAATTATGGCTCTACGGTTGAAATTAATTCAACAAAATCCAGGTACTTTTAAGAGCAAGATAGTTCAAAAATCTTTTTGTCTGGCTGATGCAAAACTAAAGGGTAATTATCACATTTTTATGAAAACCTGTGATACAATCACTACACTTGGGAAGCACTTGATAAATGCTTTTATTGAAAAGGAGATATTAAGGTCCTTGAACACGATATGCAGTAGTTACAACCAAATAGGTTTAGACTTCCTGAAAGAAGAATTTCATTTTCCAAACATAAATACTGTCGATTTCTTTCTCCGAAAGAAAGGTTTTGGTGATTTCATAAAGATAAAAAATCAAGGCAAGCCAAATGAATTCTCCTATCTAGATACGAAGGCATCGAAAGCACTTGCATCTGCACTTTATCAAAATTCAAGAAAAATAGACCTTAAAGGCCAGAAATAAGATTAGTCATATTTTCGATTTTATATAGATTCATTTTAATTGCCCTCCCCATTGCGTTTTTCTTTTGATAAAGCTACAAGTACTTATGGATAGGCTTTATATATATGCGAATGAGAACCACTTTAACTTTAAATGAATTTGAAATTAATTATTATTATTATAAGAATTTATATGTAAATATACACACTCTAAGTCGAATATTATTAATGACTTTAATATTGTGATATCATTATTTATTATTACAACAATTAAACGTTGTGAATACATTTATTGTAGTTCCGTAATTTTCCTTTGAATATTATACCGTATTTGTCCCTTTACCATCATATTTGTGAGATTATTGAAGAATGACCTCCAGGACCAATTTCTTTGTTTCCTTCACTTTTGGTAAAACTTCTTTGTAAATTTCATCGTCGGATAGATTGACTATATACCAACCGTCCAGCTTAGTCTTAATGTGTAAATCATTTACGATAGAAGTATTTTCTTTGGATGATTCAATTTTTCCTTTCAAATATGTTTGTAATTTACCATATGAGGAAATTTCTCCATATGAACATTTCATTACATAATAATCCCTTCTAAATAGAACTTTCACTTTAATAACAGTTTTATCCTCATCACCCATAAACCATTTCTGAATGATCTCCTGTAAACTTGAAGTCTCTATACTAGATGATACAGCCTTTTCCAGTTCAAACATATAATTATTAAACAGAGAAATTCTATCAGTAATGATATCTTTATCCACTTCATTATTCTTAAAGCTTACTGGTGGAGGAAGGCACGGTAGTTCAACTTTCGGATTCTTGGAATTTCCCTGAATCAGAGATGCATGTAAAGTATAGAAATCGTGATAATAACGATCTTCTTTCTTTACTTCATTGGATGATGATTTAATTATAATTTTATAAAGAACTCTACCTTCCTTCATAAATATTGATACAATTTCACAGGAGCTAATTGTTTTAGTACATTCTTTCTCCATTTCTTTTGGAACAGATGCTAGTGATGACGACACAGAAAGGGAGGAACCCCTAGAGACTGATGCTGGAGAACATACATATGATTTTAAAGTTGATGGAGATGTTGGAGGTGTTAATTCCATCAATTGATTTGGTTTATATATTGGTCTGTGTACCTCTGGTAAAGAACCGTTAAGGATAGAGTATTCTTCAAGACTTTCAAATGGAACCAAACCCGCACCGACTTCTCTTATTAGTCTCACAAGACACAGACCATCATTTTCCATGGATACTAATTGAACTAAAGTACCACGTTTCAACGTTAGGTGCTTTGGACTTTGAGATTTATAAGATTTCTGAGCAATATAAAATTTTAATTGTCCATTGGCCGGAGAATAATTATTGATGAAATGACTTTCATCTATACATGTCTTCTTTTTTATAGGTTGTGATATTGATACAACACTACTTTTTCTGCCCCCTCGTTGTCGTTGTTGTTGTTGCTGTTGGCCATAGACTGTTTCATTAATCGTTGAAAATATTGACACCATTTGATGTTTTATTTCTTGTAACAAATATAACGAGTTTAATCTAATTGTTCATATATGGTGGTAAAGAAACTGGACTCAAACAATATGGCAAAAAATTCAAGAAAACTTTGGAAATACCCGTTTTATAAGTTTCACAATATTTATATATAAAATTCACTATTGATAGAATATTAAAACAATACAGGGTTATCTATTCTTTTGTTTATCCTTTTTTTTTAGCTTTTAAAAAATTGATCACTGTTTATACTTTTATCTTTTGATATTTATTCAGAGAATATTTCTGAAGACGTGAGGGATCACCTAAATAAAGTCTGAACAACCAAGTTTCATTAAAAACTGACGCATAAGAGTTAATACTGCTACTTCTTTTTGTTACAAAAAAACAAACGTTACAGAGGAGGAAGTATAAATTTATTATAGTAGACACCAGTATTAAGGAGGTAGAATGACAAATGCATGCAAATCAGTCCTCTATTTGCGTTATTGATTTTCATTTCGTTCAGTCTCAAATGGGAGAACAAAACCTACTATTCAAAATGATATTTAGTTGCTACGTCTATCTTTAAGACTTACATAGTTTTCCTAGAGAATAACATGAACCCTGTTGCACTCAAAGTTGGAAATTGAAGTACTTAGTGGACAACACCTGAAAAGTGAAGATAATAAGGTAGAGTATACGTTATATTCAACGTTAGCCGAAGAAGAGAAACTGAATACGTAACACTTGCTCTAACATCCCTTTTCCCTTTTCGAATGTTTACCTCTTTTTTATGACCTTATAGAGACCGGAGCCTTTCCTTCAACATTCTTTTGATGTGCAGCGTTCTTTAGGGGCTAAGAAATTCGTTAAAATGTAAAACTTTAATTTAGTGCACTTAAAAATGTTATTTCCAGTTTTGGTTAACCTCGACGCGCTTTTTGGTTTCTTTATTTTTGTTTCGGGATATTTTATTACTTAAAAAGTTAATAAATTCCACGATTTGTTTTGATATCGCATTCTGGAAGAAACGCGCGTCCGTTTCGTACGGAGATTAACGAATGATTAATTTGTTTTGTTTTGTTTTGATTTTTTGTTACAGGGGAAACAGAGTTTGCTTATATTAGCTTTATCTTGCGTACCCCATAATAATGAATGAGCTTATTACGTTCGCAAGTAGGTTTCTAACGCATAAGAACAGTAAAAAACATGAGAACGAGACTCTTTACAAGAATAACTTCCGTGGGCTTTTAAATATATGTTTCATCTGGCAGTATGTTTTTTTAAAATTCTAGGCATGCTCTTCTTTTCTTCCCTTACATGCTTTGGTTATTTACTACCCAATTGCGTGATACTAGAAGTTTACTTCCGTTAGTAGGAAACGAGTATTTGGCCTTCTAGTGCCCAAAAAATATGTGAGAGAGCCAATCTCAGTAGTCTGAATTATTCTGAGTAGTTGCTGTACAAACTCGAACTTCAATGGTTTCTGTTATTGTAAAATTCTCTGGCAAAATAATAAAATTGGAATATTCCGAATTGTTTTAAAAATTGCGTAGGAAACTGATTGGTGGTGTTATGTTATTTTTATTTACAGGATAGTCTACTCTCGATGGTTCAAAAAACATACTAAACAAATTTCATAAAAGAATTGCTACCTGTACTTTTAGTTGACTACAGTTCAGATTCGATTGTTTGTTTTGGTGTAGATCATATTTATTTTCGGGAACATTGCACCTCAGTTTCATTATCATATTTTAACTGTAAAGACTACTCTTAAAGTTAAAAATATAATTAGGAAATTGATCGTGTTAAAAATATATATATATAAATAATTGATTTCAAGATGGACACGAACAATTTCTAAACCGTGTTAATTTTATCTCGGTTTTAACTCCACATTCGTTATTACTTCATTCTTATGAGTAGACGAGAGATTCTTAATGTGAAACAGCACAAATTCAAGCCAGATCTCTTTGGTATTTACTGATATGTATATCTGCTCACATTATAGTGCCAGTTTTAGAACGGTTACTTTGCGCTGCATTTTTTGAAACGTATTTGCAATATTCACTATGTACGATACATTTATGTATACAAACCCTTAGATTTACGAACCAGAGTGGCAATGTTTCATATCTATCAATACCTTTGTAAGTCAATTTATATTAACTAAAAATATTACATACCAATGAAGGGTTTATGTAAGCCTGAAAGATATACACCCAGTCTATTTCTTTGTTCACCTACCAGAATACAGGAAAGAAAATATCTTTCCTTCTTCTCTCAAAGGTACAACAACTTTTAAATAAAAAAGATTATACGTAAAAGATCTTACAAAAAAAAAAATAACCCGATATAAATCTATATCAAGTTATCAAAACTATTGATGAGTAATTATGTGTTGTTAGAAATAACTAGGTACATATGGGATACATAAAATGGGAGAAAGAAATATTAAGTTGAAGTTTTATAATTTGTTAAAAAGTTATAAGAAACATCCGCTTAAGCTTCAGCCATTTCCCTTAGTCTTCTGATAGTGGATCTGACAGTGGCGGCAGCAGCGGTGGAAACAGTGTAAGCACCACCAGCAACAGTCTTCTTACAAGAACCACAAGTCCAGATACCAGCAGCACCTCTTCTAACGGTCTTCTTACCACAGAAAGAACAGTCGTATCTAGCGTGTTGTTGAACTTCTAGCTTCTTAACTTGTCTTCTTAGAGAGGAACCGTAACGGACACCGTACTTACCGGTGATACCAACCTTCTTTGTTCTTTTAGCCCTGTATCATAAATGTAATACAATGTTATGCAATATTTTCTTGTTTGTATAAAAAAACCAAAAAATAAATATGCAACCAGTTGTATTTAATATATTGTTAGTAAATCATGTTAATCAATGAAATAACAGTTGTGATAGTATTATCTCCAGCTATTAATTTAGTTACAAGTTAAAAAAAAAAGAATAAATTGAAGTATCGAATAAAATATGCGGATAACCTGGAATGTATAATCGTATTCATATAGTTATATTATAACTTTCACCCAAATTAATCAATACAATAACAATCACTGTGGAAAATCAACATTAAACATCATTAATTAACCATTTGTGGCTAGTAACATCCATATGAATTCAACTAAAACGACTTAAGAGGTTATCTATCAGTAATATATCCCATATTATTGTTTAAAATAATCACTGTATCTTCTATTGTAAAGGAGGTTTCTCATTATAATTACAAAAATCTTGTTCATCATTATTTGATATCTGGTTTTACTCTTCAACACTTCAGATTAATATCCATTTCAACTTGTACTATATCAATATTATGCATACATTTTGTCTCGATTGTCTATGTATGTTTCTTTTAATTTGAAGTTATATTATATTTTAAATGTTAAGGTATATATATCTTTAATAATGTTAACCCAATCGCATTTACAATAAAGAAAGAACCTTGAACCACCATTGATTATTGAAACTCTCTACATTGCTCTTTGGATGAGGGATGAACTAACCAGCCATTAATTGCGTGGGTTTCATTCTGGCCATCACTTCGCATAGTTCTGCTAAATTTTGTTTGGAAATTTTGAAAGTTTCATTCATCGGCTGCGTCGGCAGTTTTGCAAAAAAAAGTATAAAAAAATTGAAAAAAAAAGTTTTTTGAATATAAAAAATGTCTTGTTGTATATACCGCGAGGGTGTCAGGATGTTTCTTTTGATCGTCACAGAAAATATCTATTTATCTTCTATATTAAATAATTATTTTAGATTGTCTACTGAACCGTCTTTGAATTTTTCTTCCCTAAGGAGATTTTTGACCCAAGGTTGGTGTGAAATATTCAATTGAACAACTTCGTTTAGTTTCATAAACCAATCTGACTTATCCTCTTCCCCTCCTTCGATGTTAAAGCTTATGACTTCACCATTTTCGAAAACTAATTGAATACATTCATTTAGCAAGATGAGATCTGTAAGATTTGTAAATTTTCTTTTGTCCTTCTCGTCATAAGTCTCATAACCAGAAACATTTTTAACATTAAGGAGGTTAATTAACAAAAGAGGCTTATGTGATGTTTCATGACACGCTGTTAATACATTACCATCCAGTTCAAAATATCTTCTCTGTATTCTACCAGATAAATCACCTCCATCTTGAATCATATATCCCGATTTGCATATGCTTTGCTGTCTTCTATATTTATCTAAAATTCTATTAGCCACTTTTATGTCATTTGGCATGATTTCGTCCTTGGAAGTTCTGGAGATACAACTAATTTTTGTTCTCAAACTTGTTACTTCATATGGGTTTAATCCTTTAGCCCACTTATTTTTTAATGATATACTAATATTCTTCTTCTGGAATTTAACCTCTTCTAATTCATCTTTGGAAAATGTGTATGAACCTTTACAATATTCACCATTAGGACCGAATATATGATCCCATCTGTCAGTATCTAGGGCTCTTTGAACATATCTAGTCTTGTAAATAAACTTGGTCTTACGGAACAAATGTCTCTTACCAACTTGAACCTTTTCTTTTACTGGCACTAAATCCGTTTTAACTTTTTCGTACGTACATTTAATAAGAATTTCTAGTGTATTATTCTGTTGTTCAAAAAATTCATCCTTAAGAGTTATAACCAAATCCTTCTTTATATCGAGTTGTGAATTGGTTAGTGCCATGTATGGTGTATTTAATTGTATATCACCAAGTTTACATTGGACGGAGAATTTTGATTTATGTGATTCAACACCTTCCAAATCGAAAAATGATAATGTTTCAAATGAGATGTAAAGTTTACCTGCATCCGGTAATGGATCAGTTAAAGTTCTCGTAATCACTTCCACATTTGGGATGACTGCTTCATCAAGCAGAGAACTTTCCTTTGTTACGACACTTGATTGCTCCAAAGATGCAGAGTTCTCTATTACACTGTCTTCTGAAAATGGCTCGACGAATTCAGGTTTTGAAATTTTATTCGAATCATATGTCGTAAGTTTTGTTGGGAGTGTATGATTTATTCTTCCGATAACTTTGATAGGACTCTCAGTATGAGATTTACTTACTAATTGTCTTGGCTCAATACTTTTGACTGGTGTCCTGGACTCAAAATGTTCGAATAGGATTGTATCATTATTAATTGAACTTGACTCTGACTGAATATTGTTATTTTGATCTTTGGGCTGGTTAATTGAATCAGAATCAATAATTTCAGAATTATTGGTTTGCAAGTTATCTGAATTTTTTTCATCAATTAAGTTGAGGAAATCCCCAAATCCAGTACCTAGTTCGTTCTCAAGGTAATTCGAAAGAACATTAGGCTTGTCAAAATCAATTATTGTTGATAATGATTGTTCAAGGTTTTGAAATGAAGTCTCAGATGAATCTCCATGGCTAACATCTGCTAACTTTTTAACCAGACTTGTTTCAGGTAGAAAAGAAAAAGAATTTAATTTAGAAAAATCTCCATTATCATTAAATGTAAACTCTAGAGGGTTTTCTTTTGAAAAGTCAATACTATTATCGATGACATCACCCATAAACGCATACTCCCCATTGGAATAGATGTTACTGGTTCCTAAGGAAGAAACTCTTGAGTAAGGTCGATGTCCTTCTGAAATAACAACAGCATTCACTTCACTTGAATTTACTCTGCTACTTTCCTTTGAATTTGGATAATGAACTTTACTTCTACTAACTAGACGTGGTTTAAACGAGAAATTTGAATTACTAGGGGTTCCATCTGTTTGTTGTTGACCTTGTAATGAGTTAACCAAAGTGGTCACTGTACCATCTGAGAATCTCGAAGCACTACTTAATGCAGGAGAATTTGCTTTTCCAGTGTGTGTTTTAGCAGTATTATTACCGCCATTTTGAAAATGCCAGATAGAGAGATAATCGTTTGGTAGTTGACCAGTTTTCGACATAGTTGGTATATTTTCTGTCATTGTACTGGCCCCATCTTCAAATATAGTAGTCATAACAATAGGATCTTGATCAACGATTCCTGGTAAATCAAATGATCCATTAAAGTCAATATAATCATTGTTATTCAAACGACTTTCATTTGAGGGTAATGTTAATATCATGTCTGATTTTGTTGAACCCAACCCTCCAATAGTTGATAAAGGTTTGAAATGAACGTCACCTACGTCCTCATGGTCTACTATCAATGAGTGTTCGGAAAAAGTGTCAGGTTCATGATTTTCGGAGCAAGTGGTCGTTTCTATTTCATTGTATATATCTTTGTCGTTCAATGAAGGCGTAGTATCCAAGCTTTCTTCATCATGATTATCATTTTCTTGTTGCATTCTGGGTACACTATTCTCTAGAGCTCTTTCCTCTAAGAGTTTATCATCATCTCTAAGATCTGTATTTTCATTAAATGTATCTCGAGACCTGCTTACAGTATTATGGTCATTCCCATTATTATTTAAAAAAATTTCCTTAGTTTCAAGCATGCTATCCTCACCATCATCATTGTCATTACTTATTAACTTCTCTTCCTCATTATTTTCTACCTCTTTAGCTGTATCGTGATGGCCAGTACTCAATGTTCCAATGGATCCTATACTTAAATCATAATCAGCCAACGTATACTCCCTGACACTCTTAATAACTTCTTCTTCTTGCTCACCATCGATGTAATTACTCTCATGATATAAATCTAAACTGCTGGTTCTATTCATTGTCTCTTCTTGTGCTTCTCTATCTTCACTCTCGATTGTACTACTAGTAATACCATTAGTATCAGTATTATAGTTGACAATCATTTCCATGGTGTCATTGCCTATATCTTTCAACGGTATCTGATATGTTGGTTTTATTCCGGGGAGTAAGGGTACATGGTCTGTACTACTTATTGTATTTTCCATTTCATTCTCTATTTCTTTAACTAAAGAGTCCACTACTTCATCAACTGTAACGTCAGCCATTGTTTTATCTAAGTTAGCACTTAATTTTAGGTATAAAAGTTCTCTATATTGCTTTGACTTTTTAAGAACTAAATTAAAAGTAGCAGGCTTTAACTAAAATTATGTAAGATATATATCTATATTATTCAATTCGATTCAATCTCAAATTGATAACCCAAGTTTTTTTTCCTTTTGTTAAATAATAAATAAATAAAAATGTATGCGGTGTGACAATAACGAAGAACTCAAACAAAATGCAAAGTAGTCAAAAGTCTTGCCGATGTCCTTGTTCTCCATTCTCCCCCTTCTCGATCCCAGCTTACTGCAAGTAAAACGCAACGAACAAACCCTTCTATTACCTAGCAGTTAACTAAAATTGTGTCTCAATATTTGAAATTTTCAGAAAGCAAACTATAATCAATGTTTACATATTTCCTAAATTGGTAAAAACAAAATAAACCAATTTCGAGCTTCAGGCACCTGACTTATAATTATCTCCTCTAATCACGTGAACAATTTTCAATCACTATTCACGAAAAATACGGACTGTTGAAAAAGAATAGAAAGAACAGTCACCAATAAAATAATAGAGATCACCAGATATGACAAGTATATGATCTATTCACATATGGATCTACGTTCTAAACAGATTACACACATCCACAGATATATATATATGTATGTATACAAGTTTGTTTAATAAGTCCTGTGTAGCTTATCATCTTACCAGAGATGTAAGTAGATGGCCAAAATCTCTTTCTCTTGTAAAATACCTCATTATGTAATAAATACGCTCGTATACAAATAGATGTATTCCTTTACCACATAAAGTAAAGTCTAGCTCGTCAAACTAGATTAACTCTGATCACTACCTTGACTAATTGAAGGCATCACTACTTTTACAGATGTTTTCAATTCATCTTTAATTTCTCTTAAATATATACATATATATAGGGGGAATCTATTAATTGCTTTCTTCCTGTCTTTCTGTGGGAATCGTTTTTCTCTATAGCGTTTTGCCTTCCCTTCATTGGCGCCGGCCTCCACCCTTTTCACAATAAAATATACCTTTATAACTCATAATAGACGTTTCGAACTTACTAAGTTTATGTAATCCTAATATATTAATCAAAAAAGAATACAAAAAACTTAGCCTATTAAATACAAGGTCCCTTCCCCATCTCGTTAACAAATAGAGGTTGACTAGAGAAAGAAAGAAAGAGATACGTCAAGTTAAATTGGTAGACCTTCATATCCTATTATAGAATCCAGTAAGGCAAAGAAAAAGAGCATCAAGAAATAGACATTTTCATCCATCCAACATTATGAATGGGAAGGAAACATACCCGAATAATATCCCTAGTATTGCTGAGACGATTGAACCTGGTATCACGATCCCGATATATGATGACACTGCTAGTACACTGACACCAACTGATCAATCACCACAAAAGTTAGGCTCGTATAGATCGAAAGCTGGAAGATTCTCGAATAAGTTTAGCAATATTCTGCCGTCTATTAGTGCGAAGCTGCATCATTCTTCGAAAAAGACTTTACCTCAGGACAAAGAGAATCATTTAAACGCTGGAAGTAGTGACACATCCGTTTCTTCATTAAGTACAAGACATGCATCAGCAAACAATGCAGATTCGTTGAATAAAGAGAAAGCGAATGTTATTCCAATGACTGGTGTACCTTATGGTGCTGGAATAAGATTATCTAACGAACATGATGATAGATTGGTTCAGTTTCCTTCTGCTTCACCTTCTAAAAATGGTCCCATCTCATCTTCTCATAAGCATAGCACATCCTCGAATAACAACAATAATGTCTCTGTGAATACAACTAATGATCAATTGCAAAAACAATTATCAAGGACAAGAAATAATACTCTAGCTTCCCAATATACATCTTTATCTCTGCATCCATATAATTCAGCAGGTACAGGTAATTTATGGCCTACTTCCAGTGCAACAAGTAACGTTCAAAATCAATATCATCAACACAATAGTAGTTACGATTTGAATATGAATATTAATTCTCAAAATACAGCTTTAACTCCTTCATTTGATTATGGTTATGGCTCCTCTTCATATTTTAATGTTCCATTAATGAAATCAAGCACAAATTACGATCCTTATGACTCTTCAAATAATAATACCCATAACATTATAGGTAGTAACCTAAATAATAATAGTAATAACAACAATAATAACAATAATAATACTAACAACGCATTAGGTGGTCAAGGCGATCCATCAATTTGGTCACCAGATGCCGTAGCAAGAAAAAGATCCCAATCTATGGCGACCCAAGTTCATCCAGAGGCATATTATGTTCAACAACCGTTACCTGGTGTGATTCAAAATTCTGAAGCAACCAAACATCTAAATATTGATCAAATACAATTTCCTTTTGATAAGATGGATCAATTCCAATATAATAAAAATTATAGAAACCCATTACAAGAAATTCCTTTAACATCATCTCCTTTATTAATGGATGATATTGATCCTAGATCAATCAGTTGGGTGACAACTAATAGTATAGTACCCCCAATCAATCAGATTAATTCGTTATTACCAACTAACGCCATTGCATTAACCAACATATACCCTCTACAACAGACTGAACCTCAATATATCAACACAGTGAATTTGACTAGTACTTCTCTTGCATCTATTTGTATGAAATTTGGTAATGTTATATCTGTACGGACTATAAGAGACCTAAACATAGCTTTAGTGGAATTCGATTCTATCGATATCGCAAGAAATGCATTGGAATCACTTCAAGGAAAAGATATCTCTATTCTAGGATATTCTTCAAGTATTTCATATGCTAAGATATTACCCCTTTATCATCAAGCTCAACCAAACAAAGGACCAAATGCGGCTCGTAGTTTACTCCAAGAACAATTGGTTAATGGTTCCATAGTATTCCATCAACAAGGTTCAACACAGATACCAATACTTCGCAGTCAGCTCAATGAAAATAAAACGATGCTTCCACAGAAAATCCAACAGCAACAGCAACAACAACAACAACAGCAGCAACAGCAGCAGCAGCAACATACTGTTATGTTACAAAACATGTCTAACAATACAAATAGTACTCAGATTACATTACCTGTTGAAAATGAGAAATGCCCCTTCTCATTACCTCCACCAACCATACAAGTACAAAATGACTTACTAAAAACTATTATAAACGACTTCAAAGTCCCACATGACCAAGGGAAAACATCTCATATTTTGATAAGAGCGTTAAATATTAAGGAAACTGTTGACCTATCTGATTTTGGTCCAACACCTGAACCATTAACCTCGCGTCAATTTCAGACTCCAAAATTACGTGAAATTCGTAAAGCTATTGATTCAAATTCATTAAGTGATGTTGAGATTGAACAATTAGGTATGGCCATGTTAGATGAGTTACCAGAATTAAGTTTTGATTATCTAGGTAATACTATTGTTCAAAAGATATACGATAGATCAAATGATATCATAAGAGATATTATCTTGAGAAAGATATCCAAATATTTGACTTCGTTAGGTATTCATAAGAGTGGTACGTGGGTATGTCAAAAGATGATCAAATTAGCTCATAATCCAAGAGCTCTTTGGTTAGTTACTGAAGGTATCAAGGATTACTGCACCGCATTATTTAATGATCAATTTGGTAATTATGTTATTCAAGAGGTACTTAAATTTGGTGTTCCATGGAATAATTTTATATTTGAAAGTATTCTAGGTAATTTCTGGACCATTTGTAGGAATAAATATGGTGCAAGAGCTATTAGAGCATGTTTGGAAGCCACAGCAATAATCACTACGGAACAAACATTAATAATTAGTTCAATGATTGTTGCATATGGTGAATATTTAATTACAGATAATAATGGTACATTATTAATAACATGGTTATTAGATACATGTCAATTTGATGAAAAATATGTTGCTTTAACTCACAAGATTGTTAGTAATATTGCAACATTGTGTTGTCATAAGCTTGGTTCTTTAACCGTATTGAAAATATTAAACTCTAGAGGCAATGAATCATGTCGAACATTGATATTAGATGAAATCTTTGGAGATAATATTAAAGATGGAAATAACCGTGATCTAGTATTGATTAAAATATTAAGTGATTCATCATACGGGCCAACTTTTATGCATAAGTTATTAACTTCAAGATTATTAGATGATGATATTAGAGTCACTGTGGTTGAAAGAATTCGTAATGTTATTCTGGAGAATAATATATCACAACAAAATCATAAATTAATGGAAGAAGTTGGATTAGTTTCAGTAAATACCACAAATAATAACAACAACAACAACAACAGTAACACAGAAAGATCACCAATGAAACATAATAGAAATTCCGGGTTACAACATATTGCATACAACCAAGGATTAAATGATGTATCATCAAGAAGAATGAGAGGTTTATCTGCATCAAGTGTACGTAGCAACAATGGACTTCCGGGGATCAATATTCAACCAATGACACCAGTTGCTATGAATACTACTAACAATAATATGGGACCATATAATGGGAATAATAACCAGAATGTAAATGTTAATGATGAAACATATCTACAATATGATGGAAATAATAACAACAATAACTTATCTATTCCATTTAACGAATTATCATTGAATCGTACAATTAGTAGTGATACTGGAGATAATAATATTAATAACAACAACAGCGGTTCAAGATTGAATAGTTATGGTTTTTAGATAATAATGAAGGGAACTTCCAGCTTTCGATCTGGAAATCAAATTAAATAAACAGAAAAAAAGTTAAAACGATGAGGGGAGCATATTACATAATATATAATTAATAGCAATACATTTATACAATTCAAAAAAATACAAACTACAAAGAATTAATACAATATTTATCACATCAAATGAGTAAAATTACATGTTAAAGGACTTCAATCACCGATTATTCTAGAACATATATAGATAGATCACCAGCAAGCAACCTATCAAGAACTGTATCCTTGATTTTTATTATTGGTTTTATTATAGCGACAAAGCATCGACGAACATGTCCCCTAATAAAATGTCCTTCATACGTGTCCTAATAAAATAAAATTTATTACAAATTGATAATCAGAATACTTCTGTTAAATATAGGAACAATTCCCATGAAGTGGCTATATGAACATAAATCCTTCTTAGACCCATTAAATGGGTTTGAAGTTCCGTTAGTAATCATTCCGTCTCTTTCTCTTTCTTCGCGGTTTACTGGGTGTAATTATCTCCGAAGTCATCGCTATAGTATCCACTTGCGTACTCTCTCGGCCGATGGATTCAAGCAGCAAAAAGAAAATTCTACATAATAAATTATCATCTTTACATAATCATTTCCATGTAATCTCCGAGGGCCATACAAAACTTGGGAAGAGCAGACTAGTTTATTTTGCTCTCAACCATAAAAAGAGAGAAAATTTTGATAAAAACTGGAATTTCCCTGTGGCGGTGCATAGCAAGGCAACAGAGGTAATGGAAGACTCACTTTGAACCAAAAAGACAAAAAAAAAATTAAAAAGTCGATGATGATTATGTAACAATTTTCATGAATTTACCATGTGAAAAAAGAAAAGCAGTTATGTGACATCTTAACTTTGAGGAGAACATAAGAAGTTAATGCCATTCTTTTCTACTTATATTTTACAATGATACTGAAGAGGAGGCATATATTAGGTAATCAAGAAGCTTATAACAGTAATCTGTAATTATATATAAATAGGATATTAATTCGATTCAATTAAAGAACACTGTAGCATTCTCTTCTTTCTTATAATTCTTGTAAAAGATAACACTAAATAAAAATAATACCAACCACCACTTTATATAAGTTTTAAAAGAAGAAAGAAAGATGTATACAGAATACTTCAAAAATACTTATATGGTAGATATCTTAGAATATCTACGTATAATAACATTAACAGAAGAAGGTATTACAGGTAAATCTAACGATCTTGAAAATCAAGTTTATCCAAGACTTTCAACAGGTACAAAAGTTTGTACTGAAAAAAATAAAGATGATGCTATACTTTGTGATAAAAAATCAATTAATTCTGATTATGATTCGGTAGAAAGTAGAGCAACTTTTAGTTCGAATCAAAATAGTATAAATTCAAATAATAGTGATCTACAAGAAACCGTTATAATAGAGAAAGATCAATTAGAAGAAGAAAAGATCAACGATCCATTTCTGGTGACATGGAATGGTCCTGATGATCCTGATCATCCAATGAATTTTGATTCATTTAAGAAAATTTTAATAGTTGTTCAAATTATGATGATTACTTTTGTCACATATATGGCATCAGCAATTATTACTCCTGGTCAAGAAGAAATTCAAAATGAATTTAAAGTTGGTCATGTTACCGCTACCTTAAATTTATCTGTTTACGTTTTAGCATATGGTATTGGTCAAGCTATCTTTTCACCATTGTCAGAGGTTGCAAAGATTGGTCGTCAATGGGTTTACACTTATACTTTCTTTCTTTTCACTATTTTTCAAATAGGTTGTGCTACTGTACATAGTTTTGGTGGCCTTGTGGTACTTAGATTTATTACTGGTGTTTTATCAGGTCCTGCTTTAGCCACTGGTGGTGCTAGTATTGCTGATATCATTGAAGGAAGAAAGCTTACTGCTTATATCGCCCTATGGGCCATTGGTGCTGTCCTAGCACCAGTGATGGCTCCAATTGTTGGTGCCGCTATGGTGATTGCAGAAGACTGGAGGTGGATCTTTTGGTTATTGACAATTATTTGTGCAGTGTTTCTGATAGTCTTTATTCTTTTCTTCCCTGAGACTTCTGGTAATTCAATTCTTTCAAGAAGAGCCTCAAGAATTAGAAGACAAACCGGTGATGACAGATACTATACAATTCAAGAACAAAAAGATTCCTCTACAAAATTAAGTGAATTCCTGATTATGACTTTCTACAGACCATTTGAAATGATTATTAAAGAACCTATTATCCTTGCATTTGACGTATATATATCTGTCATTTATGGTGCATTATACCTTTTCTTTGAATCTATCCCAATTGTCTTTGTTGGTATTTATCATTTTACTTTAATGGAAAGTAGTGTTGCATTCCTCGGTTTCTTGGTCGGTTGTATCATTGCTTATCCAATTTTAATAATATTCTTACACAAAGTGATCTATCCAGCACATGATAACAATACATTTGTCCCTGAAAAATTCTTACTTTTAGCAATGAGTGTAGCATGGTTACTACCACTATCCCAATTCCTGTTCGGTTGGGCTGCTAGTGTTCATTGGATCATCCCAGTGATTGCTGAAGTATTTTTCATCATCGCCGTTTGGAACTTATTCCAAGTTACATTCTCTTATTTGGCCTTTAGTTTCCCAAATCATGTGGCATCTGTCTTTGCTGGGAACGGTGTCATGAGATCCACTTTTGCTTGCGCTTTCCCCTTATTTGGTAAAGCCATGTTTGATAACTTGGCTATAGAAGGATACCCTGTTGGCTGGGGGTCTACAATTGTTGGATTTGTTACTATTGGGTTATCTTTGATCCCATTCGTACTATATAAGTATGGTGCTACATTGAGATCCAAATCAAAATTCCAAGCTTGAACAACTCTAAAATTTTTACAATCTAATTACATACTTGCATTTATACACACTTTCATACATACATCTAATTCATTCATTTTTTTTTAAATGTGTTTGGCTTTATTTTATTATTATATGATACTTGTGACATTATATATTTCACTACTGTGAATGGAGCCATTTCCCTTATGATTAGAAAGCTAGGAAAATAATTAACAATAACTGCACAGGTGTAACATGCATTTAAGACCTGAAATAACTTTTAATTGATTATTTATTTATTTTATTTATTTATTATTATTTTTTTTTAGAATTTGATTTACTCTTCGTCTGATTCTTCATCGTCACTTTCAGCATTTTCTAACCAAGTAATGAAAGGTTTTGCAGCTCTACGGACCTTCTTAGAGACATCCTTTGGAACAAACTTCTTGGAACTCTTAGTACCAAACCTCATGATCTCTTCTTCAGAGACAATATCGTTGTTGTATAGTTGTACTAAAATCTTTGGTAATTGTGGGATCATATCTTTATGTTCTAGACCTAAGAATCTTTCAATACCACCAAGGAAATTTCTTTCAAATTCTTCTGAGGTGAATATTTTCTTGAAAAATGGAGCATGTGGAACAATTTCATTTAGAATATCTTCATCAAATAAACATTGAGCAAGCACAGCGGCGACCTTTGGCTCGTTCAATAAATCTAATTCGGAGGCCTTCTTATATAATTCAATATCACTTGGTAACTCATCGGTTTTTAATATCCATTCACCAAATTCATCTAATTTGGTTAGACCAGCGTCGATGGCACCAGAATCAACTTGTAATTCCTTAGCACGTTGTCTAATGGCTTCTTGAGACATATCAACAGCCCAGTCATCATCCTTAACTTCTAAGTCTTCTAAGTTAGAGGCGGCAGCATGAATTTGACGGGTCAATTCATCGTTATCTTCACCATCAGCTGTAGCTGGTAAAGAACTATCAGCTGCATCATTGGCGGTCTTACCTTGTGCGATATCACTAATAGAAACACCACCACCACGGACATTGGCAGAGGCTGTAGCGGCTTTTCTCTTTTTGGAACCAGTATTAATGGATTCAGGTGGATTCTTTAGGATAAAAGAAGAAAGTTTATGTCTTAGATCCATTGGGGTTCTTTTACCACAGGCTTTACAATCTCTTACTAAATCGCTGGACTTAGTGATAATGATTTCAGTTTCTGGATTCTTACAACTACCACATAAAACGAATTTGTTAATGAAACCATCTAAAACATCTTGTAATTTAGCTGGTTCGTGGACACCGTTAACTAAATAACGATCCTTGTCCACAGAGATGGAAGTTTGGGTACCTAGTTCAAAACCAAAATACTTAACAACATAAGGGACTGGTCTGTTTAAAGCACGAGCAACGTCGGCGATATTTAAAAGAGCTGTCTTAATACCGTTACCTCTACCTTCAACCTTAGCTTGGATTGGAGGCATTTTGTAACGGTAGAAAGGATCATGGTTGTCTCTGCAAATATTAATGGACATAATGGATCTGTTTTATTTTCAAAGAAGAAGAAGTAAAATTGTGGGTTAAAAGATAAAAATATTAATTAACAAACAGGAAAAGAAAGTTTCAAATTTAAATCAGATTCAATCTCGTGTATATGGATACCCTTTACTTGTTACTTGATAGTAATTTATATTGCTAATCAAATAAACAAAAAAAAGAACATCAAACAGTTATTCCTACTAGTTGAAGTTAAGCAATATTATTATATTAACTCTCCCTTCCGTCGTTCGTCTGACCTACCACTATGTCAAACAAATCGTATGTAAAAAATTGAAAGCATCGAATAAAATGGACAAAAATTTTTCATTTCTGAATTTCTCTCTCTTTCTTTGCTTGTTCTGTGTCACCAAGCGAGTATCGTACCAAGTGATAACACTCGGAACTATAAAAATGCTACTTCAACCTCAGCGGTTAATGAAATAACTTGCAATTAAAATGTTTTCAATTAAAAAAACCCAACTTTTTAAGACTATAATACATTTATTTCAAACCTCTTTTGAATTTTCTGGTAATGGAAACTCTATTTTCACATTTCAAAATTTGCTAAGGTGGCAGGAAAAGCACACTTGCGAAGAAATTCTAAAACGAATGTGTTAACAACCCAGACTTTTCACACCATGGAAAGTTTGTTTTGACCGCCCCCCATCCTAAAACCAGGCCTCCTTATATACCAAAATTCCTCTTAAAGGATTCAAAACTTTAATGAAGCATTTCAGCGGTTAAATTCTTGTTGACTGACAAGCAAAGGATTGATACCCTCAATTTAAAATTCCTTTCTAAATATAAAAAGATACAGAACAAATTCGCAACAAAACACACAGATCGCTATTAGCTGCTTTAGCGATCTATATATATTTATAGTCCCCAATAGGATGTGTGTCACTTTATCATAAGGTGAAAGGGCTTAAATAGCACTCAATTCAAACAGTTCGCGCTTCTCTCAAATCACACTGAAAATTGGTCGGGCAAATAGATTTCTCTCTCTTTCACGATGAATGGAACAGAACAATTCCAAATTCAACACAGATAGAGATGGATAGATAGATAGATATATTTGAGCAGTAAAACTTACTACAACGTGATAAGTAAAGGATTGAGAATTGCTAGGAGTAACTAATCTAGTTAAAAATAAATAGATTGAAGGTCATGGATTTACAGAATGCTAGGGAGAGATTCCTAACGATAATGAGTACCAAACTCTACACAGCATTGGAACCTGCAGAATTGAATGAACTATATGAAGAGCTTATGTTGTACATGAAGCGTGGAGATGTTTATTTATCAGAACCTCAAAATTTATCCCTTATGGAGATGCTGTTTTATTTAAATGTCTACATGAGTAGTGATGTTAATGCTCAAGTGATCTATAACAGTTTAAGGGATCGTTTAGGAGAACGTTCACCAAAATTATATGTAATGAATGCTACATTGATGCAAATTAATGAAAATGATCTTGTAGCGTTGAAATATTTAGAAAAATTGATTAATGAAGAATATGAATTTGATTCAGATCCTGCTACTTATGGAATTATTATGAAAAAGATTTTATCTATTAAATTTGAATTATCAAAAGCAGGTAAATTGAATAAAGAGAATGATATACTCAAAGAATTAATAGACTTGGTAGAAAAACTACCTCTAGATCCTGAATTATGGTGGTATTTGGGTGAAACTTATTTTAAAGATGGTCAACTTGATGAAGCAAAATATTGTTTTGAAGAAGTAGTATTAATTATGCCATTCAATTATGTTGGATTTGCTAAAGTTGCAGAAGTCACATATTATAAAGCTCTACAAAATAAAAATAATGAAGTTTTACTTGATGAATCCTTAAAGAATGCATTGAGGTCCGTAGAGTTAAGTGGATTATATCTAAAAGGATGGTCATTCGTTGCTGTAACTGCAAAGGCCCTAGGTAATAAACACGAAGTATTATCATTAGCCACAAAGAAAATACAAGAGATTGAAACTGTTTCTAATAGTCGTGATAAAGTTGCTGCCGGGTTAATTATAAAGGACATGGAATTGGTTTAGTGGTCTTTATACATACGCATATATATATATATATATATATACCTAGGTAATGTATCCTTATTCTCTTTTATCGTCAATTAACACAGTTTATTAATATATATATAAACTAATGGTATCTTGCATGGGAAGAAAAAGAGGTAATTATTGTTTTAAATCATTAAATGTCATTATTTCGCATCTTTTATCGACAATTGGTGTATTTTCTGCTACCCAATTACTATCTCTTAAAGCAGCCTTTGGATCATGCGAATGTGAAATATGATGCTTAGCAAGAATATCGTTATAATTGCCCTCATATTTTTTAATCTCTCTCATCACAACATTGTCATCAAATTCTACGTATACCCTAGTGTCGTAGACTCTTAATAACACATCATCTACTCTTAAGAAAAATCTACATAATAACAACAATCTTTCATTCATTACCCTAATTTTCACATTAAGCATTGAAACACCACAATCTGCTAACTCATCCTCAAAGAGAACCATCTCATCAAAATAAAGTATCTTATCTTGTTTTGACAATTTATCAATTGGTAACTTCAAATTATTATCTACCTTAAAACTATATGTATCTTTATTATCTCCAACGACTGTACCTTCATACTCTGTACTATATGTCCAATCATAATTTTTAACAATCTTTAATGAATTCTCCATATCAATAGACGAGGAGTCGCCCATAATATCCTGTTGCTGTTGTTGTAATTTTGAATCTAACCATACTTTGGAATGAGCAACACGAATCCCTGAATCTGATAACGATACCATCTTCAAAGCATCTAAGGTATTGAATTCTATCCCCCATTTATGTTCAGTATTCATAATTCGAATGAAATTATTACCGAATATCATCTCAGGCAAAGCACCTAATCCTCTCAATTCCTTAGTTTCCCAATTATTTAGTTCTTCAGCGTTCAGGATAGGTCTTTTCTTTGATGAAATAGTCCAATTATTGATTGATATTGAGGGACGATCCTCTAATGGTAGAAAAGCCTTTGGTGAAGGTATAATCACACCACCACAGTTAGCACATGGAGGGTTGTTTGGATTATTGCATATGTGTCTGGCGGGTGGTGATCTTGAAGGGGCTGAAAACATTCTACCTGTTGTTATTGTCCTGGGTTCGCCACCATTCAACGCATTTTGTGGTATTTTATATTGTGAGGTCGACGATTGTGTAGTAGTCCCACCTCCAGGTATCCTAGCCTGTACAGTCCTCATATGCATCTGTCTAGCGGCATCAATCTGGATAGTGTTAATACCTTCCGGACGGGTAAACTTCTTATTATCTGGTCTTTGAGACATAATTGGCTTATTTGTGTGTGGTAGTGGTTCTCTAGAAATAGGGTGTAGGTACGATGCGCCTGAGTTGAACTGTCTCCAAGAGTATAGTCAATCAAAATAGACACTTTCAGTAATTATCTGGTAATACACTCTATGTAAGAAAATGATGTGAAATCAAATACTAGGTACACAAAATCCCAATTACTTCTGTTCTCTTAATTGCAGTTCTCCACTAATCGTGCAGAGTTGTAATTGATTTCTTTCTATTCGAAGTTTCGCTCTTTCTGTTTTTTCCATTTATTTCATAATAAAGAAAATGAATCTTTAACTTTCTGCATTTTTAAAGAGAAAAAATAGATGATAACATTTGCAACTTCGAAAATAAGCAAGGCTAATTAAAATATATCTCCCTTGACTTATATATACGTGGCAAGATGACTGATAGACTAACCCAACTTCAAATATGTTTGGACCAGATGATGGAGCAATTTTGTGCGACTTTAAATTACATCGATAAGAACCATGATTTTGAACCGAGTCATCCATTAGAGGCAAAGATGAGTGATAAACACGCTACAGTGAGTAATCCAGAAGAGTTCTCAAACACTATTGATGAGCTCTCTACTGATATAATATTGAAGACGCGACAAGTTATCAAATTAATTGATTCTTTACCCGGTGTGGATGTCTCCACAGAAGAACAAATGCATAGAATCGATGCTTTACAAAAAAGTCTAGTCGATACAGAGAATAAAAAAATCGAAGCTATAAAAGAAAAGGAAAAGCTGCTGAAGAATGTAGATGATTTGATAACATTATTTGTGTCGGGGATTGCAGATTCAAGACGAAACTTAAATTCAACAAATGATAACGTTATGTCAGATAACTTTAAAGAAAGTAATGTTACTAATATAGATATACCATCAAAGGATCTTTGAATAGTGCAGGAAAATGAATTTCCGAATGACTAAAGGTTTTGCCTACCTATATGCATATATACATACATATATATATATATATATTCATTGCTAGTCTACATACGAACTCTGTACACTAGAATACTTAAGTAAACAACCCAAACTGTTAGTGTCACATGCTTCCAGTTATATAATGAATAAATCAAGTAACCAAAAAGTATTTCCCCGAATATATAACTTGGCAAGTATGCGACCAAACCAAGATTATCGTGTTTGGCTTTGGAGAAAATGATATAATGTAATAACCAACCAATGAAACATTCGAATGTAGTTTCATTGAATATTAAGGTTGAGGGGGTGGAAAGTTTATTGTTTTCACTGTCGTCATCCCATGGATTTATCTTAATACATTGGATAGAAACCCACCCAATATATACAGCGATTGCAACAATAGAAGAAAACCAACAATGGATGATAAATGGATTATCGTTTAATATAAATGGCCATTGTGTTATTTTCATATCTTTCAATTTATAATTTTTTACAAAATAATCGTATCTGAATTGTCTTCTTAGAACTTCGATAATTAACTTCCAACTATCCTTATCAGCTATAGACAGTGTAGATTTATCAATACCAAATGATTCAAATTTAGTATCTTTCTTCAATGGGCTTTGTTCAACTACAATGACTTCCCATGTACTAAATTGTTGTGTAGCTGGTTCAACACATAGTACTTCTTGTTCATTCTTACCCCACTCTGATGTTAATCTAATATCGTGACTTAGTAACTGGCAATTTTGACCAATGTTCCTCAATTGTATCTTCAGATTATTTCTTAATGGTTCATGTAATTTGGTAGTTTCTAATCTCCAATATTCATCCCTGTTTCCTGCATACTCTGAATCACCTGTGCATGAAACCTCCTTATCGTATTCTTGTTCACTGATTGGTGGTTTGGCTGATGATACCCTCAGTAATTTACCTGTTACCTTATGTCTCAGTACCACATGATGGCTCTCGTTGATGTCTTCGTTGATGTCTGATCTTTCTGAGGGTTCAAGGATCCATTTATTCCATTCGGTATCTTCGATATCCGAAACAGTAATCAATTGATCACGGGAGCCACCAGGGTATGTTTCGTTATGTGAAGTCAAATAACCTCCTAGAGAGTTCAAATGGCGAATTCTTATAACTGCACCATAATTTACAGTGGTGGGGACTTGTTCAACTCCACGTAAATAAGTTTGGAAAACAGATGACATATATTGTGAATATTCAGGGGAATCAATTTTCCAACTTCTTAATTGTTCGTATTCCATCACATTGAAAACGATTAATGGAATTGTAAATAAGAAGGAAAACTTAGCCATTGTAACCTTAATAATTCTTCCGGTAGATAATGTGACATCAGATATTAGATTCCAGAATTGTAGAACTGAAATAATCATTATCCATAACCAAGTCATAAATCCAATGAATTTTGTAGACATTAATAACCCTATTAGAATGGATAATACAAATGATAATCTAGCAATCTTAAAGGTAGCATAAATGTTTTGGATTCTTAATGTATTCCAAAAAAATATCACTAGAGTTAAGAAGTAGATAAAAATTGGATCAACCGAAATTTCAGAAGATAATTCTTGGAATAGTGGAAGGTGGCCTATTGTGATTATAGGAATGGTAGAAAATACTAAATCGATATTGGATCGTCTTAAAATTAAATATATGTTCAATAGGATACCTGTACCGAATACTAACGAGACGTATCTTAAATTGTAAGCAAACAAATGAGACAATATATAGCATGTATATGGGCCTGTGAAACTCAAAATGAATTCATTTTTCTTATAATGGTTAATCAAGTCCAGTAATTTAGCCTCTTGTGTATTTACGTCTCTAGTGAAAGAAAGATCACTCATGTTTAACAAGTAATAAGGGAAAATGGTTATAATTAGCGTAGATATTATTATATCATAGACGCTAAGTGTTCCTAATTTATTTTCAAAGAATGAATTGGCCTTCTTGTATGCATGTGGTGGATTACCATCAATAACCTTATTGGCGTCCTTAATCGAACTCTTCGTATTCTTCTCCTCAATTGACGACATGATTGACAAAATTTCTCAAAATTGGTATCAAAGAATAAAACCCAATCCCCTCACAGAAGTTCGTTGACCCAAATGATATAGCTTGAAATGCTCTGTGTTATCTTGTTCCCTTGACTTTATCTCTGTAAGTCCTTTATAATTTGTTCATTCTCTGAATCATCAATTTATTTTATTTTATTTTTTTTCAGCGCATCGCTTCACGAAATATTACTATTAGAGCCAAAAATATTTCGAGATGAAATAAAATAGTATCTGTTGGCTCAATTTCAAAGTCTCAGGGTGTCATTTTGTTTTATTTTAGCCAGGCAATAGAATTATACACCTTATATGACCACAGAGTGCATTTTAAAAGAATTTACGAAACATTTTCGTTTACTATAACATAGTTACCATTTCAAAACTTTTTTACAAATTGATTGTTCTTGTAGTGTAGTGGCTATCACGTTGCCTTCACACGGCAAAGGTCTCGAGTTCGAACCTCGACTAGAACATTTGTTTTTGCCAAAAGATATTATCTCATAATTTTTTTTTAATACGTATAGTACTTTCAACAGTTTCTGGTGTCGTCAAGATGACTATAGTTCCCATCGTAACCACCTCTTCTCTTTAGTTGTTAGACTTTTCCTTCCTTTCTCTTTCTTAATGGAGATGGTTTTATTCTCAATATTTTTATCTCCACAGCATCGGTGATTTTAACAAAATTTATATCGAGATGAGCACATCACCGGAGAATATTATATTTAAAAGAATATAAAATACAGAGAGACCTGTCAATATATTCAAAATTGTATCATCAAAGTATTTGTTGAGTTGTATTATCCCTGTATTATTTATATTTAGACAAAACTAGTCATCGAATATTATTATTGGAACATCACAGTTTGCCACTGAAAAAAATACATTTTATTTTAATTGTTTTTAATCTCAAAAGTGGTAGAAAAAAAAACCGTTTTAGTTAATAGGATATACTATACGTTAGATATTACTTTAGTATATTTGTTTAAGTTTAATATTCATTAAACCAATCTGCATTCTTTTAGTTTGTCTTTCCACGATTATCAAAGACAGTCAATGATTAGCATCACCTTCATTGACATTATTTTTTTTATTGGAACCCTCACTAGCAGTCATATTTTCAGCAGTTCAAAGGGAGTACCTAAATATACTGGTTTGATTTTATTTGTTGTTTATTAATTGGAAGTCACAGTTGTTATCTTCAATACAATAGGTATGGCTAATAAATCCAGACCAAAGCAGGTGAAAGCTCCTTATCGGAAATATGTTGCTGGTGAAGGTTTCAGTAAAGTAATGCTTTCCAAAAAAAGTTATAAAGAGCAAAAGAAAGAGAATAGTAATTATAGTAATGATAAATGTGATGATAGTGGAGAAAACGAAATAAAATATCATATTATTAAGGATGCCTCTGGTAAGACATATTACATGTATGATACTAGTAATGGTAATGACCATTTAGAGAAGACACCTGAAATTCACACTGATACAGTATGTAAAGATGATTATGATGGTAAAGAGAACACCCTCATGATACGGCAAAATCCATCAAAGATGAAACTTCCATGGGAGGTCCAAAGTTTAATATTACAATATGCAGATGAGATAGATATAGATTATTTGGTGGTATGTAAGACGTGGTATATGATGTGCTTACCTTTATTATATGCTAAACCTGAATTAAACAGTAAAAATTTTAATAATTTTATTACTTCAATAATAGTAGATAGAAAAAAAATCTTTGGTCAATATATTAAAGAATTAGATCTTTCTACAATTTTACAAAGTGGACGGAATTCTTATGTCTCAAAATTATTAAGACGTTGTTCTAGTAGCCTTGAAAAATTTACAGCACCACAGACAAGTTTTGGGTACGCTCCATTGATATCGTTAAAATCGTGTCATCAGCTTCGATATTTAGATTTAGGTTTAGTCTCAGAGACAGTCAAATTAAAAGAATTGTTTGCAGCGATTAAGAATTTCAAATATTTAACACATTTAGCATTTCCAAGAAGTTCCGTAGATTGTGAAGGTTTTAGAGAATTTGTATGGCCCCAGAATCTTTTATATTTAAAATTAAGTGGTGGTATAACAAATGAATTTGTCATTGATACAATGTGGCCAAGTACAATTAAAATTTTGGAGTATTCCTTTTGTCCCAAGATAAATGAAAATGCGATATATACTATGCTTTCACAAATTGGTGATAATTTAACACATCTTTATTTTCATTATCCTATGCCTGCATTAAGAGATAATTCGCTAGATTTTATATTTAGATATTGTACACATTTAGTAACAGTACAATTAATGGTTGACTATACATCCAAATGGGCATTTTCAGATGAAATGTTGATTCCAATATTTGACTTCAAGAGGCCGTTAAGAACAATATTCCTGGAGAGTAGTGGTACTTTAGGGATGGCCTCTAAGATTCATCCGGATGATTTCACTATTGCTCTGTTGGAGCATCGATTACCAAGTTTAAAATACATTCGATTATCTCCAAGACTTGGTTGGGACATGGATAGTGAGGATGTTTCTGACTTGGTGAATGCATTAGAAGAACAAGATGGTAGTTTATACGTCGGGAAACCATAATCTTTGATAATCTCTGTTTTGTTATACGTAATTTTCATTCAACAGGTGATGAATCTACATGTTAGAGCTTAGACAAGGAAGAGTTGAGCTAATCAAAAAAATGTAACAACATATTTTTATTTTACCTATATTACATATATAACGTCTGATACTTTATAATGGATCACATATTTGCATTAATTAAATCATTATTTCCCTTTGTAATAGTTCGAAATCTTTATTGTATTAGACAGGCCGGTAGTGCAGTAATAAAAAATGTTTATTTTAGTATGAAGCGTAAAGCTCACTAAATCATTTCCCTTTGTAATAAGAGTAAAACTCAAGTAACAATAAAAAAAACAGTACACATTTGTTACCGGTTAAAGAGAGGATTGAGTAAAATAGTGAGCAGGACAATTATAATAAAATAGAGTCTACCATTGGTTGTCAATTATTGTTTAAGAACGAGATGACTGGTCAGATATATTTCAGTAAATTCCTCGTTACCGAGCAAGTATTTTACGTATGTATATCAATTAATTTTATTAATTATTTATAATGGGTGGTTTTTTTTTACTAACATACAGTATAACAGGTATCTAAACATACTTTTGCATTGGTTAACTTAAAACCTATTGTTCCTGGTCATATATTAATTGTTCCATTAAGAACTTCCGCAATAACTTTGGGATCGTTAACCCCTGAAGAATCTCAAGATTATTTTAGAACCTTACAATTGATACAACAATTCATTAAATGGGAATACAAGGCAGATTCTTTGAATATTGCTATGCAGGATGGTCCAGAAGCAGGTCAATCTGTACCACATGTCCATACGCATGTAATACCAAGATATAGAAAGAATAATTTTGGTGACGAAATATATAAGAAGATAGACGATTGGCAATTCAGAAGAGATATATATTTAGGAAATGGAGGTCGTGAGGGAAGGAAGCAAGATGCTTCTAATTTTGCTCCAGACCGGGAAAGATTTGAACGTGATGCAACTGTTATGCATGAAGAAGCACGTACTTTAAAGAAAAGATTAGGAGAATTCGTTAAAGAATTCCCTGAGATTAATGAAAAATGGGGCGAACATAATTGAACAAAGTTCCCTCGTATATATATAAGTATAGACCATATATATTATTGAATGCATATTTTGTTCAAATATAACTATGTGAAGTACCCTTCTATCTTTCAGTTCGTGATGTCTCTTTTGTTTTAAGATTGGGAGAGTTTCGATTCGCTTTGTCCCCCATTAACGATTTAAGGATGGATTCTTGAACAATGAAGAAAGAACAATGCCAAGAAACATTGAAGTGATATAAGTTGTGTGTTCGAACTTATCAAGGAATATTTAAAAGTAAATTCAAAGAGAAGAAGAAACTGCACTAAAATGTTAGTTAAAAATCATCGAGGAATCCAAGTTTGGTTGATATCTATATTGATATTAATACAAGGAATACTTGTTTATTCGGCAGATACAACAATAACACATAAAGTATATTTCGATATCAAACATGGGGATAAAAACGTTGGTAGAATCAGTATTGGTCTCTATGGATTAGCAGTACCTCAAACTGTTGAAAATTTCTATGAATTGACTATCTCTAGTAGTCCAGCCATGGGATATGTTAACTCCGTATTCCATCGTGTCATTCCAGATTTTATGATTCAAGGTGGGGATTTTACTAATGGTGACGGTACTGGTGGTAAGTCTATATTTGGTGATACATTCAAGGATGAAAATTTTGAAATCAGTCACGATAAACCAGGTTTATTATCAATGGCCAATCGTGGTAAGGATACAAATGGATCTCAATTTTTCATTACTTTAAAGGCTACCAAATGGTTAGATGGAAAACATGTCGTCTTCGGAGAGGTCATCGACGGTATGAGCGTAGTGCAATATATTGGCAACGTCAAGGTCAATTACAGAGATAGACCTGTGGAAGATATCCGTATTGTTGATTGTGGTGAATTAGAGACTGTTCCATTGACTAACCATCAAGCCGCGGAATTGCAAGACGAACTACAGAAAGAAGCTCAAGAAGAACAAGCAAAACACGACGAATTATAGAATGAAAAAAATCAGTTTAACATCATCCCAACTACCTTCTTTATATACATATATATATATCTTTATCATTATCTAACCGTTCAGTAATAAATCACGACCAACGAGCAGTTCATTTCTTTTCAATAAAATGAGTGTATGTGTGTTACCCTCCCATCCTTGAAAATTAAATATTTAAATTTTTGGTGATTGAAAAAGTATAAAGAAAGAATCAACAACTTCAACTTACTAAAATCTTTGGTCTTTAGAGCTGATTGATAACAAGAGATAGAAGAGACTGAGGTAAAACAAGAAGTGACACTGGTTTTTTGTATTACTGTTATTTTTTGCTTTGTTTTTAAAAGTATAGGACATCGCCGTGATAAAGCAATAACCTTTTTGTTGTGCTTTCATTTCTAGAAACGAAATTTTAAAATTTTGCTAGCGATTTTCGCGTACCACTATTAAAACATCTTTTTAAAACTAGAATTCAGTTTAAGGTATTAAATTTGAATTAAAAAAAAAATATCAATACCTTTTCGAGAGTTAGTAGTATCATATCATATTCGAGGAATTGAATTGGTCTCTACTAGAATTGCGGGAATAAAAAAAGGAAGACTGCTAAATTTTTTAGAATAAATCATTAATCAAGGAAGAAAAAAAATTCACAATGGATATTAGAGGTAGAAAAATGAGAAAGCCACCTGCCTGTGTGCAGTGTCGTAAGAGAAAGATTGGTTGTGATCGTGTTAAACCGATTTGTGGTAATTGTAACAAAGCTGGTAAAAGTGATTGTTTCTACCCAGATGTTCCAGGTAGATATGTTCCATCTAGTAGTTCATACACTAGTACAAAACAGCATGTTGATAGACCAGTTGGAAATTTGATCACTAATTATAATTCGATTCCACATTCCAAAGAGGCTACATCGATTTTACAACATAATCCTGAATTGGCGTCTTTAGAACAAATTAGAGAATATAATACACGTTTACAATTATTAAGTCAAGATCAAAGTAGAGCATCTCCATCTCCATTGGAAAATGCTCAATTTATACCTAGAGCTACTACTAGTTTCGAAAATAAACCAGTATCATCAGCTAATGAATCTTCCCGTCATTTGAACTGGGTTCAAGGACCTGCAATCTTTGATCAAATGACAGCTCCTTATACGCAAGAAGAAGTTATGTTGAAAGAAATGAATTTCTTAAGGAAAAGATTATTGGAATTACAAGAAGTCACTGGGAAGAAAGTTCAAGGTGTCGATTTATCATTTGATGCTTCTTTAAATAGAGTTAATGATTATTCTTCTAACAATAAGTCTAATAATAAGAAGAGAAAGATTGATGATAAAGTTACCGATGGTATATCAGAAGCAGAATTAAAATTTAATGAAATTTTAGATGAATTTAAGGATTTGGATCCAAGATTTCTGGATTATACAAAGATTTTCTCAATCTTTGGTTCTCAAAACTTACCTTTACCAGATTTTGAAGATACACCAAATTCTATTTATACTAATCATTTCTTAACTTTAAGAGATAATTTTTCTTATAATTTTAGAAAAACTTTCGCATCAGTAATTAAAAATAATTATGAAGCAGAATTGACGTCATGGAAACGTGAAAAAATTGAGCTTGCAAGTTTAAATCTATTAAATGGTCCAGTTGAAGATAATAAACCGACACAAATTAAGTTCCCATCTCGTGATATAACGCAAGCTATGATCACTAGATTCACTTATATTGCTAAGGATATTAACCTTTTAATCCCAATTTTAAAAACTAGAGAACTGTATAGTTCTATTGATCAATCATTTGGTCGTGAACCAGTCTTCGATCCAGCTACTTTAAATATTGGACAATTGATCACCTTTGGGCAAATTTCTTTCTGTTTACTATTTACTTATGAATCGTTGGCATCATCAGTTTTAATTATCTTAAAGGATGAACAATTGGAAGGATTTAATCAATTAATAGAGTTTTTGCCACAATTGATGAAAAATATTAATGCAATTAAAGCTGAATTAGATAAGAGAAAAGGATCTCTTCAAACTATTGAAACTTTGAAATTCATTGCATTATACAAATTCTATCAAACTATTACATCTTTATCATCATCTGGCGCAGATAAAGTAAATGATTTTGTTGATTTTGATGAAGATGTTCATTTAGCTTTACATTTAGGTATTAATGATGAACAAAAAGATGAAAATAATATGCTAATTTGGAATTTTATCTATAAAAATTATTGTTGGAGACACTCCTTTAAAGGTGAAGTCCCTATTATGATGGTCGGTGATAAATTAAATACTGCACCAATTGTTGATACTTTATTAAGTTCGGATTTTTCCTTTTTAACATATCAAATGGAAACTTTGCAATATTTACAATCTAAGGATCAAATACTTTCTCTAGAAAAAGTGGTTCGTATTAAAGATATTTTTAAAAATAAATTTGATGCTCAAACAAAGAGATGCGTAATGTCAGGTTCAACAGCAATTGCTGTTAATAATGTCATTGACACAATTATTTACAGAAAGGGAATGTTATATATGACTTATTACATCCTATTACAATATGAAGTATTAAAGGATACCGAAAATTTCATTAAAATATACAAAGAATTACTTCAAATGATTCAAGATACAATCTTTTACATTTTCTCTAACCTTGCGAATAAGACTATAGCAGGTTATGAATTTCTGTATATGAATAAATTATTCATTACTCTAAGATTAATTTGTACATTATTAGTGGCTCTTCAACAACGTAGTAAATTTGCTTTCGTGGATAAAGAAATGGATAATAAAGAAAAACTTTTAAGAGAAAGTGGTGCACAAGCTGATTTGTTTACTACGATTCTAAGAAAGTTATTAATGTTACTTGAAGATTACACTAAGAATTGTAAAGTTAATAGTTCCATAATCGCAAGCACCATAACAAAGATACAGACATCGATAGCTTTTATTTCATTAGCAGATGATCCTGTAGAAGGTGAAGATGTTTCTGATGATATCAAAACAAAGAAAACAGCTCTTGTCGAAGAAAGTAAAAAAACATTACAAAGTGTGGCAAACAGCTTCGAAAACTTTAGTGTCGATGACTTCATCAAGTTTAACATTACTTTGAAAAATATCTCAGAATCATTAATCGTCAATGATTTCTACACAAAACGTGATCGTTTTGTCTCTACTAATCCAGAAACACTTGGTATTAATGCGGAAACCTTTGGTATAATATACAATGCAATGGAATGATTTTAACGGTATTTTTTTGTACCACAATGTATCTTTATTCTTCATTTCCCTCAAAATTTGATATATCAGTATGTACTATTATGTAATTATAAAAGAACACAAGACTTATAATTTCAATTCTTGCCTAAATTAGCATTGGGTGAGACAAATAGTTAAGTTACTTTTAATTCGTTGGTGCAGGTGTAAGCGTATCTATTTGGAATGACTATATGTATGCAGTTATCGAATATCCGACAAATGCACCCAGATATATCCCAACTACCACTGGGATTGGCCATACTTGCCACTCCCTGTCCCAATCAAGAGGGATAACCACACAACTGATCCAACCACCTATCAAAATTGCAATGAAATATTTCTTCCATAGGCCAACTTTGAAATCACAATTAAATACAGAATACAAGGCTGGGTAGGCTAGGAAACTGGCATGTAAGGCTAATAGCCAAGTTTGAAATATATGTTCAACAAATGGCGCACCAAACAGAATAATAATAATCATGGCCGGCACACTAAGCACTATAGAACCTCCAATTGTTATTAGCAAAAGTGGAACATTAATCTTTAATCTCTTGTTACCATATATCGTACACTTGTTGAATTGGAAGATCAAATATGCAATTTGCAATGGAATCAAGGTAAGAAGTAAACTCAAGGTATCGTAATTATTGGACACTTTGATGTAATAGTATAATAATATCAACAAATGAAAGGGGACTGTTGTCAAAGTTTTTCTAATATAAACAGGTGGACGATCATAATCCAAATCCTTCTTCTTGTGGGTATGATGAGTAGTTATAGTGGTATCGTCTGAAAAGGTAACTCTCTTCTTAACATTCTTGTTTTTTTTCGTCATTATTGGACTTTATTTGAATGCACAAATGGATAGGTACAAATTCGAGGAACCTGGGTAACAGCTGCAATTCTTTTCTGAGTAGTTTTGAGTTGTGTTGTTTCTTCTCTTGATTTCTAATTGGAAGTGAATTTTATATAAAATATGTAAATTTGAAACATTTTGTTACGTGTTGTTGTCCCAAAAAAAGAAAAATAACGAAAAATATGAGAAAGCTAAGCATTTTAAGGAAGTAAAGACTAAAAGAATAGAGATCATTTGTAACTCTCTCGAACCTTAATCAACTGGGGTAGGAGTCTTGCCGAACATAGTTTTTGAGGTTTAAATAATGTTCTTTACCGTATAATTATCGATGAACATGAGGTTGTAGCAAGTAGAAAATTCGAGGTACAATTCTGTGTTTCTTTTAATAAATAAGCCGTCTTAAGTTAACTTCCCTCAATATGAAGACACTCCTACAATATCTAGCATTAAATCAATTAGAGTTAAAAATAAAATTAATGTTCTTAAGGATAGTTAACTCAAAGGGATTCTCGGGTATGTTTTCAATGAAGAGTATTGGGGGCAGTTGGCTAATAAATATGGGCCTAATGGCATTCAAAATGTATCAGGAACAATTAGTTGGGGAAATAGCATTACAATATTTTATTTAAACATCTGTGTTTGTCACATTGATTCAGAAAGTGCACAGCTCGTAAATCTATACTTTTCTTAATAATTACTTTTCGTTTTCAGTAGTACCATACTTTTAAATCAGGTGTCAGGAACCCTGCTTCAATACCAAATTAAAAGCTTCTTACCCATTTGAGTTATATGGATAAATATCCAATGATTTTAAGCTTGTTTCTTTAAAATAAAGTCCCCGTCGCTCAATTTTAATAATTGAGCTCACAAGATGATGTCCAGCATTTCTGCGATCTTGCACCGATGTAATGAGCACCAGAAAATGGCACGTCATTTCGAAAGGAACTAACTAATTTATTTTTCAGTATTGTAGTTTGCGTTCAGGAAACCTAAGACGCGTATTCCTTCAACTATAGAGTTTTGTAAATTTTGGAAGTACTGCTTCTTGAAAATTTTGTTGCTTTCCAGGCAGGTTTTCAATTGTTAAGCAAAGACCTTTGTAAATATGTTCTTGTTAATACGCTGGAAAAAGAGCTGTCCACAAGAAGGTAAACGCCGTTTTATGTGTGTTCACATTCGGTGTTAATCATTGCCCTACGATAAACGAATCATTCCCGTTTAATATCCCCACTTAATATTACTAAAGAGCCATCACGACAGCCTCGACCGACTCATTGAATTACTATTGTTGTGCAGTACTTAATGTTCAATATTACACGGAACAATATTTTGTTATGCGCTGACAAATTAGGAATTATATCGATCTTGACCAAAATTGAAAATTTCGCTTTTTACTAGTATCTAACGTTTTAAGCTTTTTTTATACTTTTATATCCGATATAGTGTAACGGCTATCACATCACGCTTTCACCGTGGAGACCGGGGTTCGACTCCCCGTATCGGAGTATTATTTTTTAACTTTTTTTTGGTTAGACTTGTGTGTGAATTAGATATAGAGAAAAGCATTCTTTTTGAAATATAATTAACAAAACCTATTTATTAAGACATCCAGATAGTTACAACCTTGATTATGCATTTCCTGAGCTACTTTTACTATATCTCAGAAAATATTAAGACATCAGTTCATACGAATATTTATATGTTTAGAACAATTTTGGTTATTTTGAACATTTCAACGACAGAAAAAATTATATCCTTAAAAATTAACAGCCTAAACATTCTCATCCTTTGTTATATTAGTTAACAAAATCTTAACTAAAACAATCAAATTGATAAAAATCCTCGTTGCTATTTTGTTGAGCATTGATTGGATTTTTATTTTCATTCATTTCTATTTTACAGATATTATACAGATAATTCTTCTTACTTTCTTTCGGAAGGAATTATTTAATATACAGATTATGTACTTCAAACCTCTGTCTTTATATATTACGAATTTAGTGGCGTAGTTGTTAACCTTCACATTTATGGACTTCTTATTCTAGTATCGTCGTATAAGCCTATTCAATTATAATAATTGTGCACAATAGTCTTTGTGTTATTTACTTAATGTTAATTTTTTATGCTCATGTGAATATTTCATACTATATACCTTAGAACATTTAGCTCAGTACAAATAAACCATGATATCTTTATTTTTACACTTTTGAATTCGTTAATTAATGCATATATATATAAAATTGTATATAAAAATAAAATCACTTTGAAAGAGTTCTGAGAGAAAATTCTATATCAATTAAATCCCTCCAGATATTTACATCTGATCTCCTACCAGTCTTTTTACCCAAATTATTTCTTTTCTGAATTGGTAAAGATGCAAATTTTTTAATTACATTATAATCAAGGACGGGTCTCATGATATTACTGATATCGTAAAAATCATTAGCCAACCTTTCCATATTAGGGTTTAAACCTCCTAATTGAATTTCTTTTTCTCCTAATTGTTGTTGAATAACATATAACCTTCTGTAAGTATCCTCATCAAGTGGTATTACCTTAAACATTGATCCATCCACTTGGGCACCAATGACTTGATAGGACATGGCATCATGATTTGGCTCATTAAATTCTTCATTTTTTGGAAGGAGTTGCAAACATGTATTAGTAGAATATAAGTTAAAGCTTGAACAGTGGACTAATCTTTGGCCTGATAGGGAGTTTGGTTCATCCGGAGCATACTTTAGGACATGGAGAATATTGTTTCTATCAGTAACGACGAAATAAAGATTGCCATTATTGACTAGAAAATCGACTGCAACTGTTTCAAGTTTAGACATACTTCTTCCTAGAGATAACATTCTATAAGGTTCAGCATCGAATCCAATAAATTGGAATCCTTGCATGGAATCACCTACAATGAAGAAATTACCAAAACTTTTTGAATCTGTCACATAAACAGGTGTATCAAAAAAGGCTACCGGAACAACAGAATTATTATCTTCCTGGGCATCTCTTACCAATATTTTCTGACTTTGACTTATAGAAAATCTTCCACTCAATTCACAAACTGTTGTTACCGCACCTCTCACCTCTTCAGAGAAAAATTTTTCAAACTTGCTGGTGGCATCTGGTTTACCAGGTTCTGATCCTATAGATATAATATCATACATGTGGAATGATCCTGATGCTGGAAGATCCTCTGTACCGACTTGTCCTACACCAAACACGATATATTCTCTATTTCTCTTTGTCTTAGAGTCAACTTGAATGATCATTGATCTTAGATCGTTGACTAAAGAATTAGCCTCTAAAGTTATTTGATCAATAACACCCCATGTCTTTGGGTTAATCAGCAATACACCACTTTGGAATCCCTTCGCATGAGGGGCGCTGTCCATGCAGCCAACAATTAGTTCATCATTTTCACTCTTTGGAACATATTCTATTTCCTTTGTATAAGAGGCTACAAACATTTGGGACTTTTCATGGTAAGTAATATTATTAAAAGTCATAAAATTTTGAAGAACATTATTGATTGTAATCGATTTTAGAGGTAGCTTATTACCGTAATAAATACTGGTATCATCCAGAGTATACACTCTTGCATTTTTCATATGATCGACACACATGACGGACCTCTTACCCCAAGGGGTTAATGACACTAATGGTATGTTCGCAAACTTGAATAGTCTAGGTACAGAATCATCTTCTTTTAGGATGATGTAAGGCGCGTTACCGGTAATGAAGATACATGAATACCCTTTGTAGTTAGGAATGTAATGCATTATTCTTTCAATTCCTGTTACACCCTTTGCATAAGCGTTATTTGGTGCACCAACAATTGGTAATTTATTCCCACAGGCATTTTTATAGAATCTACTTGCTCTTTTGCTTGATTTTTTATATTGATAGACCTCACCTCCAAAAGTTAAAATTGTTAAAAATATTTCTTTATTCTTATTACCTAATGTGTTCAACATTGCTTGTTTAATGGATGGATCTGGAATGACCTCCTCAGGGAGTTGATACGTGCTCACATATAAATTATCCTGTAAATCATCAACACCTGTCAACTGAAAGATACGATCGTTATGATCTTTAGTGAAAAAAATTATTTGATTATCAGCAGTGACAAAAGTAAATAGTAACTGTTCTTCTTGCTTATCCTTCAAATTTAAGAATTCGTTACACATATCACTTTTCAGTATTAGACCAGATGTTATAACCATCTCTTTTAAAATTTCTGGTAAATTAACTTTAAAAAGTTTTTTCTTCTGTCTTGTCTCTAATTCATAAACTTTAATATCACCCCTTGATACCGTTATTAATATATAATTATCCATTATTGACACATGAACCACTTCATAATCAAATTTAATAGTGGTTAACCTACGGAAATCCAAATCGTACAAGTATAAATGATTAGTAGTGACTTGAACAATTCTGGAGTCATTTCCAAACATTGAAATATAAACTGTGGTAGCATCTCTTCTTAATCTACCTTCTTTAAATTGTGCAAAATTATTTTCAATTTCATATATATCACTCTTGGATTTAAAAGAATCTGTAGTAATCAGAAATTTATCTTTATTCTTAAATTTTAATGTCCAAATTTGTGTAATACTAATGAATTTTAGAGCTAACTCAATCTCTGGATGTACACTCGGTTGAATAGAAACTAAGTGCGAACCAACACCATTTCCTGATGTTGCAACTATAGACATTTCACCATTACTTGGGTTAGGCAAACCTTTAACACGCGGTTCAATAGATGAATCAGCACCAATTGTTACAGAGGTCAATGGTCCTATGTTTGTTAATGACGACAGCAATTCGATATCGAACGGTTCAACCGTTTCGACGATTTCTTCCTTTGATTTGTCTTTACTTTTATTATAGTGAATATCGTCCGCATATAAATCCTCATCATCGTCATCATTGTCGTCCCCTTCACTAAATATATTATCATCATCATCAATAGTGTGAGTATGCGACGATCTTGAGGCAATCGTTGATTTCATATTATTCAGACGAACTAACGAAGCATTACCAGATTGGAATCCAATAAATATATCTAGAGCGGCAACGGAACTTGAATTGTTATTAACACTTGAAATGCACGTTGGTCCCAAATTGTTGATAAAAATATTATTTGCGATTGGTAATTCTATAATGTCAAAAGTAGTCAATAATTTCCCTTCAAACTCAAGCTGTATGTAATATAAATCAGAGTGTTCAGTCATTAAGACCAAAAGATCATTATTATCATTGTTATTTCCATCAATGTTATTTAGTTTTGTAGATGACCAGTAAGTTACCATGGAATCCCGGTTTAATATCAATTCTAATTTTGAATTATCTACTATCTTACTCTTGATTATAGATTTATCTGAATAAGAATTTAAAGAAATGACGCTCTGTAAAACACCAGTGTTATCAATATATGCAATCTCATTAACCCCAATAATGACGGTACCTTTCTCAGTCGGTACAATTCTATTCCAGCTCCATGGTAAATTTTGCAATTTAGCAATCATAATTGGTTCCACTTTTGTATTACCGTTTGCACTAAACAAGTCTAATGTCAGGATCATAACACAAGTAGGTGTCTTTGAAAGTTTTAAACTACCTGCCCACGTCAATCGAGGTTGATATAGGATTGCAATCGTAGGTTTTGTGTAATTCTTTAGAAATTGAATATCTGCTACATTTTGTATCTCATTATTTAGGTCCTTCAAAGGTAGCACTATACTAGGCTCTGTTAAATTAGTCGAATGCTGTGACTGTGTCTTTCTACGCTTTTGATCATGCTCTTCTTCACCAATGTCACCCATATATACGTCTTCATCTTCTTCCAATCTTTCATCTTCCACAAACGGTAAAATGGCTACACTATCATTGTTAAATAATAATGAACATTTCCCATTAGGATCTATTCTTAATCGAGAATCATGGGACAATTCCACTAATGACGTAGCTTTTAATTTATCCTCATAGTAATGAAGACTAATTGTCTCTAAATTATTACTCTCCATATCAAATCGTACAATGGACAATTTGGCAATTCCTGAAGATATAAGCATATAATCAAGGTTTGGATGTAAGCTACTTTCTTTATCATCATTCTCATTAGCATTTTCTCCATTATTTTCGTTGGATGCAATCAATGCAATATCCTTAATTTTTCCTCTAAAATTGAATTCATTAGTTAGTAGAAGATGTCTCCCATCATTCTCAACTTTGTAAACACTAATAATATTCGTTCTCGCCGTTATGAGCTCTGTGTACTCATCTGTAGTAAAGTGACCTGCTACACTGTGCGATACAACTGTAGCATCCAATACATCGTCGTAAACATTCATCGTTTATATACAATCGAATTGATAGACCAGTTACAAAAGGACTCTCTTCAAAATGATTAGTTTAACCACTGAATAATCCAGGTAACCTCAATCAAAAACTAGTAACCCTTGATGCTCGTATTCAAACAAGAATTCCTTTTACCAATCGTTGTAGGTTTGGGAGTATCCGTTCCCTTTCAATTTCAACTTCTTCAAAAATTCGAGGAAAGCTCAAAATAATCAAATTTGCACGTGACCCCAGCCATTTTTGAAAAATTTTTCTTGAAAATTTCATTTCCTCGAAGAAACTTCTTTGATCTTAGAAACATGATGGATAGATGACTTTGCAAAGGGGTCACAAGTCGACCACTATTTAAGTGTTTGGTTTGTGTTGTCGTCTGTTGAGAGGTTACCAGTTATATACTATACCCCCAAGAAACACAACAACCAAAAGGAGTGACAAAAGGAGAAGATAAAGATGAGTGAATTGAAAACGTACACTATTGTAATTAAACTGGGTTCGTCATCGCTGGTTGATGACAAGACCATGGAACCTAAGTTGTCCATCATGTCCCTGATGGTGGAGACCGTAGTTAAACTGAGGAGACAGGGCCACAGAGTTATCATTGTTTCTAGTGGTGGTATTGCTATTGGTCTTGGTACTTTACATCTAGGTAAGAGACCTAAAAAGCTTGCTGCCGTTCAAGCCATCGCAGCTGTTGGTCAAGGTAGATTAATTGGAAGATGGGATCTACTCTTTTCACAACTGGGACAAAGAATTGCCCAAATATTGTTGACTAGAACTGATATTTTAAATTGGAATCAATTTACTAATGCTCAAAATACCATTAATGAATTATTGGATATGGGTGTCGTTCCTATCGTCAACGAGAACGATACATTATCTATCAGGGAGATTAAATTTGGTGATAATGATACTTTATCTGCCATTACAGCTGCTTTAGTCGGTGCTGATTATTTATTTTTATTGACTGATGTAGACTGTCTATATACTGATAATCCAAGAACGAACCCTGAAGCCACTCCAATCTTAATGGTTCCAGATTTGAGTGAAGGTTTACCAGGTGTTAATACCTCTAGTGGTGGTTCTGATGTTGGTACCGGTGGTATGGCTACAAAATTAGTCGCTGCGGATCTTGCGACAAATGCTGGTGTACATACTATTGTCATGAAGAGTGATGTTCCATCTAATATTAATAAGGTTGTTGAGGATTTACAAAGGTTAGATTTGGATAGTGATCTTAATAAGAAAAAATATGCAAATATCGACTCTAAAGAACTACAACGTTCTGAATTAGAAAGATTAACAAAACAAGAAGTTCCTTTACATACTACTTTCATTTCTAATGATAACAAGCATCATTTAAAGAATAGAGAATTCTGGATCTTACATGGTCTTGTAACACAAGGTGCTATTATTATCGATAGAGGAGCTTACAACGCATTAACTAGAAAGAATAAAGCTGGGTTATTACCAGCAGGTATCATTGATGTTGAGGATTCCTTCCATGAACTTGAATGTGTTGAGATTAAAGTTGGTCAAAGATTAGCTAACGGAGAACTAGATACAAGTATCCCATTAGAAAATGTCGGTAGAGCGAGATGTAATTATACAAGTAGTGAAATTTCTCGTATTAAAGGTTTACAAAGTCAAGAGATTGAAAAGGTATTGGGTTACACAGAAGGTGAATATATTGCACAACGTGAAAACTTAGCATTCCCACCAAACCAAGCAGATTAGAAGAAACCTCTAGCGAAAAAAAAAAAATAAAATAAGGAAAGAAGGAGAACAGTAATGTTAATGATAGAATCCTTTTAATTTGATGTATTTTTTTTAGATATATTTCTCTGATGAATATCATTTATTGAGAACTTGGTGAGACTACACACACATATCGATACATATATAAATATACGTAAAGACAAACAAAATAATTCTGTGATGATAATGATAAACACTAAATACAAATTAGTCAAATCGTTTAACGTCTTATGAACTTAGAGTTGAAAACAAAGATAATATACAAAATGGTTAGAAAATGCAATATGTGGGGGGGGGGGTACATGATGTATATATGTATATGTATGTATTAACCAAAAATTTGAATATCATCATTCTTGATGGCATCAACTTCAGCTTGTTTTTCATCATCAGAAATATCTTCAGATTCAAATCCGGCAGTTTCATCCTCATCAAAATTGATTCTTTGACCTAAAAGACCAGCAAAGAATTCATCAATTTGCTCATCGGACCATTTATAACCGTTGTTTACAGATGCTTCATAATTTGCAATTGGTTCTTGTACCGTGAAATTTAACTTACGACCCTTTGATGCCTTTGTATCAATATTTTTCTTTAATTTGTTATTAGATCTTGAAGATATTGTTATGATGTTATTACTAGTACCATTATTATTATTGTTATCAGCGATCTTCTTATCTATCAGGTCATTTAGTAGGACACGGTAAAAATCTTCATCATCAAATATGTAAGGGTTTTCAGATGTATCAATAGCATTATTATCTTTTCTTCTTGGATCATAATTCTTTGGGATATCTGCATTATTATCATCTTCGTCATCATTATCACCTTGAATCATATTTTCATTGCTTCCATTCATTTGATTTAATCTGTTGGCTTTCAAATCTATCATGAACTTCAATGGAACGATATTTCTTCTATTAAGTCTTGTTCTTTTCACAAGACGAGTCATATCTGCCAGCTGGTTTTCTACTTGTACTTCTGCTGATTGATTAATTGCTTTAAACTTTGTGGATCCTAATAATGCATTCCCAGAGGCAGCTTCAATCTTAGAAGACCATTTATTTAATACTGCAGTTCTATATTTTCTTAAATCATTATCCAATTCACTACAAGTACGTTTACGTGATGAAGATTCTGAACCTTCAGTAACGGGTAAAATATGATCCTGAATTTGAAATTTATTTCTAAATGTAATAAGTTTATCCATAACTTCTTTCAATAATATTTTATTTTGTTCTAATAATTTTTTATTTTTAGAATTTTCTTTTAATTCTTCATTCCATGATTCTGAACTTAACGGCATAGTATTAGCTGCATTTAGAACTTTTTGTAGCTTAATCCGTACATCGATAATACTATCAAATGTACGAGTTTGTTGAAGAACAGAATAACCTTTAGCAGCATCTCTTTGTGCATTACGTGATAATCTTTGAATTGCCGAGCTTCTTTCTTCTTCGACAAGTCTTGCTAATTGCTCTCTTTTACTTGCAATTTCATCTTCACTAGACTCTTCTACTTCTTCCTCTTCCTCGCTTTGGTCATCATCACTAACCATATCGTCTTCTCCTAATTCTTCAGATTCACTTTCAATATCTTCATCAGGTATATGTGTATTCTCATTACCAAACAATGCATCTCTGGATCCAACAGCACCTTTATACTTCTCTGAGTCCTGTAACTCAGCACCTTCCACAGATTCTCTCAATTTAGACTTACCCACAGAGACATAATGAGCCTGAGCTTGGCCTTCATCCTCACTATCATTATCACTACCACTACTATTGGCTCCATCGTGATGTTCAAACACACCACGTTCACTATCTTCGATATCCACGTCCTGATTGACGGGTCTGTTTGCAATCTCAGAGATCTGTTCTGACAAAGACTTAGCCATCCTGTTCCTTATCACGTCTTTCTCACCTGCTTCCAAACTAACCTCTAATATAAATATATAGTTGTGGTAACATCTCTTTATAGTGCTTATTACTTCTTTTCAGCTCATCTCATCGCTGAAATTTTCATTTTTTTTTTGCTGAAAATTTTTTCAAATTTATCGATGAGTTCGCATGTACAGGGCCCAATTAGGCAATCATTACCGAATTAGGTAGTGGCTTCTGTCCCAAAGAGGGAATTGTGCATTGTCATACAAACTGAAACCAAATTTATTTGATCCCCAGTTCCAAAACTCTTCAATAATTCGAATTAATAGTAAATGTGACCTTATTTACCAGTATTCAGATAGTTGGTTTCCACCACGTGACCACCAGCCAATCACAACGGACTCTGCCCACATCACTGCACACGACGCGGCCAATCCACCGAAACTCTTTTTTGAAGGGGCCAAAGAGAGAAAACATGAAAAGGTTCAACGTTTCAATCAAGGTACACACACCTATATATATATAGATGCGTTGAATCATTTATTCAAGGTTGTTTTGAAGAGGAAGTAGAATAGGCAACAATTCCATTGAATACATTAACTATAACGACAATTCCAAAAAAGAATGTTTAATAGACAATTTGTTCGCCTGGCTAGTAATGCCGCAAAGAAACCTCAAACTTTAAGATTATATGGTGTGGATGGTACATATGCTACTGCTTTATTTGATGTAGCGGTTGCAGAATCTAGAGTCAATCAAGTAGCTTCCTCTTTGACAGCTGTTAACAATATGTTACGTACCGATGCAAAATTAGCTCATATTTTCCAAAACCCTGCATTATCCTTAAAAGATAGACAAACTGTAGCTCAAACTGTGGTAAACAATGGTTCAATTAAAGTTGAACCTGCTGTGGCCAATTTCTTAAATGTTCTAGCTGAAAACAACAGATTGTCCCTATTAGAAAAGATTGCTGCCGATTTTGCTAAATTAGATGATCATTATAATGGTGTTGTTAACGCATCTATCACTACTGTACAACCTTTAGATAATAAATCATTTAAGAGAATCGAAAAAGCTTTGGCTGCTTCTGCTCTTGTAGGGTCCGAAAAGACTCTAAAATTGACTAATAATATTGATCCTCAGATTCAAGGTGGTCTTGTGGTCGAAATTGCAGATAGAACTGTTGATTTGAGTATTGCAGCAAGAATTCAAAAATTGAATAAAATCTTAGATGAAACAGTATGAATTGTTTCATTTAAGAAAACAAACAAATAAAAAACCCATAACATATTCTATCCCTCCCTTATATATATTCTCTAGCAAAATACATATATCTTTTATTATTTTCCCTAAAATAAAAGTAAATATTATTATTATTATTATTATAAGTATTATTCAATTCTTATTTACATGAATCGTATTATATACAGTAGTAAAACGGTTTTTTTCTTTCTTTCTTGTCAACTCTTAAGGTTTCTCCATGGATTCTAAAGTTTGTTGTGCTAATTCTTTTAAGATTTGACTCTCCTCTCTAGCGACGTTACAATTACGATCAATCATTTCATGTTTCACACTAGGAAGTTCTTTAGTCCAATATTTCTCCAAATCACCCATTCTCCAGGGATCTTCCCAAAAAATTGTAGCTTCTCCTCCTGAGTTATCATCTAATTTTAATAAGGATTCTTTTAAATCAGCGACTGCCTCTTGAGCAAACCCTGGTCTAAAATGACCACTATGCCACACTCTACCCATGTCATTCTTCATTCTTAACTTATCATTCTCTCGAGAATACAATACATCTCTCATATATCTTAATCTACTTAAATTTTGAAATAGTTGTACTGCAGCTAAATGTGACGGTACGCGTACTACAGCCATACATTTCCATAAATCTCTCCTCGTGGAAGGTTTCTTATTATCCCAGTTAGGTCTTAAAAACAATGGATCGATCTGTCTTTGAGAAACCAATGGCATTTGAGAATAAACCACTTGACCTTTCTCTAAATTACGAAATAAATATACATGAGGAGCGAGTCCTTTCTTTTGTAACCATTGTGCAGGACGAAAACGGGAAATACCTTTGTTAATTAATGACTTATTTGACATTGCTCAATACACTCTCTCCACTCTCTTTCTCTTGCTTATACTTCTTTAACTTCCCTTTTAAAAAGCTGCTTAACCCAGTAATCCTTATTCTTAAAATGCCCAACCTTTAGAATTTCAAGATTTTGGGAAGTCTAATCGGACATCACACCGCACGGCGCAAAACTGTGAGCATTTTGAAACAATTTCAAATAAAAGTTGAAATAGAAACAGACAGATGGGAAGATGCAACTTTTAAGAACAACTAGTTTAATATTTTTTCCTGTGAGGAGGGTGTTTCAAGGAAGAGTAAGAAACTACCGAATACCAATCCAACATTGAAAATGAATGTGAATTATTTACCCGTTGGATTGACAAACTTTCAAAAAGATCTAATAGAGATCTTGGTATCCATCCATGGTATCAGTTTTCGTGACGAACTTAACGGCGTTAAACATGAATCAACAATGACCGACAGTGGTTATCCATCATTAACTTCTCGTCAACTCACATATATGTTCAATACTCACGTCCGCGCAGTAGCTAATCATCCATGTCTGTTGGTAGACCATTATATGCCTCGCCAATTCTTAAGAATGGAACCCACTGAAAGACTTATTAATTCAAGTGACAAGTTTAGAATTCTACAAGCATTATTGCAATGCTTGAGTACGTTACGTAACCCACAAAGTGGGGAGATATTAAAAGTTGCTATTATTTCTCATAGTATCAAGGAATTGGATTTATTAGAAAGTATTGTCCTTGGGAAACAATTCAAATTGAAAAGATTATCAGGAACGGCATTGTATGCAGAAGGTACCAATTTCAAGAGAGATATGCAATTGCATGGCCAAGCAATGTCATCAATTAAAAGTACATCAACGTTTACAGCAACAGTAGCAGCAACGACACAATCTACTACTGCATCATCAACGTCATTATCCCCATCGTCTGCCAATGTTTCACCAGCGGATTCTGCAGAAGAACGTGGTTCTAGAGGCTCTACACCATCGATGTCAACATCTAATAATCCTAATACTAATTCTACAGGTAGTACCTCCACAGCTACAAATGGTGGTTCTAACACTAGTACAAGTGGTTCTTCCAGTTCAGGACCCATTGGGAATAGCTATACTGGGTATCCCAAGGATGATTACGATTATTCTATTAAACATAACCGTAAACGTCAAAAGGTTGATAATCGTAATTGGTTATTTCTAACTACTTCAACACATTTAGCTCATGAACAAACATTACTTGATGACTATAGTCTAGACTTGATAATTAGTTTCGATCCATTATTGGATCCAACATTACCTGCTATTACTAGTATCAATAAATCTCATTTTCAATACCATTCAACCAAAGTCACCCAACGTATGAAGAATAAATATAAAGTACCAATTGTTAAATTATTAGTACGAGATTCACCTGATCATTACCTTTTACATAACGATTTAAATTTAGAACATGATGTCGTAAAGGAGTATGATAATATTAAGAATGCGATTCATCATTTCCTTCAATGTAGGAGACCACAAGAGGGAGACTCTAATGATTCAATGACGACAGAAATTCAAGATAAGGAATACTATAGAGAGTTTTTACAAAATATATTATCTACATCAACGGATTTAAAGGAAAATAATAACAGTGATAACGACGTGATACCTTTGAGTGAAACTAATAAAACAGAAGATCCTACAAAATGGTTGATGCCGAAGTTTGTTAATTCAGTGTATCCCAACAGCGAAATAGCATGTTCTGAGGATTCCTTCAGTATAAAATCATATCAAACAACATTAATGCAAAAGACAACTGCACGTCTTGATGCAATCAATGGCAGATTTAACGAGAATGAATCTCGTATCAATGAACTAAGAATAAAAGAGACACAAAGACAAGGACTTATCGATTCATTGAAAGCAGAAATTGGTACGATATTCAAGAGTAAACAAGATTTGGAAAAAGTGAAGTTAGATAGTGAAAAACGATTTGAGCGTACAAATAATGAATCAATAAAACTCAATGAAAAGATGACCAATATTCAAAAGTATCAAGACGAATTGGATGATCTAACGAAGCAAGACAATAACACGATTTTACAGGAAACATTTGACCAATTGAGCCAGGTTATTTCTACTCATAAGATAACAATTCAACAACTTATGGAAACAAATAAGAAACAATCCTTGGAGAACGATGATCATAGGGCTACATACCAAAGAGATTCATCTCAAGCTGCTGCTCAATCTACAGAGTTAGCCACTCTAAAGAAGACTGTGGAAACCTTAAAGAAAGAGCAAACAGGAAACATAGGGGTCTCGTTGAATCTCGTAGGTTCAGAACGTATGGAGACGCATCTTATTGGAGAATTGGATCTTGCAAAACGTCGTAATGAGTTCCTCGAGCGATACATTGCCAAGATGACAAAGGATTACAAATTACATCTGGATAGTAGTAGCGGTAAAGCGTCTACACCTGCTAATGGATCCACCAATGGTAATGACGGTAATAACAATAACAACAATGGTAGTGCGACATCATCGAAGAGTAACACGCCCAGTGGTACAGAGGAATATTCCAGGCATAGATCTACTAGGTCAGCTGCCCCTTCATACACTTGAATCCCAAATACCTCTATTATAAATCCCATCATTCTACATAGACTCAATTTACGTAAAATATACATCTTTAAATAGAAAACTTCAAATGATGAACACTCGTACTACGTGAATTGGTCAGATACATATACCCATGTCTTCCACTTACTACTGTCTTTCATGTTTAACTTCCAGTTTTGCCAATTTTTATTCTTATTGTTGACGTTTCTGAATTTTATTCCAATAAATCCCGCAGTGCGAGTGAATTAATTTCTAAGGAAAAGGTTCCAAGAGGTGTCGGACGTTTGACTCTCGAAATTGTTCAGTTTGGGGACATGCAATGTTTGTTTCTGCTTTTATTTATCTTTTATTGTGGGGATGTACCTCTCTATCTGTTAGGTTATGGATATGAGTTATTGAAGTTTAACAGGGAGTTTTATTGTCTTGTGATTAAATGAAATTTTAACCAGTTTTACTATTTTTGTTGCAATCTTCATATATATAAACGACTACAAAACTGAAAAATAGAACAAAATTGTGACTATAAATATATTTAATATCACAATATACGCAGACATTATATTTATAATATATCGAGTATTAAAGGATGGATGAACTATTAGATTCCTATCTTGATTGTCCTGAAATGCGTGAATTATGGCAGCAATATGTAATAGGTGCTAAGACATTGATTACAAATTTAGATTCAAAGACGGTTTATCTACATGTCGTCACATATTTAACTATCACACCATGGTATAACATTCTAAAGGATTATTTATTAATAGTTTTTCTCTACCAATTTTTAAAGTCTGGTTTGTACAACGTTAAAGCCTATGGTATTATCGGTTATCCAAGACACATCTTGAGACAAGGTTCGAGATCTATGGTCAAGTGGCTGTTATCCAGTAGACTAATGCGTAGCACTGTCGAGAAGGAAGTAAGTAAAGCAAGAGCATCCATTGAACATGATTTAATCTTGAACAATGATTGTTTGTTAGATTTCCCAACATTACCAAAAAAAGGTTTGCGTGAAGATCATATTATTGAGGAACTAGATATTCTTCAGGATGTATTGCCTCATACAGATTGGGAAGAAGGAAAAGTATCCGGTGCTGTATACCATGGTGGTGAAGATTTGATTCGTTTACAAAGTATTGCATTTGAGAAATATTCTGTAGCTAATCAATTGCATCCAGATGTATTCCCAGCTGTACGTAAGATGGAAGCAGAAGTTGTTTCAATGACTTTAAATATGTTCAATGCACCAATTGACGAAGGAGCTTGTGGTACCACTACATCTGGTGGTACAGAGTCTCTATTATTAGCATGTTTGAGTGCCAAGATGTACGGTTTAAAACATCATGGAATTACTGAACCCGAAATGATTGTTCCAGTGACAGCACATGCAGGTTTCAATAAAGCTGCATATTATTTTGGTATTAAGATGCATCATGTCCCAGTTGATCCAAAGACTTATCAAGTTGATCTTCATAAGATGGAAAAATATATCAATGGTAATACTGTATTATTAGTTGGATCTGTACCAAATTTCCCTCATGGTATTAATGACGATGTTGAAGGATTAGGAAAACTTGCTCAAAAACATAATCTAAGATTACATATCGATTGTTGTCTAGGTTCATTTATTGTTGCATTCATGGAAAAAGCTGGTTTCCAAAATGTTCCAATCTTTGATTTTAGAATCCCCGGTGTTACTTCAATCTCTTGTGATACTCACAAATATGGGTTTGCTCCAAAGGGTTCTTCGATAATCATGTATCGTAATGAAGACCTCAGAATGCATCAATACTTCATCGAAGCTGACTGGGTTGGTGGTCTGTATGGATCTCCTACTTTAGCAGGCTCAAGACCTGGTGCTCTTGTTGTCGGATGTTGGGCTACTATGGTCAAATTTGGTGAAGATGGTTATATTGAATCCTGTCGTTCTATCATTGAGGCCGCTAGAAAATTAAGAAGATACATCGAAGAGGAAATTCCTGCTTTACAAATCATTGGAGATCCACAATTTTCTGTGATATCTTTCACATCTAAGAAACTTGACGTCTATGAATTAAGTGACAGACTTTCCAAATCAGGATGGCATTTAAATACATTACAAAACCCACCAGCGTTACATCTAGCGGTCACAAGACCCTCAGTAGCAGCAATAGATTCTCTATGCCAATTACTAAGTAGTACAGTGCAAGATATGCTAAATGATCCTGATGCCAAACCTTCTGCTGATGGAACAAGTGCTTTGTATGGTGTCGCGGGCAGTGTCAAGACAGCAGGCGTTGCTGACCAATTGATCGTAGCCTTCCTGGACACACTGTACAAGCTAACTCCAGGTAATAACAACACCAAATAACCGTCCATCTCATACTTACCGATATATAATTATAAATATGTTTTGCAATTGGATTTCAGTACTTTGTATACAAGTTACCCTCTCGGAAACCCTAAAATTTTTGCCTCACAGCAAGGGGCGCGGGCTCCCCGAAAACAATTTTTTTATTTTCAAATTTTACACGTTTGCTCGACTATAAATATTTAAAAGAGGTATGCTGAGCTATATAAAATATAGGGACATCTCATTCTCTTTCTGATTAATACTAAAATTGAGAGAAGAAAGATAGTTACACCTAGTGAATTGGAATTCTATTTTCACAATATATGTTTAAGTGGAGTACATAAACACAAAGAGCAAGTTTTTTTGATACATTCCTTTTTAATTAAAACTTCATTTCTTTGCTTCCTGTGTTAAAACAACATAACAAAAAATTCTATTTTTAGAACTACCTCAATAATAATAATATCTTCTTTTAAAAAAGACAGGGATTAGTTTTTGTCTTTATCGTGAGTTAATCTGATTCTAGAATACATTTATAACCCCCTCGTCTCATATACTTTTGTTCATTCCTTTTCTGTTTATTATTTTTATTTTTTAAGTGATGTCTTACGGAAATAATAGAAATCAGCAACAGCAATACTACCAACAGCAACAACAACAGCAGCAGGATAGTAATGTGTATGTTACTACATCCGGTGGTGGAAGAAACGCTCCAAAACAGATTCATGTAGCACATAGACGTTCACAAAGTGAACTTACTAACTTGATGATTGAACAATTTACGTTGCAAAAACAATTGGAAATGGTTCAACAACAACAGCAACAATTGTTAGCACAACAACAACATCTTGCAAAACAACAACAAGCACAACAACAGGTTGGTGGTTCAGGTCATTATTATTCCAATTCTAATTCAAATACGAATCATGGGTTTATGCCTCCTCCAAGTTATCCATCCTATCAACAACAACAACCTCAGCAACAACAAGGTAATAGAAGTAGAACTCATTCAAGAAATAACTCGGGTTATTATCAAAATACCTATGATGTCCTAGCTAATAATGATTCTACCAGTGGTGTCGGTAATACTAATACTAATACTAGTACTAATAACAATACGCATAGAAGAACAGGTTCATCTTCATCGGGTGTCTATGGTCACTCTAGAAGACATTCCTTAGGATTGAATGAGGCTAAAAAAGCTGCTGCAGAAGAACAAGCAAAGAGAGTCGGAGTTAATGTAGATATTAGAATAGAAGACACGGGTAAGACAAGTAATGATGGTTCTTCATTATCATCTCCTTCCTCTTCTGAACAATCTGCCTTTAAATTCCCACCATCTCAACAAAACGCTACAGCTACAGCTGCCACTACAACTGCTAGTAACTTAGCACCTCCAAATGCCTTTAAATTTCCTCAATCATCATCATCAACAACAACAACCGCTACAACTTCAACCGGTAACGATGACGATTTCACTCCAAGTACTCATCGCCGTTCACGTACTAGAAACAGTGATTATTCTCCAGGTATTAATTCCAATTGGAGAAATCAGTCTCAGGGTCCTCCACAACATCAACATCAACAATCCGGTAGTTTCGGACATTTTAACCAACAACAACAACAATCTCAACAACAATCACAACAACAACAATCACCATATCGTCATAATAAATCCTCATCAAGAGATTACAATTCCTTTGGTGCATTGGAATCTCCACCATTTTTCCAAGGGCATAAACATCGTTCATCCAATTCTTCTGCATTCAATAGTTTTTCTTCAAATAATGGTAATCAAAACGGTCGTAAATCCTTATTTGCACCTTATTTACCTCAAGCTAACATTCCACAATTGATTGAAGAAGGGAAATTAGTAGCAGGTATCATAAGAGTTAATAAGAAAAATAGATCTGATGCTTGGGTATCTACTGATGGTTCGTTAGATGCAGACATTTATATTTGTGGTTCTAAAGATCGTAATAGAGCACTTGAAGGTGATTTAGTAGCTGTTGAACTTTTAGTTGTAGATGAAGTTTGGGGCTCTAAGAAAGAGAAAGAAGAAAAGAAGAGAAGAAAAGATGCATCTATTCAACAAGATATTATTCCATTAAGTGGAAATGACGATTATCATAATGATGCTTCTGCTAATGCAGCTAATGCCACTGAACTTTCATCCAATATTAATGATAATAATGTCTCATCTCCTTCCACGTCTCATGGTAGTAATACCACAACTAATAGTAATAATATCAATAATGATGATCATATTATTTCTACAAGTGGAATGAATTCTTTATCAAGGGGATCTGGTGATTCCGACGGTCATGCAACTTCTATAAAGAGAAGAGGATCTTTGAAACAACGTCCTACCCAAAAGAAAAATGATGATGTAGAAGTTGAAGGCCAATCTTTATTATTGGTTGAAGAAGAAGAAATCAACGATAGATTTAAACCATTGTATGCAGGTCATGTCGTTGCAGTTCTTGATAGAATTCCAGGCCAGTTGTTTAGTGGTACATTGGGTCTATTAAGACCCTCTCAACAAGCTCAAAAGCGTAACAATAAAAACAATAACAACAATGATGATGAAAAGGATAAAGAAAAAGAGACAGAAAATAGACCGGTTCAAGCACCAAAGATCGCTTGGTTTAAGCCAACAGATAAGAAGGTCCCATTGATAGCCATTCCAACGGAATTGGCTCCAAAGGATTTTGTCGAAAATGCAAGTGCTTACGCCGATAAACAATTTGTTGCATCCATCAAACGTTGGCCAATAACTTCTTTGCATCCATTTGGTATCCTTGTATCTGAACTTGGTGAAATTAATGATCCGAACACTGATATTGATGCCATTCTAAGAGATAACAACTTTTTATCAAACGAATATCTTGACTCAAAGGATCCAACCAAGGAAAGAAATATATTCCAAGCCAACCTCGTGGCTCCTGAAAATTTGGCTAAACGTGTTAGATTTGATGCAGCTAATGATTACAATGTCATTGCTACCACATTTAACAATAAATATGCGGAATTTGCTGTTCATGTTAAACATGATAGAACTCATAATATAATTGAACTAGGGTGTCATATTACAGATATCACTGAACAAATAGAAGCTAACTCATCTCTTGATAAACGTGCTAGAAAGAGATCAACTAGTGTCTTTATGCCTCAAAAAACTGTGAATTTATTACCTGTTGCTGTCAATGAATCTTTAACGTTAGCCCCAAATAAAGAAAACGCAACAATCTCAGTTGTATATGCTTTGGATGCAGAAACACTAGCCGTGAAATCAACTTGGTTTGGTGAATCGATTGTGGTTCCTTCCGAGAGTAAGACTATCGAACAAGTTGAAGATGAAGTTGATTCTTCTCCCGAAATCAATCTATTACGTAATATTGCCACCCATTTCTATCGTATAAGAATCAATTCAACAACTGCTTCTTTACAACCATCTTTGTCATTATTTGAATATCTAGATGATGAAAAAGTTAATGTTGATTTAAATATATTACAAAGAAGTCTAGGTTTCTTAATTATTAATGAAATCCAACGTAAAGTAAACAGTTCCGTTGCAGAGAAACTTTATTCTAAACTGGGCGATAATGCCTTTTTAAGAAGACAAACCCAACCTATTGCAACAAAACTATTATCATTTAAGAATAAAGTTAATAAATTTGGCCATAACATTGATGTCACTTCATCTGACACTGTGATCAATTCTATCTTGGATATTAAGGATCCTAACGTTAGACAGGGTGTTGAAGTATTACTTTTTAAGACATTTTCTAGAGCCAAATATTTTGTTGCAGGTAAAGTTGATCCAGACCAATTTGGTCACTACGCTTTAAATGTACCAATTTACACTCATTTCACCAATCCTTTAAGGAGATACGCTGATCATATGGTCCACAGACAATTAAAGGCAATCATCAACAATATTCCATACGAAGAAGATATTGAAGCATTGAAGATTACTGCTGAATATTGTAACTTCAAGAAAGATTGTGCATTCCATGCCCAGGAACAATCTGTTCATTTGTTATTATGTAAGACTATCAATGATATGGGTAACTCAACTGGTCAATTACTAACTATGGCAACCGTTTTACAAGTCTATGAATCCTCATTTGATGTATTGATTCCAGAGTTTGGTATTGAAAAGAGAGTACATGGTGATCAACTTCCATTGTTTAAAGCCGAATTCGATGGTGCTAATAAAATTTTAGAATTAAATTGGCAACCAGGTATTGACAGTGCCACTTTCGTTCCAGCTGATGAAAAGAATCCTAAATCATATAGAAATTCTATTAGAAATAAGTATAAATCTACAACAGCTGAAATTGCAAACATAGAATACGAACAAAGTAAAAATGGCAACAATATGATTAGCGATGATCTAAGCAGTGAATTAGCTAGGTTACATCTAGAGGTACCTCAATTGAAACTAGCCAAACATGACCAAACCAAGAAGGATGCATTAGACTACTTTATTGATACCACTACAAGAAGAAAAGAAAAGGAAAATTGTATTCAAGAGATACACGAGTTACAACAAGTTCCTGTACTATTGAGAGCCGAAGTAGGTATGGCATTACCTTGTCTATCGGTTCGTGCATTAAACCCTTTCCTGAAAAGAGGTGAGTAAGTTATTTTAGGTTTACTTCGACATACGTTCTACCTGTTAACAAATCATTACGTTATTACTTCTCATCAAAAAAAAAAATTAGGGTGCAGCAAGAATGCCACTCACCACCATGTACATTATATAACATTCTCACAAGCATAATATCTACTTTACAGTATATAAAAGAAATATAAATAAAAACATTTATTTCGTTTTTTAAAAAAAATACAATTAATGATAATTAATCCTCAAAGTTGTTAACGATTTCTTTCTTCTCTTTCCAAGTTGGCAATTTTCAATTTTTTAAAGGAAAGCTCATCGCATAAATTTTTCATCTCAAAATCAGGCAGAAATTCGTTGAAACGTACAAAAACCCCAGGAGGAAGGATAGATCTACTTACATAACTTGTGGATACGGTAGATGTTTTAAGGATCAGAACAAGAATAGATAAACAGTTACTGCATTAAGTATGAACGATCTTCCATTGTGTGAAGTATGCCATGAAAATCCATTCAAATACAAATGTCCTGGATGTTTAAAACGAACCTGTTCCTTAGCATGTTCCAAGAGACATAAGCTTCAAGATAGTTGCACAGGTCAAGCATATGATCCCAAGCAATACGTTTCTAAAGAGGATATCAGGGGAGCAGATGATGAGAAACGTGAAAGTAATCCTTTGGTTCAACGAGATTTCCATTTTCTGACTGGTTTAAAACGTGAACTTGAGATTCAAAAAGGTGATGCTTTTACTAAGAACAAGAAAGTGTTGAAAGCTAATAATTTCAACAATCCATACAATAGAAGACCTCAGCATCACCAACAGAACGATAATACTAATAATGCTGGAAGACATATATATCGTAGAGGTGTGAATTGTCTACTATTGCCTCGAGGAATGAGCAGATCATCCATAAATAGGAGTAAATGGGAGAAAGCTGCCGATATGTACGTATGGTCAATAGAATGGATAATATGTGCACCTACTGAAAAGAGACGAGAAGATCCATCAATAGATACATTCAAACATATCAGTCACAGAATAAAAGAGACAGCTTCTGTGGTCGAAGGTATGAGTAATTCGATATATGAGAAATGTTGTGAACTTTTTGGAATAGAGACAGAATCAGAAACTGCTGAAAAAACTACGGGACAAGTAGGAGAAGAATCAGAGACAATACCGAATGATAACAAGAAAGATAAACGCAAAAGACCTGAAGTACTGATAGATAATGGCCTTAAATTCTATATTAAATGGTTTCCTTACAATACTACAGAATGTTCGGATTCCAAAGAACTATTAGAAATTGAACCTACGGGTAAATGTATAGGAGAGATATTGAAAAATAGAACTGTGATCGAGTTTCCAACGATATATATTGCTAGAGATACCAAGGATTTACCGTTTGGACTTAGTGTCATTGATGAGACTACAAAGACGGATGAAGAACGAGGAATAATGAAGTCTCGATACAATAATACTGCTCCGATAACTAAACCAAACGAGAATGATTCGGATGACGGCTCAGATAATGATCTGCCAGAAGAAAATTCAATAAAGAATCTTGGCCAACCACCTGTCGTTGCTCCACAACAGCAAACAACACAAGATCAATTAGTAGAGAATGAAGACAGTGATGATTACGATCCCACTGCAGCCTTCTAAACCTCCAAGTAATCAATATAACAACCGCCAAAGAGTGTAGTAGTCTAATATATATCTATTATGTATAAAATATACGAAAAATCTCTTCATGACACGTGAAGACTCCAAAACGAAAAAAAAATTGAACGTTAAAACAAAGAAGCGAAGCAGGCCAATTTTAACACAGTTTGATATTTAATCTGGACAAGGGACGTCAAGGTTCAGTTGAAGTGATAAGAGGTGAGTTTCTCCAGTTCATTACACGTCTTTTGTACAATTGATTTGAGTATAGGCATTACATATAAACAGCAGTTTGTTGTAATATCAAAAGAAGCATATTCCAATTAAAAAAAAATCATGTTTGACCAATTAGCTATATTTACAGGTGCAGGCCAAGTGCTGTACCAATACAATTGTAATGGTAGGAAATTTGCAGAATCACAGATAGACGCTTTTATCAACCAACTGATTCTGTCTCCAGTTACCAAGAAGGACAACGTCAATGGGAAGTACAGTGTTGTTAACGTGACAGCGACAGACAAAAAAGCTTCACGTTCTTTCTCTTCCATGTTTTACCTATCTAGACAACCTGAGTTATATTTCGTCATTACATACCCTGAACAGTCCCTTGAATTGAATAAAGAAGCAGAAGCAACATTGGATTTAGCTTTAGCATTATGGGATTCCTTAGAGATAGATGTACAAGTGACTGAGAATATTAAAGATAACAACGATATATTAGTTGATTTAGATGAAGATTTAAATAAATTTGACGAATATTTGAAGGTTAAGTATGAAGAATCCATTAAGTATATAGCGAAGAGTATAACAAAGGATACAGATGAACCTGTTGTTAAGGATACTGCCTCCGAGAAGAATAACAAGAAATCAAATAAAAATTCTGTTAAGAATACTACCAATAAAGGTGGTAGAAAATGGGGTCGTGATGGTATGGTAGAGGATACCAGTAATATCGATTCTTCCGCATTAGATTTTTCAGAATCATCGAAGGGTTCTGCGACAAATACCGCTAGTAATAGTAATTTAGAGAATCCAATAGATAAGGATGATTTTGGTAACAGAACAGATAAAGGTGATTTCTTAATTAAAGAGATTGATGATTTGTTATCTTCCAATGTTGAAAATAAAAAAGAACAACAAGTGGCAGAAGGATCATCGAGTTATTTAAATTCTGCATTTGGATTTTTACAAAAAAATTTATTGGGGAACAAAACTATTACAGATAAGGATTTGAAACCTGCTTTACAAAGTCTAAGAAAGAAACTTATTAGCAAGAATGTCGCCCCAGAGGCTGCTGATTACTTAACTGATCTTGTGAAAAAAGATTTAGTGGGTTCAAAGACTGAAAGTTGGACTACAGTAGAAGACGCAGCTCGTAGTTCATTAACAAAGGCTCTTACTCAAGTTTTGACACCAGGTGTTTCTGTAGATCTACTACACGAAATTCAAAAAAAGACTGGCGTTAGAACTTCAGATAACAAAAAAAATCCATACGTTTTCTCTGTTGTCGGTGTAAACGGTGTTGGTAAATCTACAAATTTATCAAAATTAGCATTCTGGTTATTACAAAATAATTTCAAAGTATTAATTGTCGCTTGCGATACCTTTAGGTCAGGAGCAGTTGAACAATTAAGAGTACATGTTGAGAATCTTGCACAATTAATGGATGAATCACATATCAGGGGTTCCAAAAATAAGAGAGGAAAAACTGGGAATGATTATGTCGAATTATTCGAAGCAGGTTATGGTGGTTCTGATTTGGTTACTAAAATCGCTAAACAAGCTATCAAATACGCAGGTGACGAAGATTTTGATATTGTATTAATGGATACTGCTGGTAGAAGACATAATGACGCAACTTTGATGTCTCCGTTGAAATCATTTGCTGAACAAGCCAAGCCAGATAAAATCATCATGGTCGGTGAAGCGTTAGTCGGTACCGATTCTGTGCAACAGGCCAAGAACTTTAATGACGCTTTTGGACGAGCTAGGGATTTGGATTTCTTTATCATATCAAAATGTGATACTGTTGGTGATATGCTTGGTGCAATGGTAAATATGGTTTATGCTACTGGTATACCAATATTATTTGTCGGTGTTGGTCAAACATATACAGACCTGAGAACATTAAGTGTGAGTTGGGCTGTCAACACTTTAATGGCATAAGTTAACAATTTATGTTGCTGTACTATGTGAAATACAGATATATATATATATATACAAGTGCACGGAATACTTCTATAGAACAGTAATTTAAATTTATTATAATGTAGTAAAATTTGTTATAAGAATATATATGTATGCAGATACCAGCTTTGGAGTTTAACCTACTACGTTGACATTACCAACAGTATCTATCACATTAAATGAAGGTGCAAATTTGACATGTTCAGTAACTGGTATAACGGTCTCAACCGCAATATCTGGCATATTTTCTTCAGGACCATCCTTTATTTTATCCAGAAATTCCACAGGATCATGACCTAGAATCGTATGAAGAATGACAAGTGCACCTTGCTTAGATAAGACCAAACAATTCTCCGTACAATAGGCTGCTGCTACACACTCAGGACATCCAATATCACATGGGCACTCCTCTATTCTATGAAGTGTTGCAACCAAGATCTCATCGATATGCTCAAATATTTTCGTTGATAAACCTGACCCATATTTCCCACCTTTAGAATCATAGAAGACTAACCTAGCTGGTCTTAACCTTTTGGTTTGCCTTTCTGCAAATTCTTTCTCCGGTGCCTTGCATTCGGTTCTTATCTCATCGGCCCCTGCAACTATAAACCTAGAGAACACACCCATTATGCCATGCTCGGCAGCGTGGATAGCACCAGCAATGCTTAATTCTTTTGCAACACACAATTCCAAAGCAATTTTTGGAATATCAATCCAAAGGCCCTTTGAGTTAATTATGATTGGGTCATTATGGGTCTCAACAGCATCAATAATTCTCTTGAATTTATCAACCTTAAAATAACCAAACACCAGAATCTTTGTTCTGATATTACCGAAATAGATAGGCGTATCACTACTCTTCAACGAGCGTACCGATTCAATCAACTGAGGATCGACATCTGTAAAATCTCTTTGAGAGGTCACCCAATCTACATCGACTCTTAATACAGAAGCATATTTTTCATCTGGATTCATTTCCTTGACAAGGTAAGGATAACCTTGATGAATAAAGATCGCCCCATCATACAACGTGAAACTAGTTCTAGAAGCTTCTACTTCTTCTATGACTAAGTTTCTTCCGTTAGTTATATCAACAACGGCAAACTTTTCCTCCTCTACACCACGTAATGATACGTGTTTCGAAGGCCATGGTAAAAATTTATTGTTGGTATGATAACCCTCTTCATTGTGATATAATCGCTCTTCGCATATCTTAGTTAGGTATTTTCGATTGAAATATTCTGAATCTCTTTCAATATCTATAGGTAACTCAAATGCTGCACACTGTATATGACCCTCTAGGATCAGCTCATTCTCAAAATCAAGAACTAACTCCTGATAAGAATCCGGATCATCTACATCCAACAGTATCTCTGGATGGGCCACATAATGTTGGTCTACTGGTGAATCACTAGCAACAACAACTGTTAACGAATCATGATTTCTTCTCCCGGCTCTACCACTTTGTTGATGGAAGTTAGCCATTGACATAGGGAATGCACACATTAAGACAGCATCAAGACCACCTATATCAATACCTAATTCTAATGCATTAGTTGATATAACAGCTTTTAAGTTACCATGAAACATTTCTCTTTCGATTTTACGTCTATCAGCCGGCGAGTACCCGCCTCTATAAGCCATCACGTCATTTACTAAATCGAGTCTATTCATATTTTCAAATATTGTTCTAACTTCTTTCATTAAAAGTTCACAAACACGTCTCACGTAACAGAATGCTATCGTTCTCACATTCTGCAGGATTAACTGTACCAAAATTTCTGCACTTTCCTTAATAAAGTTTTCTCTTTTTCGCATATGTTGTGGTAATTTTGGTGGATTCCATATAACCAAATTTTTAGATCCTCTAGGTGAGCCATCTTCATTGATGAGCCGAACCTGTTCAATACCAAAAATATCTTTGGTATGTTGAACAGGATTCTTTAATGTTGCAGAACATGAGATGAACCTCAAGTTATTATTATTGTAGTGTTCTTGGCATAGACGCAATAACCTCCTCATAACAAGTGATACGTTGGACCCAAATAAACCTTTATAAACGTGCAACTCATCAACCACCACAATTTTTAGATTATAAAGAAAATGTTTCCAGTTTGTATGGTTAGGTAATATACTTGCATGGATCATATCTGGATTTGTAAAGATAACTTTCGCATGCTGTCTAATAACTCTCCTTTCTGTTCTCTCGGTATCACCATCGTACGTATCGACATGCAAATCCGACAATTCTGGAATTCTTGACACAATACTCTCAAAGGCTCTTTTTTGATCTTGTGCCAATGCTTTTGTAGGGAAAATATATATAAATGTAGCCTCTGGATCTTTTAATAATATGTCAATGGCAGACAACTGGTAAATCAACGATTTACCAGAGGAGGTTGATGTTGTAATAATAACATTCTCCTTTATATGGACAGCGTTCAATGCATCTGCTTGATGAGAATAGAAATTTTTATGCTCTAAGGCAGGATAAATCTCTGGTGATAAATCAAAATTTAGCTCTCCATACTGCGCTGTTCGAGCAGCTATTGTAAAATTCTCTTTTATTTGATCACAATACGAATCTGACTTTTGTAGAAGCTCTATCACAGCATTTATGGTAGGTCTATATGCACCTGTTTCTTGGTCAATTATTACTTGGTCACCCTTCAATAGTCTAGCATCCATCATCGACTGTATTGGATCATTATAATCCTTCCTTTGGGGGATATATTGCTTTGCAGCTTTTATTAGTTCCTCAAATGGATCCATACTCTCCTCATCGGAATGACTCCCAATAAATCTCGTTAAATAAGCTTCAAACCTCTCACTTCTCTTTGTAATCATTTTTTTCATTTCCTCAGTGGTATATGTCGGTAGTTTCACCTGGGAGACTGTCTCCGATGATATCCATGACCTCTTCATATTACCATCGACAAATTCAAAGACAAGCACCTGAGTCGATTTCTGTTCCCCATACTGCGTATTAATATCTTTTAGCTGAAATATATCGTTATCTTTCTGTTGATAACCACCATCTTTAAAGTCATATACTTTTGTTTCAGTATGTAATTGGTTCTCATCAATATATTTGAAGATACAATCCCTGGGGAGAATAGCTACTATCATAGCCAAGTCAAATTCTGTGATATCTTTATTAAGTGCCTTCGATATTGGTTTTGTGATTGTGTCAAAAGTAGGCACAACATGCTTCCTGCACATCAGGAAAGTGTAAATCGTATTTAATCTAAAAAATAACGCTCGAAGGTCATCGAAATTTGCTATACCAATAGAATCATTTCCTTCGATTTTCTGTTTCTTGTGTGTTTGTTCATTATCCGACATTATACCTTATGTTGTAATGATGACGATTAAACTTATAATCTTCCAAATTACTTTCCAGATGGATAAGGGTATCGGCGTTAAGAATGCAATATATTCGGTTCTAAATATTTCGACTTCACACAAAAAAAGTCGATTAAATGTAGTTAAAGTAGCATCCAGGTAAATAGGTAAATTATAATCCTATATTATTTAACACTTTTATTGGTTGTTCTCTTCAAATTACATTGATTCAAACGGGTCGCTTCCTTTAATAATTTTGTCATTACTTAAATTTTTCAACACCCTTTGAAAACAAAGATTCGTTGAGTTGAATCCTTTTGACAGGTTTAGAGATAAGAGAAGACAATCAACAAAGAACAAAGGCTCACCGTTCATTAGTAGCTACTTATCAATTTTTAATAAGTATCGGGCTTATTTAAAGTAAAGAAACATTACCTGACATCCAAAGTAGCATGTCCTTCTCTTCCGAACAATTTGTTAATAAGTTGACTAAACTGGAGGACTCTCAGGAGTCGATTGCCAGTGCATCCAAATGGCTATTATCACAGCATAGAGATGCCCCAAAGATTGCAGAGTGTTGGAAAACTTATATGCTTAGAAAGGATATTAACTCTAGAAGGAAATTATTGGGTATCTACGTGGTGAACCATGTAGTACAACAAGCTGCAGGACAAAAAATAGGTCATTTCCAAGAAGATTTTGATAAAGTTATTGAAGAAGTATTGACGACAACCTTCCCAGAGTTCTCAAGTGATTTGAAAAAGAAGATAATTAGAGTAGTTAATATTTGGAAGAATAGAGGCATCTTCTCAAGACCAACTTTGAATAAAGTTTTAATTAGTTTCGAGAAGAATAAAAACACCAATGAATCTGATAATTTGAAGCTTCCACCTAAAATAAAACCAATTGTGGAAATGATAAAAAAAATAGAAAAGACCCAAGTAAACCTACATGCAATGAAGACTAGGTTTGATAATTCTATTAATGAGCTGGATTCTTCTAGTGTAGTTTATGATGAAAATTTCAAGACAGTTACCAAGATTTCTGATTTAGCTAAAGACACAATTGCAAGCTCGATCACTGAAAGAAACAATCTTATAAATTTATTTAATGGGATGATAGAAGAGCAGAACAAGTTAATAGTGGAAGAGCAGACTATGGTTAGTGAAATTGATTTTGCACTTACTGCTAAAGATCCTACCAATATCAATAGCAAGGATAAAGATGATCAAGATATATTGCCTTCATATGAAGCAGCCGGAGATGATAATGATGATAGTGATAGTGATAGTGACAGCGATCTTGAAGATCAAAAAGGAAGTAATGTAGATAAGTTAACAACCACAAATGGCATTCCACTAGATACAGCAAATGCTCTTGAGCAAATGAATACGTTGGTTCAAGAGGGTAATTTAAAGCGAAATATCGATGAAATAGAACGCAGCGGTAATAGTGATGAAGATGAAAATAGTGTCAAAAGAACAAAAGGACAAGATACGAATGAGGGAGATGTGTATGAACCCACCAACCAAGATTCCAATGAAGATGAAAATGCTGACGATAGCAATGCTGTGACATCTAGTATACAAGATTTGTTAAGCAAACTGGCAAATTGAAATAAATGAACACTTTCTGAGATCAAGCAAAAGATGTAGTATATACGTTTATAAAGTAAATTTATATACATTTTAATCAATGTGGTCACATATAACTCTCGTAAATCGCACTATTCTTAAATGCACCCAAAAATCATTATATTCTTCTAGAAAAATTGTTAAATAATTTATATATGTTACCAACTACCTTTGTAAATCTATTACACTTGATTGACCGGTCTTATGACAATGAAGAATAGCCCATTTACTACCTTTAGATGCCTCCTTCGATAAAGCGTTATATAAACTTGTCGCAAAACTCCTTGGAGCAGAATTATTAGCAGAACCAAATACCTTCCTCAGCCATTCTTCTTTTTGATTTAATGAAGTTATAGATATCATCTCCATTGTCTCATCACGTAGAGCGTCAATGGCAATTACTGGTGCCATTGACAGATTGTGAACGATGGATTGTGATGCATTCCTGGCACTGTCTTCATAAACCCATTTCTCTCTCTTACTTGCCTTCTTGGATCTATTGGCCATGTTTGGAACGTATACGATTTTCTTATTCGAAGCAATGGATCCATTCTTTTTGTCATCATAATCACCATCTTGACTACTGCTTGCACTACTTCCGTCATCCCAGTGGTTCTGTTCTTCAAATTTATCACCAATGGGTATTGAATCATTAGTCAAATCCTTATCGGCAATTTCTTGGTTATACAACTGTAAAAATTCATCAATATCCATGTCGATATCCAGCTTGCTATTCAGCTTCCGTATCTTAAGGGGTTTGTATTTTCTTTTATGACTAGAGTTAGTGTATGATTGTTGTTTAATTAAAATTATCCAATCTGCACCATCTTGTTGAGCACCAGATATCACATCGTCAACCGTGTAACAGTTACGTAAGAAATCTGTTTTGATTCCCTGTTTCCACAATTTGTTAAGAATAGGAACACCAATTGTATCAAGTAACGAATTAGAAAAACTTGAGATGATAACATCACATCTACTGGGCTTCCATTCAACAGCAGTATCTTTCAAAAACTTATTTCTCTTCTTATGTTTATTACCGGGTGCTATCTTAAAATAGCTTTGTGCAATACCAAATATAGTCTCCCATGCTAGATTAAAGCCAACAGCTTTCTTCACGTTTGACGTTTTGGCTCCTGATGGCCTAGCAAAAAATGAAATCAGATTATCATAACGACCACCAGCTGCTATCAAGTTTCTTATAGAACCATCGTCGTATATCGCCTGGAACATGATACCACCTTTGTAAAATGAATTATTGTAACTGCTTAGTGGAGATATTACGACATTTCGATAGACTTCTAATGGTTTTAAAAAGTTTAGTGTTTTTACGATATGAGATAGTGAATCATCAATTTTCTTCAGGAAGGGGCTATCCACCATGATCTTAGCTAATCTTCTTTTAGTAGCCTCAAAATCTAACCTAAAATCAAAAAGTTCAAGATCATTCAATGAAGTAGATGATATATTCAATTGCGCCTTCAGTTCACTCTTCACCTCCTTGAAAGACTTTGCAAACCCAACTTGGGATAGCATACGAGATACTAATGCTCTCTGAGCTTTATCGATATTACAGAAATCAAATACTGAATCCAAAATATCAAAATGATTCAGTACAAATACAGTATTTGTCTTTTCAAAAACAGGGAATGCTGTTAAAATTTCATCTACGATTTTTATACTTTCTGCATCATAAAAAGAAGAGTGAGTAGTTGAACTTGAGATAATATCGAAATCGATTTCCCCAAACTTTCTTGGCTCCAAACTTGATTTCGATTGAGCTGGAGGTCTATAAACATATTGTAAACGGAATTGCTTCGTCACGCAGTTTGGTCCCTTAGATAGATATCTTGCCATTGGGTATGTCAGATCATATTGCAACTGCAGGACACTTCCACCATGGTCTAATAGTTCGTATACATTCTGAGCGATATATGTTGGACCTTTAGGAAATATCCTTGATGGAGAGTTGTTTTCAATACCACCATGTTTTCTAAAGATTTTTACTACTTCTTCTGTCATTTGGGATCTTAGGATTTGGGAAAAAGGTGTCTGTGAATTTTCTATACTGTCGAATAAAATATCATTTGTCAAACTGTAAGGTTGATTAAATAAACTTTCACGTACATCTTGTTGCCATGGTGAAGATGGGTCTGCTAGACTCTTTAGAGCTTCCTTCAGGGCTTCATCTTGATGTTTTACAGGCAACCATCCGCTATCCAGTAGTTTTCTTGCTCCTGGTCTCTTACTTGGGTCATGGTCTAGTAATAATTTGATAATTCTCTTTTCTGTTTTCATTTTATTTCCATCGAACTCAGTTGGGAATTCAATATCTGGAAGTCTAAGATCTTTCAAAATATTAACTCTCTCCATACCTGTACTGAAAGAATACACCATCTCAAAGAAAATGATACCCAAGGAATACATATCAATTTTTTCGTTGTAATTACCTTTCCCAGTTAATACCTCTGTAGCAACGTATAAAGCTGTCCCTATAGCAGATGTTAAGTTGTCTGTACTACCAGTGACGTTGGCAGAATCCATCTTCAACAAATCAGCCGACCTATGGACATTTTTAGCCAGCCCGAAATCACCAATCTTCACATTCCTTGATTCATCAATGAAAATATTCATTGGCTTCAAATCTCTATGAATGATACCTTGGGAATGAATATAGCTTAATGCTTCCAATATTTGACGGAACAACCTCCAATATTCATCTCGTTGCTCTGTCAAGTTATCAGAATGAATCAAATCAAATAACGTACGATTTTCACAGTATTCCATTTGAATAAACAACGTACTTTTCTTTTTCTTCTTCTTCTTTATTGTGTTAATATCATGATGCTTTATTGGCTCATGCGTCATGTCAAATTGTATACCCATAGACTGCACGTCTTCATCATCATCGTCATCACTCTCACTCTCACTTTCAGAATCATGTGTGCTATCTATATCATCGGTTTGGTTGGTCGTGGTATCATTCTGACCACTTGAACTATTAGCAAATACAATATCTGGATAGCCGGAGTTAGATATAAAATCCCAATTACTGTTATCTTCATCGATATTCTCTATACGATTCCTCATTATGTTCGATTGGTTAAAAAGATCATCTGTCTCTAATTCCGAAATATCAGTACTTTCATCCGAAAAACTGTCGTCGTCTTCATCGTCTTCATCGCTTGAAGCCACTGCACTGTCATTTGGTGAGTCTTCTTCCAACCATGCTGCATAATATCGAACGACATATTGGTGGTTCAAACTTGCCAGCAACATGACTTCACTCAAAATTGTCGAAAGCTTTTCCTCAGTGTGTCTAACTTTTTTCACAGCGTAATACCTACTATCGAGAGTATTTCTAGCTTTAACGACCTGGCCAAAAGCACCTTTACCTAAAACTGCAATTTCTTCGAAATCCGTCGCATATCTTGATTTGGTATGAGCATAAGAGGAAGAGAATCGAGACCCAACATTAAAAGATCTTCTTCTGTTGCTAGAATGTGATAATGTTCGCGATTCAAATAATTGATCTTCGGAAGACTGTGATATCGAATTCTGAGTAGGGTTTTCTTTCAACAAATTAAACTTTCTAACATCAGGATCAATATTTGTCCTCAGAAATTTCATTGGGAGTAATTCTAGGATATCTAATCTTCTCTTTGGTTCTTCATTTAACATCTTTTCAAGCAAATCATATAAGGAGGTGTCAATGCTATTTTCAACTAAAAATTCTTTGGGAGATGAGTAGTCCATTACTGTATCAATACCATTAATCATTTGTATGAAAAGTACACCAGTTAACCAGATATCTGTCATTCTCTGTGGTTTTATATTTTTGGCTTTTGTCAGTTCTGGAGGATCCCAGGTGAAAAATGGTTCGTCCACCGGAGGTCCATGCTTATTTGGGTATTTAGAGATCATATTGATAAGATCATATGCATAATGGGGATATATTAATTTAGGGATTGTAGTACCAAAATCTGAATCTTTAGCTAGCAAGACAGTTTGTGGTGTAATATAACCATGGAATGTCCCAACTTTGTGTAGCGCTTCAATACCTTCTAAGATACGAATCATCCAAACACGAGCTGTAGCGATGTTAACAAAATCAACAGATTGAATAACGTCTCCAATTGGGTATGATACAGAATATTCTGTTAACAATCTAATTTTCCAGACAAAAGTGGCATTATTTCTACCTAACCTTTCTACCGAGTAGGCATATAATCGTTGTATATTGTCATGTTTTACTTTCAAAAGAAGCTCTAGGTTTTTTTCGAGTACAGATATTTCTTTCTTACCATTACTTGTATTAAAATATGGATTATCTAATTGAACTTCAGTGAGTAAAAAATAGAAATTCTCCATCATTTCTGAAGACATTAGGGAGTTTGCTAATGGGGAATCTGGAGCTATATATGGTTTCACTAGATATTGATTTGTGAAGTTCAAAGGATCCGAAAATAATTTCGTCGGTTGAGGGTTAACAACTGCTCTAAATTTAAACAAAGAATTATTTGGTAATTTGGCCTTTATAACCTTCGGAAATATAATTGCTTCTCCTGATGATACCCATTCTGAAGGTGGTAAGAGATTCATTTGTTTAGTTGGATTGAACAATTGGTCATCATCATCCTGTCTCTTCTCTAATTCTTTCTGAACAATTTTATCAATCCTTTCTTGTTCTCTTACTTTCAGTTTTTCAACTTGTTCTTGACGTTCTTTCTCGTCTTTCTCCATCTGGGCCTTTGATTCTTGTATTCTTTGCAATCGATCCTCTTCTAACGATTGATTATTTACCATCCCTTGGAAAATATCTAATTTCTCTTGAGTCAAGGAGGCAATATCAAAAATAAATTCCTGGCCTCTTGCATCCTTATGTATTTGAGTATATTCTTTTTTTAAAGATTGTAATTGGCTATCCATGATGTTATTTACATTTTTAAATATAATATCAGGCCTTGTATGAGGGTACATAGGGGTAAGTTCGAAATGTAACGTTAATGACGATTGTGCGGGTTCTGTTTCAATTGATTTTAATGATATTTCGAATATGATTTGCGGTTGTTTATCCCAACTGGATTTTTTTTTGGTTAAATCTGTAAAATCGTCCATATAAATGGATTTAAGTGCCTCCAATTCATTGCATTGTATCTCATAGTACTCATTCAGAGTAAGATGGCTAAGTGACATTTGATTGGACAAGAAAACTATTCAATAAATGTTGTAAAATAGGATTAAAATAGTAAGATTTGTTGTCACTTTTGTGTTTATGAAAACGATGGGATGCTAAAATATATGACTGTTAAAAGGAAAATGCAAAATAATAATAATGGAATTATAAATTAATGGTAGTATTGTATGTCTGAGAAAATATGAAATTTGATCTAACAGTACATTAAGAATACGTAGACCTATATATACCTTGTTATATTGGAAAGGGTTCCTGTATAGTTTAATGTTGCTGTATTTAAGATTAAAAGCTAAATAATTTTTTTGTTTTGTTATGCTAAGATAGATAGCCCGCCTTGTACGGTATAATAAAATATGTAAGAATTAGACAAGAGATTAAAACTGCGGTGATAATCGCAACTTAGTCTAATAGTCATCATTAATTAATTATATACAAGAAGTGTTTAGGTTATCAATATGTTAACATAACTAACAGTTTAATAATTATATATTTGTCTTTATTTGTGTGTATATATATAAATATATATGTTAACTTTCCAGTTCCTTATATACCAGCGGAAACGGTTTGACCTTCTTCATCTTCTACAGGTTCTTGTTGTGGGATAGCATCAAATGGAACATCGAAAGTAACAGCAGAATCATCCAGTAAAGGTTTGAATGGAACAGGGCTATCGATAGCTGGGAAATAAACTCTGTATGTTGAATGTGCTATTATATAACCTAATGCGGAACCTAGCAATACATCTACAAAATGATGTCTATAATCTTGTGTTCTCGATAATGCCACTAATGATGCACCAACTAATGGTAACATAGCTATATATTTCCTCCATACACCAACTTGGACATGTTCAGTAAGTAATTGACCACATAACCACAGATATAAATAACCTAACCCTGCAAAACTTTCACTAGAATGACCGGATGGTGTTGTACGGAATCCTTCTAAAAGAATACTCTTATTTTCTGCTGTACACGCCTCGGATGCTGTAAGAAGCATATCCACCGGTAAATTTGGTTTAGGTTGACAACGGTCTAAGAAATCTGGACGTAATCTTCCAATCCAGTTTTTAATATAATTCGTAAATAAACATGTAGTAAACCATGAAAGTAATAGACCTAATAATGAAATATATAATAGATACCATCTATGTCTTTTATCAGCCAATAAGGCCCATACAACTAAAATAACAATAACTGGAACTAAAAAGCTGTAAACAAACAACATAGAGTCATCTACTCTCTGATGTACTGCATAAGGGTGTGATATAGTTAAATCATTCAAGTAAAATTGTCTTTGGAAAGGTTCCTGATAATACACCGGATAACTAAACATGACTATTACAATCAATAAAACAACATCTGGAATTCTCCATTTGGGTACTCTGTACGCAAAACTTCTTTGACTGCCACCCAAAGAAAATCTATCAACCGCCATTATAATTTGTTATGATGAGAAGAATATATTGAACGATATGTTGTTACCTTTATTAGTTTATTTCTCGTCTAAATATGAACAAATATTTTAAAGGTGAAGCGGTTAAGTAATCACGAATCAAACTAAATATACCGTATAAGCAATATTACTCTTAGGTGTCAGTGCTGTTGTTGTTGTTTATTCTAATCATATAAAGAATTAATATAGTTTCATAGCTTAAATGGTTGTCTTGTTGTCTTCTATTTTATTTTCGGTTTTCAATTTTTGGAAGTTATCAGGCGGGAATGTTAATTTTATTGTTAGCGGATGCTAAAAGAGAGGTAAAACATTCTGAAATCAGAGAAACTCACTTGGAGAGGCATACATATAAGAGTACATTGTAATGATATAGAGCATAATAGTATGGTTGATGTGTAGCAATAAGCGATATGTAGTTTAGTAGTAGCTTTCTTTTTGGGAAGCGCAGTAACAGAACTGAGCTTGTCTTTTCTTACGAAATAGGGGTTGTATCTGTGTGAGAGAACTAATTATTAAGCATTAGTTCATTTATTTAACCCAGAAATGAAGCAACTGCCCTTTAGGTTCTATATCCTTTCAATCATAAATCAAAAAATATATGTGATTTTGGGAAGTGGTGTCGGCGGCAAAATAAAAAAAATAGAGGTGACAGTGAGAACACGAGAACTTTTAAGGAACTCCACCCATTCTCGATCTTATTTATTTCTTATTTAACGTAACTTTATAAGAGAATTACGATATTTCAAGAAATTATTTGATAATAGATAAAAGAAGGAAGGAGGAAGTACTGGAATTTGGTTTTGTTTAAAGTGTTACTGTCTCTCCTTTAGATTTTTTGTTGGATAAAGAGAACTAATTGGTCTATCTGCGTGGGCGGCTAACTCGAATTGAATAAATTGAATCAAAAATACCTTTGAAGGATAATGCCCAACTTCTTTAGAGACTCAACATTGGGGTTTAAACCACGATCCAACATATTTAATAAGCTTAGAACAAAAGAATTTAATGAGAACGTTCATGAAAGTGAAAATATCGGTAATACAAAATCCGGCGATAACGATGGAGATTCTTCAATGATGAATTATATGTTTTCAGATGGTGATGATTCAATTCAAACGATAAACCAAACTAAAGTGTCAGAACCAAATAGTTATTCATCTGATAATATTAAAAAATTATCAACTAGTACGCCACGTACCTTGAAGACATCAACTTCTTCAGGGTCCGGTAATAAAATAACCCAGAGATCAGGAACTAAAGAGGGAAACGCAGAGGAAGACGAAGAAGATTTTGAGATTACAGAAGTTAGAAATATTGATCCAGATTTGTCTCCGAGTTCTACTAAAGTAGATATTGATACTTTCACTGGAAAACATCCTAAAGTAACAAGCAATTTGTTGGCAGATGATAAATTTACTAATGTAGATACCTCGTCAAATGATGTTTTATTAGAAGCGTTCACTAATACACAGAGAATTTGTAGCAATTTAAAGATTGAATTACAAAAACAGAATTCAGAAAATGGTAAATTAAAATCTAAATTAAATAATTTTGAGAAAGAGACAAAAAATATGCAAGATAAAGTTACAAAATATAAAATTATTCTTAATGGATTACAAGATAAAACGACAGAATTATTCAAGAAAAGGAATTTAGATAATAGTCATCTTTCAGAATTGAAAAAATTTCAAGATGAATTACAACGAAGAATAAATACGTATAAAGAAGAATTAATTCAATTGAAATCTCAAATGATAGAATTACAAAAACTTAAACATTCATTAGAATCAGAATTGATGAAAAAGGATAAAGATTTAGAATATGTGAAACAAGAACTTGATGATTGTTCTGGACAACTTACTGAAGAAAAATTGAAAAATTCTTCATTACTTGAAGAAATTTTATTGACTAGAAATATTACTTTAGAGTCATTCGATAAGAAATTCAGTCAAATGTTATCTGAAACAAAAACTTTAACAACTAGTACAGAGGAGACACTGAATAAAAATTTTGAAAACCAGAAGTCCATTTATGTTCAACAACAAGAAGAATTGTATACTAAAATTTCAAAATTAACAATAGACTCATTAGATAAAAAGTATTTTATTACATTTACACACCCTTTTGAATCGTTCTTATTTATTATTTTTTTCTACTAACTAACAATTAATAATTAAACAGATTTGATGAGGATTTAAAAAAAATATTAAATGGAGAATTGTTACAAGTTTCTAATTGGTTTGAAAAACTTGACAAGTCTTTACTTATTAATTATACTAATTTTGAAAATGAATTAAACTTATTCCAAACTAAAATTATTGATCAATTAGTTGGATCAGACCTTAAAATTGATGAAATAGCTAATAACATGATTATACTTCTTAAGGAAAAATGTCAAAGTATCATCAGTGAGACCAATTCTGAGTTACATGTATTACATGAAAAACTTGAGGGATATCAAAATGAATTAACCAAGAGTCACGTATATGAAAGTAATGTCGCAGAACTTGAGAAACAAATTTCCTCGCTGGAACAACAAAAGACAGAGAACCTGGTTAACCTTGGTACTCGAAATGCAGAATTAGAAGACCTGAGAATTCAACTAGAATCACAATCCATTGAACTTTCTAATACAAAATCGATTGATTCTGAACTAACAAGAAAACTTGAAATGGTGGAACAAGAATCAGGGAAGTTAAAAGAGGAATGTAAAAAATTAAATGAAATACTAATTACTGAAAAAGGAAATTTTCAAAATAAGATAGCCGCCCAAGAAGGAATCTCTAGTGCAATCAAATCGGAAAATAGCTCATTAAAATCAAGAATTCAGGAGTTAGAAGGGATAAGAAATTCTTATGAAACTGAACAAACATCCAGAATTGACAAATTTCAAAGATTAAATGAACAACTTCAAAAAATGAATGTGGAGATGATTCAATTAAAGGCTCGTGAATTAGAGCTTCTAGAGGAAAATAAAAATTTAAATAATAAAATAATGGATGATACTACAGGGTATGAAACTTCTTTAAGTGAAGTTAATAACTTGAAAAGGTGTATAAGTGACATGGACAACGATAAGCAGGAATTATTATCAGAACGACTCGATTTGCAAGATAAGTTAGAAGAGATGCAAAGGAATATGGTCTCATTGAGGAACAAAAATAGTAATCATGAAAAAACTATTAAAGAATTAACAAAACAACTCGAAAAAAAGGTAACTAATGACTCTCAGCAACACTTGACAACAGATGATGAAATTGAACGAATAATTGTAACACCAGTTAAACCTCAAAATAAACCACGAGAAGAAAAGAACAAGAAGAAGAATATTATTAAGACCAAGACAGATGTTGTTAATACAATGAAATTTAAGAAATTTACAGATGATGAATTTGATCTTCCGTCATCACTAAATGATGATTTTGAGATGACTGATCCATCACCGATCCATTTAAAACCTGTGAGGGCCAAATCTAAGAGGGGCCACCCACCTGATTCATCCGTATCAGTCACCAAAAAAAAATTGTTGCTAGTGGATCCTCCAGGAACCACAGATTTTGAAGTTGTGAGTAATGTGATACCCAAACGAAAGAAGAGAAAGAATTGAATTAAATAAAAGAAAATCAATATGCATTAAAAAAAAAGATATCTTCATATGTACAGAATTGTATGCTATTTTTATTAAAATTTTGAACTTATTTAAACTTCTTTAAGGCAGTAGTTAACTCATCCTCCCTAAAATGATGCATTATTCTAAATAAAGACGATGGATCACCTTGTTTCTCTATATGTAAGACAGGAATATCAAAACAATATTCCTTCCACCATTTGGGATCCTTGTTAATATTGATTATTTGCATATTCTGGCGTAAAGGTTCCTTTGCAAACTCTGAAGATTCAAGTGTATCATTAATAATCTCATGGGCTTCCTCACAAAGACCACATTGAGGTTTTGAGAATAGTGTTAGCTTGACATTGTTGTAACTCAGTGCTCGGCAACTGCTATGAAAAGAACGGTATACACAGGGTGACTTCGATCTTAGTACCGACATTGCAAATTGTGTCTATCCCATTGTGCATATGTGGCCCGAAAACAACTAAAATAATTCGTCATCTTCATCCTTAATTGATCATTTCAATTCATCTTTATAACGTTCGCTAAGAATATTAAGTTCGGAGTACTGTCGGCCATGCAGCAAGACCGAGTAACCACAACAGAAATTAGGGAGGCTACTTACACCTAATTTATATGATGATTGCGATGAACTCGATATCTAGTTCCATCACACCGATGAAGTTGTAAGATGACATATTTGGGGGGATAGTTCTATTTCTTGTGTATATATAAGCCATGTTCTTGTCGTTATAAATTCTATTGTTTCCAAATGGGTTTTTTTTTGCATGTGAAAATATTTACTGCTATCCAATTATATAAAGAATAAGAAACAAATAGTTATTACCTTTAATATAATACAGATATCTTCTCTAGACTTAAAAGAAAGAGAGGGCAATAAATATACAGATATTAAAATGACATTATCACAAGAGCAATTGAAATCAATCGAAAACAATATTGTTCAATTATTAAGGGAGCAAGTTGGTCCTATCATTAAGGAGCAATCAGGAAAGTACTTGACAGTGTACGATGATAAAGCAAACCAAGTGGATTTGGTAACTAAATCAGACAAGAACATCGAATTCATTATCAAGGGTAAATTAAAAGAATTATACCCTGATTTCTTGTTTGTTGGTGAAGAAGAATATGTTCCCGGCGAAACCGAGATCTCCCGTGAACCAACTTTTATTGTAGATCCAATTGATGGTACTACAAACTTTATCCATGGGTTCCCTTACAGTTGTTGCTCGATCGGCCTAGCAGTCGGTGGGAAATCAGTTATGGGTGCGATCTTCAATCCACATTTAGATCAATTGTTCCATGCCTCTAAAGGCAATGGTGCATATGTCAATGACCAAAAAATTGATGTTGCTAATAGACCTCTAACTTTACAAAAATCTGTGTTTGGTTTAGAAGGTGGTGCTGATAGAGCCGACTCCCCCGGAAGTAATTTCGATATTAAAATGGCTACTTACAAGAATCTCTTAAGTGATAAAGGTGGGTTCATCCATGGTTTCAGAAGTTTGGGAAGCGCAGCCATGAATGTATGTTATACTGCGTTAGGTATCTTTGATGGTTACTGGGAAGGTGGATGTTGGGCCTGGGATGTCTGTGCCGGTTGGTGTATTTTGGAAGAATGTGGAGGTGTCATGATTGGTGGTAATAAGGGCGAATGGGAAATTGGTATCGATAGAAGGGTCTATTTTGCCATTAGAGGTGGTTGTTCAAAAGAAGAACAAAAACAATTTGCTCAAGATTTCTGGAACCAAACTACAGGTGACCTAAAGTACTAAGAAGCCATACTCCAAAAAAATATATCTCTATTACGTAAATATTCATGTATTGTTGTGCTTTCTTTTTCACCTTTGTGTCTGTATGTATATCTAGTTGAACAATAGTATTTATTTATTTATTTTTTCTATTATATAAACAAAATTGAAAATTTCGTGTATTTGAATATTTTAATTTTTGGCGATGAGAGGCAGAAAGGATCAAAACATTGCAAACTATAAAACAACATCAGTTCAAATAGGTAAGGTAATTGATCATCTTCATTAGTTATCTGAGAATAAGATATACTTATAATTAATATCAAAACAAGACTATTGAGAAAAGATGAATGAAGAAGCAGATTATTCAGACTCTAGGGAATCCTCAAATGGAACTGCTGCAGTGGAATCTAAAATTGCCATTATTACAATCAGATTAACACGTTATATTCTAGCCCATAGTGAGTCTCAAAACACTATTATAAGTAGAGATAAATTATTGAAGACTTTACGTGACTTCTATAAGGAAGAAAACTGCAGACCTGTCGTATTTGCCGTTATATTTGATCAAGTGAATCAAGTATTATCAGAAACATATGGATACGAGTTACGTGGTATTGAGGCTAAATCCAAGACCGCTAAGGGAAAAGCTCAGGATAATAGTGGCTCTATGACACAAGGTGGTGGAGATCCTTCTTCTATTTCCGGCACAACAGTAACTGACGCTGCAACTCCATCATTAGGCGCTAAAGCAACACATTTTATTCTACTAAATAAATTAGCTTATCTGTCTCATTTCGAGAATTTCAAATTGGATCAGACTATAGGATTGTATAATGATACAATTGATCAAGATGAATATATTGGAGACGATATGAGTCGAAGCAATGTGAACACTTTGGAGAGCAGACTCGGTGTCGATCAAGAGATGGCATTACAAGGTATTACATGTCTATTTTTATGCATTATCTTATTCTCAAAAAATAATATCTTACATCAGGAGATCATCGTGTATCTAAGTAAGTTCGGTATACCTGTTGATGGTACAGAGATTCCAATCATTGGAATGTCATTAGATGATTTTATCAAGCATATTGAAAAAAAAGAATATATAGTTAAATTAGAAGAAAAACCTACAGGTAATGATAATTCTAGTAATATGACAGGCATTACCATATACAGGATCGGTAGACGTACTAAGTATGAATTCGACGTGTCATCGTTAGTCAAGATGTTGGAACAAATAATGGGGATTACAGTGGACAATACACTATTAGAAGATATCAAGAAGAGTGTCGGCAATGCTTATGATTAAATATACCGATGAATATCATCTCAGTTATAAAAATCGTCATTGCTGTACCACATAGAAGGCCGAATAATCCGACACTTCACCTCTTCTCCACTCAACTTTGTATATGTTAAAAGTGACTAACGTGAAAGGCATTTAACGGTAATATCCTTCTTTGCCTCTCGGATCAAACTTGCCTCTGGGAAACAGATTTATTCTTCCATCCCAATTGTCTCTCGTATAAAGAAATAAACAAACTGCAATCAATGGATGATGGGAAAGAGAGACGCAGAGGAAAAGACTATGAGCTAGCAAGTCAGTTGAGTTGAGTTGTATTCAGTGATGCATATTGCTATGGTTTTTCACCTTGCTTCTGCGGTATATTCTCTGGCCAACCCACCTCTCGAGAAAAGAAAAAAAAAAAGAAAAAAAAGTGAAAAATTTTATGTAATCAATACAATCCACTCTCTTTCAGTTGAAAGCCAGATAACAAACGAGCTGGTGTATCTCCTTGCTTGTACGCTAGGCTCGTATATTTTTCAGCTGGGGTTGTTCACTGCAAAGTCGATTCCCTTACGTGTATATCGTATTATACCATGAATGGACCGATCCATCCCTATTTGTCAATATAATCTACCTCTGGTACCAGGCTTATTATAATATTATATATATATATATATATATGTTTATTTAAATGCATTGTTTGTAAAAAAGAACTTTTAAATGCATCTGATCTCTGTATATCTCCCTCTCCTCGTTGCTCTCTCTGCGTGTAAGCAAAAACAATCATCTGACAAGAAGTAATGAATTCTACAGATTTGATTGCTATAGTGGTACTCGGTGCTCTATTTTGGATCTACCGTAACCTTGATTCCATTAAAGAATTTATCAATGATCAATTTTATGATAATGATCCTGCACTTGGAGTCAACTCTAATGGGACTCGTGATCTAGTAGAAGTATTAAGAGATAACGACAAGAATTATTTGGTTCTATATGGTTCTCAAACTGGTACTGCAGAGGATTATGCCAAGAAATTTGGTAAAGAATTGACTGCTAGATTCCAACTTCGTGTGATGGTCGCTGATTTGGAACATTATGATTTTGATACTTTAAATGAATTGCCTGATAATATTCCTGTAACATTTGTTATCTCTACTTATGGTGAAGGTGATTTTCCAGATGGATCTGTCAATTTCGAACAATATTTGAATGAATTGGATGCTGAAATGTTAGACAATCTTCGTTTCTCTATCTTTGGTCTTGGTAATACTACTTATGAATTTTTCAATGGTGCTGCTCGTAAAGCCCTTGATAAACTTCAAAATGCAGGTGCTCGTTTAATTGGTGCATTAGGTGAAGGTGATGATGGTGCTGGGACTACAGATGAAGATTATTTAACTTGGAAAGAAGAAACCATTGAATTATTACAAACTGAATTGGACTTAAGTGAAGACGAGGATAAACAATTTGAATCCTCCTTTGGATATACTGAATTGACAACGATTGAAAATAATACCTCATTGGGTGAACCATCAAAACAATATTTACCAAATGCAACTTTACAATATAATTCTGAAGGTGAACAACGTGGACCATTTGATTTAGCTCAACCTTACATTGCACCAATCATTAAAACCAAAGAATTGTTTCAATCTAAGGATAGAAACTGTATCCATACTGAATTCGATATTAGTGGTTCTGAAATAACTTATCAAACAGGTGATCATTTAGCCATTTGGCCCTCTAACCCAGATGAAGCAGTATCTCAATTCTTACGTGTATTTGAACTTAACCCTGAAACCATATTTGATTTGAAGGCTAAGGATTCTACTATGAAATTACCATTCTTATGTCCTACCACCGTTGGTGCCGTTGTACGTCATTATTTAGAAATCACCGGACCAATATCAAGACAAACTTTAGGCTTATTGGTATCCTATGCTCCAGAATCAATTAAAGATCATATCATCACTCTATCTAAGGATAAATCTTTATTTGCCTCCGAGATATTAGCCTCTAAATTTAACCTAGCTGATGCTTTATTGTCATTAAATAACGGTCAAACATGGTCTGGCGTTCCTTGGTTATTATTGATTGAAATGTTACCAAAATTATCTCCACGTTATTATTCTATCTCTTCATCAAGTCTATCTGAACCTAATACTATTCATGCTACTTCAATCGTTGAAAACACACCAAATGATACCACAGGTATAAATACTATCGGTGTCACTACCAACTTGTTGAGAAATATTCAACTAGTCAAGACACAAGGTGATCTAACATCTTTACCTGTTCATTATGATCTAGAGGGACCTCGTGGTCTTTTTGCTAATGGTCAATTACCGATCCATGTTCGTCATTCTACTTTCCGTTTACCAAAGGATAACAGCATCCCTGTAATTATGATTGGTCCTGGGACAGGTGTTGCACCATTCCGTGGGTTTGTTAGAGAAAGATTTGCAGAAATAAAGCGTGACGGTAGTGATAGTTTAGAAAAGATGGGTAAGATGGTATTATTCTATGGTTCTCGTGATAATGATGATTATTTGTATCGTGACGAATGGGTAGAATATTCCAAGACACTAGAAGATAAATTTGAAATCGATGTTGCATTATCAAGAGTACAAGAACAAAAAATATATGTTCAACATCGTCTTGCTGAACGTAAGGAAGAAATTAGTCAATTATTACAAAAGGGTGCATATGTGTACGTTTGTGGTGATGCCAAACGTATGGCTAAGGATGTTCAACATGCGATTGCCAATATCTTGTCAGAGACTAAAGGTCTTACTGAATCCGAAGCTCAAGAAGTTGTTAAGGCTATGAAGGTTGCAGGTAAGTACCAAGAAGATATATGGTAAGGGAGGGAAAATAATTTTAAAAAAATAAAAATAGATATCTTTAGATGCTAGTGAATATATATATATATATGTTTATATGATGTGGTAGTTTGTCATAGTAAGAGATGAACCATAGTTCGAATGTATAATAGCGTTAACATTGACAGCACATATAGCAATACTACTATGAATAACAAAAACGGTAAACCACTGAGAAATTCAATGGCTGACTGTCGCCATGATGGTTCAGAAATATACTTATCTGTAGTATCCCATTCTGCTTTTTCCAGATCCATAAACTCATCTTCTGTGTCTGACATTATTAGTAGATATATATATATTAACTTTTCTGGCGTGTCTGCTTACTTAATTGATTTCAATGTTTGCTAACCATAGACAGCTTCATTAAACATATACAGAATCCTATTATTTACCGTCCCTTTCCAAACATCGATGTACATAATCACATACATACCCTTGTATTTATATTTATATATATTTCACAAAAAAAAATACCTTTATTATGACTACAGTCGATGCTTATTCTCTTGGGTCCACGTGTGGCACTGCTAAACAAAGTCAACTTCTCTGTCATTGTGGTCCTCCTCTTACGGAAATCCCGCGAGTTTTCGCCAGGAATCACCAAAAAACAAAAATAGAAGCAACGAAGTGCAGCAGGCCTCTCGCTGGTTGTTCCACTTTCACGGTGATAACCGTTGTATTTGACAGTAAACAACAGAAACAACTGAGATAATCAGCCCTTATCTTGTTGCTCTCTTAGCGGACATGGGGTGTCCTCTGCGACTTTCTCAAGTGGTGATGATGACGGTGGTGATGATGATGGCCTGTTTTAACTATAATGAGGACTTTTTTCTTCTAAATTACTTAGTACGCCCTGCGCCTACTAAGAGACGGGAATAACCGTATTGGGACAGGTGCATATGTTTATAGGTAGGCATATACTCACGCATCTATATATAGGGACATATCACTGTGCAGGCATCCGTATGGTAATGAATAATTAGGTGGATTAAACTATATATATATATATATAACGGGGCTTAACGTTTCTTGAAGAACCCATCTATGGCACCTTTTCCCACTGTGACTTTCTTCTTAGTGACAGATTTCTTAGTAATTGATGGTTTTTTAATCTTATTACCAGTCTTTTTGACAGCTGATCCATTAGATAATCCGACTTGCATGGCACTCTGAGCTAATAATTTACGTTCCTGTTCACTGACTGCGGTCGAATCTCTGTATTTTTCTACCTTAGTGAAACATTTTTTGACACTTAATTTATCATCATCAATGGTTAGTACAACAATGGTATCCTCTTGTGTCAATGCTTCGTAGATTCGTCGAGGTAATAAAGATATTAATAACTGACAACACCTGACAATTTTCATGCTTTTTTGTATATCGGTTGGCCATTGACTTGGAATTGGGATTGATTCAGGGAATGATGAATACATCTTACAAATCTTTTCCGTAATTAAATACCTTACGATCGATATTAATGTGGTCTTATAATACAATTCATCACATTCCGTAATTTGTTCACTTATTAAACAAAGTTTGTTCTCTATAATAGACATCGGTATGTGATTCCATTCGGAACTATCTTGCTCTATTAACATATCTCTATAGTCTCTGATCGTCAAGAATCGATCACTCTCATTGTTACTTTGTGAAGAAGAAGAAGGTGAAGCGGTTGTCAAATAATCTTTTTCCTTCGATGTCATGGGATCGTTCTGGGCTTTACAATATGCTGCAATCAAACTATACGTAATATCATACACTAATAACAATTTCAACGTATCCCTAGAGAGTATCAAACCATCCTCACGTGAGTTAGAATTAATGACAAAGACAGATCTTGCAGAGGTTACTTCTTGTGAAGAAGTGTCTCTTGCAGTCACAATACGACGTGGACCAGTATGATTTGCATCTACAAGGTATTTACTACGGAATGTATATTGATCAAAATGATAGATCTTGTCCTCGTGTATCAATAACTCGAGAGATGGTTTTCCGGAGGTAAGTGATGGATGACACAATGAAAGTGTAGTCGTTGTCGGCGTTGTAGGGTTCACATCCTTAGGTAATAGTAGTATCTGCTGGAAATCTTCCTTACTAGTCATTTTTTAGGTATTTGTGTGAAGTGCAATTGATGTACGTTATTGAATTTTTTTATCAATATATATATATTACAAAATAAATGACAGGATCAAGAGTATATTTCTATTTACTCTGCTCTATATACTGATTGAAACTTTTGGCGTTTCTCATCGGGTACTTAAGATACTAAAACGCGTCTTAGACTTCTTCTTTTTCGCACGGTGAAATTTTCAATTTTTTAATTTTCTCTTTTTGTATGTATGTACATTGGCAAAGACAGTTATATAATAATGATGATGATAATAATAATAATAATAATGATGATTATTTTTTCAACCAAAGTATATTTTATTTATTTGCTTAGATAAAGACTGCATATTATCACTCATCACAGAGTGTGTGTGCATTATTTGTAATATCCATGTTCTTTCATATATTGTAATACTACAGAACGGTCCCTTTCTACCCATTGAGCCTTAGATTTAATAGTATCCAATGATTGTGCTAACCCTTGATCGAATCCCTTAGTTGATTTATTTTCATAGAATTGTTTAATTTCTTCGATCTTATCTAAGGATGTAAACCCAGATGTAGAGATTGACACGATGGATCCTAGCATTGATAGACCAGGTGGTAATTTGGTAGTCAATTGATCCCAATTATCTTGAGTCCATCCCCATAATGCATTGATACCATTGATATGGGCTCTCAAACCTTGCATTGGAATATGAATATCTTGATTCAATATAGTTCCTTTATCATCCATCAAATAGCTTAATGTTCTTTTAATCAATTCAGAATCTTCAAATCTACCTAAAGTTCTCAATGCAGCTAATTTTTCATCAGATGATACAGGATTTAAATATAATTGATAGATCTTTTCGTAATTTTCTTTACCACCAATTCTTGCAATAACATTAAATACAATTGGTTTAATTAAAGCGGGGATGGCAGTTTTGTCACCTTCAACATATTTATTAAACATATCAGTAGCAATTTTCTCCATTTGAGAATCTCTAGCAGCACATGCAGCACCAAATAGTGAAACTTTTAATCTTTGAATAGCAAAAGAATCGGTTGGTTCAATTTCCCATCCTAATTCATTCAATTTAGTCTTAACAAGATCATTAGTGAAATTGTTTAATGCAACTTGAACGTCTTTTGGTTCAAAAATCCATGTAGATTTTAATGAAGAGATACTATTCAAAATTTGTTCCCAAACGACAAATGAGGATTCATTTTTCCAATTAGATATCAAATTGAAAAAATTGGTTGTTGAAGAATAACCAGAGGCAGCAAGAGCCTTGGCATCAGCAACAAGACCTGTACGATCTTCAACTGACAATAAACTGGCTTGTTTACCTAATTTCATCCATCTTTCATCACTATATGATGTAATATAAATACCAGATTGATCACCATTGACTTTCAAGAAATCATTTTCCTTAAGTTCTATTGTCTTTGATCTTTCATTTAACACGATCTCATTGTCGACCCCGTTGGAAGTCTTCAAGGCTAAGAATACTGGGTACAAAGTTTCATCTTCTATTGGTTTGACATCACCAGTTGATAAATAACGGTTTTGTTTGAATGTAATCTTATTACCATTTTCTTCCACAGAAATTATTGGAAAACCAACTTGTTTAGTCCAGACATTCATTACTGAACGAACATCTTTACCAGATGCATCAGATAATGAATTCCATAAATCTTCAGTTTTTGCATTACCATATTTAAATTTTTGTAAATATTGAGAGACACCCTTAATAAATACATCTTCACCTAACCATTTTGAAATCATTCTTAATAATGAAGCACCTTTAGAATAAGAAATTGCATCAAAGATTTGACTGATTTCATCAGCTCTCTTAACAGGAATTTCTATTGGATGTGATGACCTTAGAGAATCTAAAGCTAATGCACCTTGTAATGTATCAGTAACGTATTGTTCCCAAACTTTCCATTCAGGTTGGAATTCATTACAAGAATACCATGACATCCAAGTAGCAAACCCTTCATTTAACCATAAACCTTCCCACCAATCCATTGTCACTAAATTACCAAACCACTGGTGAGCTAATTCATGTTGAACAACCTCAGCAACACGTTGAACTCTGCCTAATGTAGAATGTTCTTTATCTAATAACAAATCAACCACTCTATAAGTGACTAACCCCCAATTTTCCATTGCACCAGCAGAGAATTCATGAATGGCAACGTTATCCATTTTTGGTAAAGGGTATTTAATACCAAATGATGTTTCAAAAAATGCTAAAGTCTTTGCAGTTAAATCGGCAGCAAATTGACCATTTTTTTCATTACCTGGTGTAGCATAAACTCTAATTGGAATACGGAAATCATTATTTTCAACATATTTCAATTCTGCTACAATAAAGGCAACAAGATAAGTTGACATCTTAGGACTAGTATTGAAATGAGTAATCTTCTTACCATCGGTAATTAATTCATCTTTAACGTCCATATTAGATAAATGAGTCAAATGAGGTTTAGAAACTAATGTAATATCGAAAGTTGCCTTTAAGTTTGGTTCATCAAAACATGGGAATGCTCTTCTTGCATCAGTAGGTTCCATTTGAGTAGTAGCCATATATTTGGTTTCACCAGTTAATTTATCTTCATATTTGGCTCTATAGAACCCAGCCATATTATCATTCAAAGTACCAGTAAATTTAATCTCCAGGACAGCATTCTCTTTAGTGGCGAAAGTTCCTTTAGGAAACCCAAACACAGAAATCTGAGCATCGTTGTTAACATTAAAAGAAGTAGCCTCAATACCATCAACATTAGCGGAGTGGATATCGATGTCTAAACTATTTAGATTCACAGTGTCAATATTTTTCTCGTTGACTTTTAAATCAATCTTTACAATACCTTCGAATTTAAAGGTTTCGAAATTTGGTTCAATCTGAAGATGGTAATGCAACGGAGAGACATTGGTTGGTAATATTTCACGGTTCACGGTAGTACTGGACATAGTGTGTAGGTGTTTAGTAAACGGTACACGATTAGTTGTTAGTAAATTAGGAGTTTAATTGAAAAAAATTGACGACTTTCCCACCTAATTTTCCAAAAGAGTTAAATAAAACAAAATAGGCACAATTCCTCTATTGTAAATGTATTCTCTAAGACAGTAATATACTATTATCGGATGTTTAAACTCAATCAAATATCAATAAACTGTTACAATTGCTGTTGTCTTTCTTCTTTAAAAAAAAAAATTTAACACAAAACTCCCCTTATTCATTTTCTCCTTTTTTTGAGGGTGTCTTTAGCCTCCTGTTTGTGTATATTTAATATATACAACAATAGGATAACAAATAGTAAAAATTGGTGAACCTAGTGTGTAAAAAACTGTTTAGTAACTGTATCATTAATTTAAGAGGATTATTCTGTCATAACATAGTAATTGGTACTGTTACTTCATTTTGGTATATTCAGTCAGGAAAATATTATAAATTTTAACAAAAAAAAAAACATACAATACACCAGATAAAAAGGGTACTGATAACAAAGAGGCAAGTTTCATGCTTTCCTGCTTTGTGTTAATATATATATATGGAACCCTATCGGAGTATATTTTGTTTGTATCTTTGTTAACCTTTGAATAATGTTGAGGGTTTTACAATAATAATTATACATACTTTTCAATTAGTTGCTTCGCGACTTTCTCACATTTAGCACATGAATGTGTCGTTTCCGTAAATAAAGATCTTGTTAATGCAATTTTAAACAAACTATTTTTAAATGGGGAAACAGCTTTTTCAGTGATCGCAATGTTGCTATTTGAAATATTCGATATCCTTCTTCTTGGATATTGCAACTGTAGAGATGTAGGACATTTGATAAACGATCCAATTAGGGGTGTTCTTCTAGTCGCTACTCTTGCGCTAGAAGATACTGATCTCAAAAGGGACATCTTAAACAGTAATCTTTAGAAGTCTCTAGAAGTATTTACAAATGAGATCTAGATCTTAGTAGTCTGAAGAGAGTCTTCCGTTCGTATATCGTTCTTAAGAAGTCAGTTAAATGAGGTGTAACTTTTAAAGTACTAAATCGGCTTCTCGGTGAATTTTTCAATATTTTTAATACTTTTCCAATAACAAACTAAAACTTATTTCAATTTTTTTTTAAAAATAGTCTGTGATGATTCGTTCAAAAAATAAGAGATATTAGTATATATATATTCTGTGTTCTTAGTTTTATCTTTGTGCTTTTTTGGAAAAGCAGAAATTCCTAAACAGTATGTCGATATGATGACTTTTGAAGCAAACTCTGAACAAGATCATGTTACAAATACTATAATTGTGACGTCGGGATCTCAACTTGATGTGACTGATTCGAAGCATGTAAATGTTTTGAATGAATGGTTAGCTCTTACGGTGTTGCAACAATATACGATTACAAATGATAATCCTTTACAACTAATTATATTGAAAAATTTTAAGAGGATACTATTAATATCATCCAATCATGAAATATCAAAAAGTATAATGGATATAAGTCGAGATCCAATGGTTTCAATGTTTAAATTTAGTTATTCTTTAGCCGATACGTCTAACAGTCTCAGCAAACAATATCTAGAGTTACCTAAAGGAGAAAGATTGTTCTTGATATCGCCCCCAACATCACCACCTCCTGGGTTTGATTATTCGAAATGTGAGGAAGTACCTAATAGGGATTCTGTGTCGAGATCACATTTGAACGACCAACCTCATCTGTATGAGATCATCAATAACAATGGTAATGATCAACAACCAAGAGAGATAACTTTGTTAGATTGTAATACAGGTAAAATTGTCGTTAATACTTGTAAAAATATAGATGATGCAGAAGTTGGGATTCAACTGATACCTACAGCCATGCCACCAAAGTCTATATTCGATGACGATGAAGATCTTTTGACAGATGTTGATGACGATTAGATTTATATAGCTAATTAAACGTATATGTATATAGCAAAGAAATACTACAAAAAGTTTAATGACTGGATGTTCGGTTTCTTCATAGGTCATATAAAGAATGCTTGTTTTAACAGTATTCAACGTGCTTCATAACATTAAATACTTTAAAGGACAAAAGTGTCCTTGTCTTTAGTTTGTAGATAATACCCTTTTTCCTAGGAATAGTTGTATAGAACTTGTGGTCAATATTGAGTTCGCGAAAATCGTTAAAAGAATAAATGAATTAAATCGCAAGTGTTTCCCCATCTACGACCCTTTTTAATGTGGAAATTCTAATACACTTATTAATATCAAAACAATGATAGCGGTTTACTCATTAAGATCGTGTAACATTGTGTTAATCATGAAACCAGTTTTTCTGGAGTAATATATTAGAAGGATAAAAAACTAGAAGGCTGCATTCTGTTTCATGTGGGCGGTTGAAATCGAAACTTAATTTTAAAATACTCGATGAACTAAACCAAGTAAAGAGAAGATGTTAGAGGACGGTAGCAAGATTCTTTGAATTACATCCTATATTTCATGGCTTAACACTGTAAAGAATATCGATAGCGTTCCACACTTTAACTTATTGCAAATGCCAATATGAACCATAGTTACTTTTGAAATTATTTGCACCTCCTTCCTCCATATAGAAGAAAGATTTGGTACAGGTTTCTCTCTAAAAGGTTATCTTCACATATCAGGAGCCTTTATTAATCTGTTTAAGACATTTCGTCTTACTTATGGCTGATCTAGCTATTCATCATATCAATTCGAATATATTTCTATTAGCCCCCAATGACCAAATATTCTCCCCACAAATAAAAGATAATGTTTAGATGATCAAAATCAAATGTATTATTTTAATTTCATCTTAATAAGCTGGCCAATATGAGGTATTCCGTGAAGTTTGTCGGAAAGTGAATTTTCCTTGATTTGGGTGTCAGATATGGATGTTTCTATTAAGATCAAATACTACTTGCCTACGTTTGCTTTAAATAACATATGATAAGTATATTCAGAATAATTCGTACCAACAATCGAGATAAATGGTTATTTGTGGGTTATTTGTTCGAGTAATATAAGTGTACGTGAAACATGTCGTTTCTATAATCGTACGCAATTACTTCTTTGTTTAAAGGGATTAAATAGCTATCAATCCTTTGATATAATCTTCCATAAATTGTTTCACGGAACATCCATCTTATGATCTATATTTAATATTTCATAGTGGTTCCTTTTTTTGATATACTTTTATCATTATTGAACTTCCTTCATTAAGCTTCGAAGACTTGACATAATATCTGAATGATATTTGATATACAGGTCAATAATCTTCTCACATATTTATGTGTGTGAGTATGACAAATGACGTATCCTTTGATTAACATTAAGACAAACTATTGCAATATGATTCATGGTTATTGTTTCTCTAAGTATATCTCAGAATAATAGACTAGAGTAATCATGAATATTGTAGCAATATATTATCGACTCATGTTTTTAATAATTTGTATTCGTGATCTATGTTGTGAATAAATGAATTACCAAAAGTGTGTTTTTCTCATTTAACTAGTCTACATGTTTAAAATTTTTAATTCAACTTCTTCGTTGTCTTTGAAGTAGGACAACATTAGTCAAAGAATCTTTCCAAAAAACCCACCATTTGATAGGGGTAGAGTTAAGTTTTATTTCACTATGGTAATTTAATTGAATGGGTTATCATACTGTTATTGGGGTACCTTGGATTAAATGCGATTGAGGACAGGTACACCATGTTCGAGACTTTTATACAACTGATTGTTTTTTAAATGGTAACTTTGTGTGAAAAAAAAAAATGCTGAAATTTAATCAATATTCACTTTAACTTCGAATTGATTCAGTCCAAATTTTCACAACTACTACCAATTAATTACTTATTTGAAATAATCTCTAATATAACTTTAAAGTATTTGTCTTCTTTAGTTTATATTTGAAATTCAAGTAAGAACGGTTCCATATCATTTTTTTTTTCGTTATTTAATAAAATATTCTCTTCTATTATAAACTTCAGATACAACAAGAAAGTTATTACCTTTGAAACAAGAAAGGTATGTTTCAAGAAATTAAGAGAAAGCAAACAATTGAGATTAACTGTTGTAAATTGTGGTTAATTGATGATTGTAGGTGAACCCTTTGCACCATTCTAAAATAAATTTTTAATAAATTTCAGTTTTCTTTAAAAATTACTTATCGAATTACATCATTCGAATAGAAAAATGTAAATTAAAATTCGCTGGTTATTCGTTATGGTGGTTCTTGTGGGGTACATTCTTTACTTAATTTACCTTTTATTCCTTTTTGCTATTCTTTTTGTCAATTTGTCGTTGAAAAAATTCAACTGAAGTAAAAGAGGAATAAATTATAATAACAACCGTATTTCAAGTATTTTGTTATACGTAATAGAGCGGTATAACATCGAATGGCTTAACAATTTCATCTTATTTTACTTGAGATTACAAAGAATGGTTTTAGTCCAACCAAGATGAATTTACGTCATTTTACGTAAAAATACATCAAATATAATATGTTTTACAATCCAACCAGAGTTTCGAGAAAATGTGTGTTAGATATGGAGGAACTAGAGAGAAATACAGTGCATAGTCAATACTCATTTATTTATTGATAAGGTGTAGCTTCATTGTCTACTTCGATAAAAAAATGTCTTATCTAAAATACGAGTTTCATAATTTATTACCAATGATAAAATAAAATAAAAAAAAAAGCACAAGAACATATTAATAAATATTGTAAATTGAAATGAGAATCTATTATTAACCCAAAATAATCATAGTATCTATTAACGACATATTAATCCAGGTATATGCTGTATACTTTATGCACTAAATAGGACAAGTAATTAAACCAACGTTTTAGCGGGTCATATTTACCATAAATGGGATCTGCTTGGCAAACTTATTCTCAAGAAAATATATGAAATCTCATCCACAAGAAGGATTGTCTCTCTAATTTAGCATGTCAATTACTGACTTAGGACATGATTAAAGTTCTCTGCTCTCTGACTGCACTCCCTTCTTCAGCATATTTGACATATATATCTCTCTGTCTCTCTTTCATTTCCCACAGTTAGCAGTTTTTATTCTTTTTCATTTTTTTCAGCTGGCTTTCTACGGCTGTTTCTCTGAAAATTATCGGGATGGCTCTCTCTCTCTCTTTTATTTTAAGCTTTTTGTTGCGCTAAAAATAGATCTCCAGAAAATTAAATAAGCAAAAAATCAATTTTGAGAGGGAAACCAATAACAACCAAGAAGGAAGACTAACACCAATTTAAAGAAAATTACGTGAAAAGAACCAGCCTGACGATTATTGCTATAATTAAAAACGGATTTATGATTATTTTTGTTTACTTTTCCTTTAGTAAGGTGTGATGGTTAATTGATAGATGATATTAATGAAATATTAAAATCTATTTCGAAAGAACGAGTGTTTTTTCAGAACTCTTATTTAAGAAAATGGGCAATTGAGTCGAGTCTCTCGTTACAATTGATGGGTTTCGCTAACCTAAATGTGTGCTTCACTTACAACCCTTGTATCTTCTTCTTATTATTATTATTATTGGTAGTAATATAATTATTATTCTCAATCTCTTTTTTTGCTAGAAAAAAGACAAATAAGAGCCTTGCATTCCTTTTTAACAATTGTCCCTAATAAGAGGAAATAATTGTAACATTTCAATAAAAGAAACATCAGAAAAATAAAAAGAAATCATTGAAATATACTTGTATATTTGATTCAGTCTCTAATGAGTCCATTGCCAAATAACAGTACTTCTAAAAATGTTGGAAGAACTGTATATAGGGTATTAAATCAAGATTTTATTGTGGAGACAGGGTTTCGACCGAAAAGGTTAATTGCTAATGGATCCTATGGGATTATATGTTCTGCAGAATATCTTAATTCTACTGGGGTCGCTACAGTAGCCATTAAAAAAGTGACAAAAGTCTTTGAATCGACATTAATGACTAAAAGAGTACTTAGAGAAATTGTACTACTTAGTCATCTTAGAGGTCATCCTAATATTGTGAGTTTGTACGACTTAGATCTTGTCTACAATCCCAATGGTCAAATCAATGGTTTATATATTTATGAAGAACTTATGGATTCCGATCTTAACCAAATAATTAAATCAGGTCAACAATTAACAGATGCACATTATCAAAATTTCGTATATCAAATTCTTTGTGGACTCAAATATATTCATTCAGCTGGGGTATTACATAGGGATTTAAAACCTAATAATATATTGGTTAATGCAGATTGTCATTTAAAAATATGTGATTTTGGTTTATCGAGAGGTTATTCCGATGATTGGACAGAAAATAATCATTTCACAACAGAATTTGTAGCAGCTAGATGGTATAGAGCTCCTGAACTTATGTTAAATTATCATGGTTATACCAAAGCAATTGATGTATGGTCCGTTGGATGTATATTTGCAGAATTATTGGGGCGTGTACCATTATTTCAAGGAAATGATTATGTGAATCAATTAAATAGAATATTACAAGTTCTGGGGACACCATCCGAACAAACATTAAACCAAATACGATCAAGGAACGTTAGGGCATATATTCGACAACTAGGAACCACAAGAGGTTTACAATTTGAAAAATTATTCCCATCAGCAACACATACAGCGCTTGATTTACTTACTCGAATGTTACAATATAGTCCCGAAACACGAATAACTGTACAACAAGCTTTGAATCATCCATATTTACAAATATGGCATGATCCTAATGATGAACCTATATGTATGGAAAAAGTTAGTTTTGAATTTGAAAAATATAACCAAACAGAGACATTGACACAAGTTGTTGAAGAACGAATAAATGAATTCAGATATATTGTTAGGTATATATTGAAGGACTCTATTAAGTAAAGAGATTACAGACTGGAGCCATCGATCTAACATTCTTCAAATTATGTGTTTGTTTATTCTTTAGCATTTTTTTAATTTTTCAAGATGAGGTATAATTAATGATTTATTGTATCTCATATAGGGCAATTTGTAACTCAAGAATTCTCTTTATTTGTGTGGTAATTCTTCCCAGCATATATATATATATATATATAATAACTTTAGTAATAATTAATAATACTTTTTAAAAGTTTGTAAATACTGTAGAACAAAATGAGTGAATCATTGTTTATTCCGTTCTTCTGTGTGTAATGTGAGTCAACCTTTCTATTGTTTGTTTCATATATTTATGTGACTTCGCACACCCAAACACCCTAAAAAATCCTTGCACCCTCTCATTTGTTGTTATTGTTTTTTCTGAAACTGAAAACTTTTTTGAAAATTTTTCGTTTTGAAAATTTCTTGCCGTAATTTACATCTTTTTCCGCTTGCTGTTCTTTTCCAACCCAATTGAAGTCCACACACAGCAAGTGAAACATTGAGACCAAAATTCAATCCTTCTGGGTGTCTCTTAGTATTCACACGCAAAGTTTGAAGCCTAAGGAAGAAGAGGAAAGCAAGAGATTAACATCGAAATAAGCAATAATTAAAACACATAAGAAGACTTGTCGTTAATTTTTTACTAGTTAAAAGTTGTTATTTAAATATATCACCCAAACAAGAGCATAGATATACAAAGATGGTATGTTGAACTAATGATAAAATACGCTATGGATAGAATTTTAATATAATTAGAATGATAATGTGATGAATACGATGAAATGTGGTAAATTTTGTTAAGAAAGGGAAGAGTTAATGCTAATTAATTATAACATTTGATTAAATGAAAACGATACTATTGTAGACAAGACTTATTATTACCAGATAGAGTGACGATATAAATATTTATTTATACTATAGAGTGAACCACATTGCAAAGATACTTTTTTTAATGTAATAACAGGAATTGTTAATGTATAAATGGTGGAATATCGAACGTATTTATAGAGAAAATAGCTTCGTTATTGGTATTTATTCCTTATCGTATTGATATAATGAGAAATAATATATGGAGAAAAAAACTTCAAAAATAATTGTTGATATATTCCACTATTATGAACTTACATATGGTTTTGATTATTACAAGAATTGTTTTGACTTTGTTGAGATGAGATGACTAGTTCCGATTTGCACAGCTATACAGTCAGTATTGGTTCTATCGATAGCGAGAATTAAACAAAAAATTCAGTTCTCAAGTTTCATGATTTACTAACAAATTAAATTTAAATTATTTTTTTAAATAATAATTTATTATTTCCATTTTATTACAGGTTTTAGTTCAAGATTTATTGCACCCAACTGCCGCTTCTGAAGCCAGAAAGCACAAGTTAAAGACTCTGGTCCAATCTCCAAGATCTTACTTCCTAGACGTTAAGTGCCCAGGTTGTCTAAACATTACCACTGTTTTCTCCCACGCACAAACTGCTGTCACTTGTGAATCCTGTGCTACCGTTCTATGTACTCCAACCGGTGGTAAGGCTAAGCTATCTGAAGGTACTTCTTTCAGAAGAAAGTAAATCATATTTATATGAAAAATCATCTATATATATTTTTTTGATTCATTTAAATATAAAAAAATATTAAAATAAACTGTATATGTTACTCATTTTATATATTATGGTAATAAAATTAATAAGTTACAAAAGAACAAATTGTTATTCTCTATTTATATTTTTTTCGTGTTAGTTCACCTACATATTATTTGTTTTATTGATTAGAAACTCCGACATTATCGATTTAGACTAATATTGTTACAGTTTTATATATATATACATGTATTATTCTATTGATTCTATATAATCCAAAACGATAGTAGGATCACATTTTTGTTTATGCAGATGTTATGTACAGGAATGCAGTGTCTTTTAACGGAGGAGGAAGGCAGTGAAATAGTCACAATGCAGAATAAATATAGAAATGTCCTTTATTAGGATATTCTCATAATTGATCTTTTGGTATCTTAATTTTAGATTTATAATAGTGAGCGTATACTTCGGAAATTTCTTTAATGCCCTCCTGTGTCATTGCCTCCATATTTTCTTGGTCTGTCAACTCATTAAATTTTTCAGACATCTCCCTCTCCTTTTCTTTCCTTTCTTGTTTTAATTTCTTAATTCTTTTCTTTTCCAATTTTTTAAACAGATCGATGTTGATCTTGGCTAAACTTGGTAATTTTGTTTTTGCATCAAGACCCCAAAGATCACCTTTATAAGCCTTTTTCGCATCATGATATATTTCCTTTGAAAATGATTTTGGGATGATCCATTTTTCAATCTTACCAGAAGTCCCACAGACATCAAGGATAATATGACCCTTCTTCTTTGCTGGATGGTTAATGATTCTAGGCCAAGTATTTGGTGTATTATCACCTAGACATCCAACTTGGTATTTCTTGTTTTCTTCTGTTCGATCTTTATTTCTCATTTCATTTATCTTACATATTGTCTCTTTGTCGTTAAATGATCTTTTGGCAACCAGATATGAATAATGAACCAATTCATAATCATTACCGTTTCTTCTACCAGATCCAGCTAATTTCATATTTTGTCTTTTATTTACTAATTCTGGATCTCCTTCGTCCCATTTATTAGCTAACAATTTACCTTTCTTCAATTCTAAACTAAATTTTGGTCTCTTTATAGCTTTTTCAAAAGAACAGAATTTTAATTTCTTACCTTCTTTTAATTCGAAAAAATTTGGATTATTGGTTTGTAAGGGACATACTCTATGATGTGGACATGGAGCTAATATTGTCAAATGATAATCGCAATCATCTTGCTTCTTTTGATTGCTATGCATTTCATCCGACTGTTCTTCTATTGGAGTAGGTTCTTTAATGGAGTTACCGGCAATCCAAGGTCTTGGTATTTTCCCATATTCATCGGGGTATCTTTCAGGACGAATCATAATTTGTCGAGCTCTGGCAACAGTTTCGAATCCTAGAGGTGTACCACGTTCGATGACTACTATATGGCCACCTGGAGCTAATAATTTGAGATACTTCTCTATATTGTGGTCTACCTCAATAGGGAATTTCCCTTCATGTTGTAAAAGTTGATGAGATATTATAATCAGATCATATTGTTTCCCCATAGGTATAAAGTTCTTCAATTTTGTTTGTATTTTGATCTTCTTAGTCATAACTTCACCCACAAGATCTTCACCTTCCGTTATATTATCTGCCGACTCATCTGATTCTATTTTTGTCTCTGTATTAGATGTTTGTTTTAGTTGTTCTTCTAATACATCATCTGGTATTTCATTGTATTGCCTACTTAAAATGATCTTAGCTCGTTTTTGCATTTCAGGGCCAGCTTCGATCACAGAGTCCTTATTGCACCTATAATCGGGCCCCATAACATCGTTAAACGCTACAATACCTGTCGCCGGACCCATACTAACGTCTAGAACGTTCTTTGGTTTAAAATTTTCCTTGTGAATGTTTTTTAAATCCATCAGTACCTGATATATTGAACCATAATCATGTAAAAAGAATGACGCAATGTGTGAGTCTATCTCTAATTCAGTCTTGGGTACTTGGTGAAGTTTTTTCTCCTGTAATGATAAGTACTGGTTTTTTGCCACTCTTCTCAAATTGTTAGGGAGATGCAAGGCGGTTATATTATTGTTAATGGCTTTAGCAACTTCCGAGTTTAATGTAAGCATCGGCCTGTAGGTTCTTCCTCTTAACGTTTCAGGTTGCAATCTTGCTTCTCTTGCACTCAGACCTTTTGAAGTACTGTTATCATTTTGTTCAAATACCCTTGATGAAGCTCTCAGGCTATATTTTCTTTGAACATTAATCACAGATCTAGTTCTAAAAATTAGCATCATCCTAGATGAAAGCATTTAAAAATCTAGTCTTCTCTTGTGGTGGTAATAATCTGAATCCACCCTAAAGTTCAAATTCGTCCACTCTTGGGGTAGCTGTCATAAAAATCCAGTTCGTCAATCATTAAGTTTTCATTATTATATACATAGTACCTTATCCTTTTGCATGACTTTTTAGTTAGCGCTTCTGATTTATTTTTTTGAGAGCAATTAGTGCCCTGTGTTTTTTTCCTGTTCGTTCTTCAAAATTAAAGTTGAAATTAATTAAAACGTAGCATTTTTAATCTATAAAAGACTTCGACTAGAAGACATCAACAATACAGTTCAAACTTTGATCACACAGCGACAACCAACCCCCATTATTACATTATATTATAATGATTGATCAAAATACAGGTGCTATAATAGTAGGGTGTCTTCTAATCCTATTGACCACGCTTGCATACTTCGTGTTGACCGCAAAGAAGAGCGCAACTACCAGTAAGACAAAAGAGCCTGCTGTATTCATTACAGGTCCATCAAAAAGTGGCAAAACAGCACTATTTACATTGGTATGTAAAGCAATTTTCATAAACGAACCGATCGTTGTCATATATCCTTTTCTCGGATTTTATTAATTTTTTTTTACTAACATTAAAAGTTCGAAATCTCTTTGATTCAATCGTGCAATTTATCAAAATAGCTAACCACTGGTGAAGTAAGAAATACTGTTACTTCTCAGGATACAAATATTAAAAAGAATTATGAATCCCGTGTTAACTTAATCGATTTCCCAGGTCATGTAAAGCTACATTATAAGCTGATGGATGCTTTGAGGGAAACAGAACATATTAAGGGTATATTATTCGTTGTGGATGCTACTATTGACCCTAAGAAATTAAGTGAAACTGCAGAATTCTTATTAGAAATATTGACTATAACTGAAGTCTCCAAGGAACCAATTGATATATTGATTGCTTGTAACAAATCAGAATCGTTCACCGCCAGACCTCCTGCAAAGATAGTGGAAGCATTGGAAAAAGAAGTAGGACTAACAATTGAAAGACATAACAAATCTTTAGGTGAAGTTAAAAAGAGAGCAGATTTCAATGTTGGTGGTGACGATGAAAGTGATGATGAAAATGCTGGTTTCCTTGAAAATTTCAATGGAAATACTAAATTTAAGTTTTCAATGTTAGAAGGTGAAGTAGAATATATGAAGGGTAGTGTAACAAAAAAGGATATTGGTAACTGGGAAGAATGGTTAGATGGTAAGGTATCTGCATAATTTAAATAGATATATATCGTTCGTGATAATAATAAATACAATATACAAGCATTAATAATTTCGTTTGTCAATCCCAGGAAGACAAAAGTCAACAATTCTGTTTTTCTATTTCTTTACAAATGTATATTAATTACAAAAGCGAAAAACCCTCAAAAACTTTCAAAATGGCTATTTTAAAAAAACAAAAAAGCCAACAACGCGTTTACCTTCTTCATCTTCTATGGAATCTAGAAAGTCACCGATCTCTCATTCTATTTGTTGGATACCTTATTATTTATACATAATGAAATGAAATGTTTCTTTGCATAAAATTGTGTTTTCCTGTTAAAATATTAATCCCAAAAACTTTTGTTTCAATTTTTCAATTATGATTTATATCTAAATTTTTAACATTTTTTTCAAGAAATATAGCTCGCATGGCGTAATGGCAACGCGTCTGACTTCTAATCAGAAGATTCTGGGTTCGACCCCCAGTGTGAGTGCTATCTTTCTTCTAAAAATCCGTGATAGTTTAATGGTCAGAATGGGCGCTTGTCGCGTGCCAGATCGGGGTTCAATTCCCCGTCGCGGAGATTAATTTTTTTTGCCTTCAGGTTTCGGTATATTTGTGCGATGTACCACTAGATAATTATAGATTAACTTCTCTTGAATACATTAATTTTTAAATGTATTAGCAAATAACAAAAAAAACACAGAAGAAACACCATCTAAATAAATTCATTAAAAGTTAGTCAAATAAACATTATTGACTAATGTATAAATTGTTTATATATGTATATAAATGGTTGCGTTGTAAAACTAATAAAGGTTTAATATAAGAAATAAATTAATAATGATTATTTTTTTAATCAAAATAAACAAATTGCTTATTTCTTACCTTGGTTAGCAACAGCAGCGGCACCGGCAGCAGCAGCTTCTGGGTCCAAGTAGTAAGATGGCTTAGATGGGACTAAGTTTTCATCTAGTTCGAAAACTAATGGAATACCAGTTGGGATGTTTAGCTTAGCAATGTCATCGTCAGAGATACCTTCTAGGTGCTTGACTAGACCTCTTAGAGAGTTACCGTGAGCAGCGATCATAACGGTCTTACCGTCTAATAGATCCTTAGCAATAACATCTTCCCAGTATGGTAGTAATCTGTCAATGACTAGAGATAGGGATTCAGTAGATGGAATAACCTTTGGATCCATGTCCTTGTATCTGGCATCACCCTTTTGAGAGAATTCAGAGTCATCAGCAATAGTTGGTGGTGGGACAGCGAAAGATCTTCTCCAGGTGGTGAATTTTTCTTCACCGTATTCAGCTAGAGTAGCAGCCTTGTCCTTACCTTGTAGAGCACCGTAATGTCTTTCGTTTAATCTCCAAGATCTGGTAACTGGAATCCATAATCTGTCAGCTTCGGATAGAGCGATGTTAGCAGTTTGGATAGCTCTGGATAGCTTGGAAGTGTAAAGAACATCTGGTAGAGTGTTACTTTCCTTTAGAAGTTGACCAGCTCTCTTAGCTTCCTTTTCACCGACGGCGGATAATCTAACATCAACCCAACCGGTAAATAGGTTCTTTTCGTTCCATTCGGATTGACCGTGTCTAACTAGAATTAACTTTGGCATTGCAATATATAATGATTTGTATTGGATGTACTGAGCTATGAAAAGTGAAAAAAAATTTTATAAAAACTAAAAATTATAAGAATGACAAGAGAGAAAAAGGCACATATAAGATGAATTTTTACTGAATTACTTAGTTTTTAAAAAAAAAATATGATTGAAGTTGTTTATATACTTTCAACTTAGATCGAAAATATGTGGTTTACAATTTTGAAAAAAAAAAATAGAATAAGTTGAGAAAATTTAACGAACATTGTGTGACGACGACAAAACCCAGCAAGCAATTGTAAGAGCTGCAAACTTTGAGATAATTTAGTTAAAAAATGACCTGCCTAGATTGTAGTTTGTTACCATATATTACTACTGATAGAGTAATAATATTACTATTATTCAATTGTGATGATGTACGTATATGTATAATAGAATTTACAAGAATCTCTTCTTCCCCCTACCAAATAATGTTACCGTACATATCTTAGAAGCAAATTCACAGCCAATTTCAGAGATAGAGACTGAAATTTTTGATCTGAGAATTTATTTAATAAATTGTGTATATGTAAGCTTTATTATTATGGTAGTAGTCGTCGTCGCTTGTGCGCTGATTGTCACAGAGAGCACTAACTTTCGGTAGGGAGCTTCCTCTGTTTTGTGTCTGAGCATTTCCTACTTGCCTCTTTTACTTAAAAATTTTCCAATTTTAAAGGTTCATACGTATAAGACAGAGAAGCTCGAGTGTTGTGTGTGATGTCTGGGTGTGGAAGCCGGGCATTTTGCTTGGTGACAGTAATGAAACCCACTCAAACAGAAAAGGCGAACCAGCCTCCCTAAACGGGAAAGGTTAGGCAAATAAGTTGTCGTGTGACATGATTAAGTTGTCTTTTGCGGGCACGTGACAGATGGGATTTTTTGCACTATAAAGGTAATAATTAGAACGTAATAGGTAACATCAAATATATATACAGCTTATATATTAAGAAACCTAAGCTGAATTGAGTTTAAATACTATTATTTTTACACCTCTTTCAATAATTATTAAATACGTTTATTTTATTTACGATTTTTTCGAGAGAAGCTTTAAGTTTCTTTCTTTTAGTATATCTAATCTAATATCTTAGAATAAACTAAACCGACACGATCATTTAAGTCCGAAGTTTGCATTGCACGTTTTTTTTCTTGAAATGCAAGTCTGGAACATTCACGAGTTATTGTAGTACCAACATAACAACTTAATAAGGCAAAATCAGTCCATGTTAAAGTTTCTTCTTCTTTATTATTGGTAGTATCATTTTGAGAGGATGGTGGCATAACATGGAAATCATACATAGAACGACTATATGATAACATACATGCTATAGTACCTGTTAAAGTATCACCTTGTCCACCAACTCTTTTATTACTTCCTTCTTGTTTATTAATTAAAATAAAATTATTTTGTGGAGAATAAATTCTATCTTCTCTACCCTTTTGAACAAGTATGCAATTTAATTCATTCGATATGAAATGACCCATTTGAAGATTATCTTTTAAGTTAGTACTATCAAAATTTAAATCTTTTGCAATTGCATCGCTTATTCTTTTAAATTCAATAATGTTTGGTGTTAATATAATTCGACCTTTCGGAAATTTTTTTAATAATTCACGAACTTCTTTATCTTGACTAATTAAAAATAAACCATCTGCATCAATTACAATAGGAATTTCACCATTTTTAGCAATTAAAATATATTGAATAATTTCTTTTATTGCTTGTAACATTGATTTATCACGACCAAGACCTGGTCCAATTACAATAGCATGAATTCTTTCAAGTAATCCTTTAATTTTTTCCATTTCACTTCTTTCACCATTATCTCTTAAATAAGGATGTACCATTAAATTTGGTGTGTAAGATTTAATAACAGCTGCAGCATTTTTTTCACAAATTACATGAGTTAAATCACATCCCATTAATGCAGTTGCATTTGCACTAAAATATGGTGCACCTGTATAATCTTCACAACCACCAATAATACATACTCTACCACCACTTTGGCCTTTATAAAATGTTGGTAATAAAGGTGGTATACATCTTTTTTTAGCTAATTGTATTAATTCTTTATGTGATAAACGTGAAAGTAGCATGTTTTGTTTTGGTGTTTTGGGTTCTTTGAATTCTTTCCTTAATATCGAGTGTTTTTAGGAACTAATTTATAGATGATAGATTTTATCAATGAAATGTTGACATAATATGAACATAAAATAATTATCTGTAATTGTTTTAAGATTATCTACATGTGATAGAAGGCAAATTATTATCTGTCAAAGTCATCCATCCCTTAAAAAGCAAAAAAAAAAAAGAAAAATTTCAAATAAGCGATCTAAAAAATTATATTAGCCAAAAGATGAGATGGACAATAAATAAACTAAGAATAGTTTATATAACTGACAAATAAAAAGAATTGCCAATTATGAAGGCGATACAATTACGAAGTTGTAATGATTGTTATTTAACTAAATAAATGCGTAGTTTCTAAGTCTTGAGAGCCTTTAAATAAACATTATTATTGTATTGTTACAAGTTGAAATTAGTTAAGATCAAAGTTTATCGATGTTTTAAAAGGATGATTCAGTATAGTTCTTTCTTTCTACACTACCATTTCCAAAAAAAACAATATTATTATTATTTATATTAATGATGGGAAGTTGCAATAAGAATTGACGCCAATAAGAAGCAAGGAAAGTTTTTAGCAAGAGAGGCAGCACAGTTGAACCTTACGTCTATATTATATAATTAAGTTTCAAACATCCATTTTAAGAAAAACGTAGACAAAACCATCATTTGCTAGTGATTATTGTGTTTATAAGAATTTAGTAATGAGAACTGTATTAATGAAGCGGCTTGTAAACTATTCATTAAAAATGGAGTTTGATTTCTCAATGAGAGACACAACTTCGTGGTTTGTATACAGAAACTTGCGCTTTCAACCAATCACGTTCACGAATAACAAACAACCTTAACGGAAATTAAAAGCGAGCAAACCATCGCTCCCCTAATTATTTATATTTTTGTCTTGTTTTTTCGTATCGCCAAGATTATCTTTTGCGTAGTAGAGAGAAATATACGTACAATCTTAGAAGGGGCGATGCTGAAAATACTATTATATAGTGTGTGTGTATATAGTATATCTATTTCGAATGTTCACAGTTTTGCTTTGTCGGTTCTCTGTCATTGGCACTCGTTCTGGTCGAGATTATTCTGTTAAAATTCTTTATAATTTCCTCCCACTTCCGATATATACACACACATACACACTCTCTCTCTCATCCCTCGTTGTATCGTTACGTAATTTATAACAATTTTTATTAAGGGTGACATATATATAAGCCTTAATTCATTCTTTTTTCAAATTTATATAAAACAAATAATAATTCCAGATCTTCGACTATACTTTTGTCTTCTTTTATTTTAAACAACCTATACTTAAACTATATTTTTGCTAAAGAATAATTTGCGAAAAGAAATATAAATTTTATATTTAAAGAAGAAGAAAAATGTTAGCTAGACTTACTAAACCACAATCAAAATTTGTTCCAATTGCACTAGGTGCAGCTGCTATTGCCGCAACAGCATTTTATTTGAATAGAAATAATTCAAATGTTATTAAAAATGATTCAAAAAAAGTATTTGTTGGTGATAATCAATGGATTGATTTACCAATTGAAAAAATTATTGATGAATCTCATGATACAAGAAAGTTTATCTTTAAATTACCAAATGATGATTCAATTAGTGGTTTAACTTTAGCATCTGCTGTATTAGCAAAATTTGTTACACCAAAGGGTTCAAATGTTATTAGACCTTATACACCAATTTCGGATTTAAATGATAAAGGATTTATTGAATTTGTTATTAAACATTATGATAATGGTAAAATGACATCTCATTTATTTTCTTTAAAACCAAAGGATACCGTTTCATTTAAAGGTCCAATTAAAAAATGGCAATGGATACCAAATTCTTTTGATTCAATTACTTTATTAGGTGCAGGTACTGGTATTACTCCATTATATCAATTAGCTCATCATATTACTCAAAATCCAAATGATAAGACTAAAATTAAATTATTATACGGTAATAAAACACCAAATGATATCTTATTAAAGAAAGAATTAGATAATTTACAATCTAAGTATCCCGAAAAATTTGAAGTTGTTTATTTTGTTGATAAAGCTGAAGGTAATTTTAAAGGTGAAACAGGTTTTATTACTAAAGATTATTTACAATCTCATATTAGTAAACCTACAGAAAAGACTCATGTCTTTGTTTGTGGTCCTCCTCCATTCATGAAGGTTAATTCAGGTGAAAAAGTTGGACCAACTGATCAAGGTGAATTGGTTGGTTCATTGAAGGATCTAGGTTTCACTAAAGAACAAGTATTCAAATTCTAAAACTATTTTCTCTTGTTTTGTGAGATTTTTTTTGCCCTTAAGGATCTTAACATCCATCTCCACTTTTTGTCTCTCTTTTTTGACTATTCTTATGGTAAAAATAAATAAAAAAGTTTCAAGTATGTATACAAATATATACATATATGCCAGTAAATAATCTTTATCAATATATATTCTATTAAATACACAATAATTTTTATTTAGTTTCAAAAAATCTCTTCTTAAATGTATCAGTCTGTAAGACTTCTTTCTTTTGAATCAGATCTTCGTACTTTTCAATTCTATAGTTTTCCATTTCATTATTATTATTATCGTCGTTTATCTCATCGTTTTTCTGTTTTTTCAATTGAGCCCAATTGAAATCCTGTAATTTCTTTGAATATAATATCTCTTTATGTTTTTCCAAGAATTGTAAATTACTAATGAATTCAGGATCATAATACATTGAATCGTTAATATATGATGGATGAGTTATATCTGCTTCCACTTCAATAATTTCTAACCATTGTCTTCTTGGCATACATTTATCTAACGCTAAAAACGATGTAATCTTAGATGATTTATTATCTTCTTTGTTTGATTCGGACTCTATATCTGAATCTGAATCCAAATTTAAATCAATTTCATCCATATTTTTGTTGTTGGACTCAGATTGTGGTGAACCAATTTCATTGTTAGGGTCATTATTCACTTCTGCTCTATATTTTACATGTAAATGAGCACTTAACCACCATTTAGGGCTCATTCTATTTAATAATTCACTATTAATGGGACTTCCCAATTCCTTATTGTTAATATCCTTCTTAAAAAAAGGTTTAACTTTCAATAGTTGTTCAATATCTCCATAGTAAACTACTTCATTTGGCCAATCATGACTTAACATAATATCTATACTGGTTTCTGAGTTATCTAACATAAATAATGGTAAAAGTTCTTTTTGTCTAACATGATAAAGAGATTTAATACCTCTTTGCCAACGTTGTGATTCTAATACATTCCATTCAAATCGTGGTTTATTAACATCCCATTCCTTCCATATTCCACTTAATGAACCAATACGTACCCCTTTGAACCAAATTACATTAGAGTATCCCATATAATATATATCTTTAGCCGCATATCCTCCATAAGGTAATAACATGAGATGTCTCATCGACTCATGATTACCACCAATGAAAATAGTTGGTACAGGCGCACTTATTTCATTATCATAATATTTATGAAAATCACCTAATTTCCTAAACTTGGGTGGAATACTAATAGAATCAAAATCGTCTGGTGATCTGATACTTTGAAAGTCTCCTAAGATAATAAGTAAATCAATTTTTTTGGTCGAATTCATTCGAGATACTGTTCTATATACACTATTTAACTCACCATGGCAACAACCTTGAACAGCAATTCGTAATTTAGTCATAATTGATTATAGTAGTTGCAATTTTTACTGCTTTTCCAATCGTCACCTATTTTGAAGCTTGCAGACGTAGGCATTGCACTTATAGTTATTTGGTTTATATTGTAAATTTTATTTCAATGCTTCGGAGAGAGCTATGTCTTCTCGGCCGAAAATCTTGTCCCTTTGTGCTGGAAATAAGGCTACAGTCTGTTCATAATTAATTATATACATAGGCTAACCGTTCAGGCAAGGAAAGTTAAGAAAGATATCTAAATGGATACCTTGATTTGAATTTATAGTGATATCGGAGTAGAATCAACTTGGCATTAATTTAGAACCATGAAAATTTGAAGAATTTTTTTTTTCATCGTCAAGACAGACGACCCTCTCTTAATTACATAAAGGAAAACATTAAATTATTATTTATTACTGGTAGAACCCCTCGCTTCTCTCCTGTTGAGCATTGATTATATTTTTATTTTCATTCATTTTTATTATACAGATATTATACAGATAATTCTTGATATATTTCGGAAAGAATTATTTAATATACAGATTATGTATTTCAAACCTCTATCTTTATATATCACGAATTTGGTGGCATAGTAGTTAACCTTCACATTCATCAGTTTCTTATTCTAGTATTGTCGTAAAAGCCTATTCAATTTTAATAATTGCGCGCAATATTCTATGTGTTATTTAATTAGTGTTAATATTTGTGTTCCTAATCATTAATTATTATACTCATGCGAATATCTTATACTATATACCCTTAGAATATTCAGCTCAGTAATTACTCTCTTTTATTTTAACATTAGATGAAAAAGTCAACATCTAAAAAATAGAATACGAATATCTGGTATGTCTAACAATTCTGTATCACAAGTTCACCACAGTTTTTGTATTAGAGAGACAGAAAGCTAAAACGTAATTTAATAATGATATATATTCACTCTGGTTTTTTCATCAGAGTATATAATCATCCACTCACTTTGCTCTATTGTAATAATGCACTGACATTTCTTAAGGTCTCATTTGTTTTCCAATTTAATCGTTATTGTATATTGGCTTAATTAATACTACCTTTCGTTTCCGAAATTATTTTCTGAATGTTATGAAGATGAAACATATTATAAATATTTTATAGAGATTACCATAAATTTTTTTTACAAAAGCATTATCATTAAAAAACTGCTTATAAGTCGTCAATAATTGCTAGAATATTTTCTAAAATCTTATTATTTCCCAAATTTCTTTATTTGCTTTAGCTAAAATTTATTTCTTCCAAGTGCAAGAGTTTGAACATTAAAGAGTAAAGGAATATGAACCGCTTAAGAAAAAAAAATTAATTATTAATGATCATAAAGTAGGTCTATCCGACTTGATATGAAATGAGAGTATTCTTGTTCAAATACTCTCATTAGTACCACAGCTATTACAATTTATTTGTTGATACCAGGAGATCTGTAAAATGCTTCCATTGAACCGTTGTTCTTTCGAATTTTGTTGGAAGTCTTCAGATTCTGCTACTTTAATAAATTCTTTAAAAGTGTTTGCTTTACGGTATTACAGGAGATGACGGTTAAATGGGTATTATAAGTTGAAACAATATTTTAATAAAAGCCTATTAAAATACTTGATCTGTTATTAATTGTGTAAAAGATATATAAAATTATCATAAACCTAATAACTAGGCACCTCGTATAGATTGTCAGTTTACATTGTCCATTAAAAAATATTTGACTAAATAACGTTGAGGCATCCTTGTACAAGATGTTAAATTTGACTTTATGGTATTTCGCACGATATTAGGTTCCATTGTAAATACTGTCATATTCATTTAAATGTTGAATTCAAGTACCAGGTGCTGTTCAACTGGATAAATGTTACCAATTAAAATTAAAACAACTCAATAAAGTGGATTTATTTTTGTTATTAAGCACATATTTTATATTGTAAAAAAGAATAACTGTTTTTCTGTGGGTTTCTTTCAGTTCGTTTTTATGGAGTAAGGCTTACTTCCTTATTTCCAATATGGTTATTCTTGCAACCACCAAAGGAAAAAAAATACAGAACCACTGACAAAAATACAATCTTTACAAATATTTTTTTCGAAGTCACTTCTTATTCTGCTTAATGATTTGAGTTCTTCTTTTATCGCACAATGAATCTGAAGTGTCGAAAGCCCTCCGCCATGCAGCTTACCTGTTTTTCAAGATCTAAAGGTTAAAGTATTGACTGGCAGTACTAAGGATTAGAAATATACAAAGATGAACAAAACTTTTCTCATTAACTTAGAGCTATTAGTCGCTGTTTCATACATATTTAGAACTTGTTCTACTTAGAATACATACATGTTTTCAACTGCTTTTTTACGTCATGTCTAATCCGTAAAAATGAACAATCCATGTCATTTTTCCTGCTAGGTAATTTATATGCACAAACTTGATTATTTCGTGCCATTTCAAATTCTGTACAGTTCTGACAATTAGCAACATATTTTTTAAAACTAGCGCGGGAATTTATATATTTTATTATTTGATAAATATGTTCGGTAAACGTATACAATATTTATTTTTAATTATAAAAATATATTTAATATAATTTTTAATAAAGTCATGTGAATAATTCGGGCTATTAGTTTTTTATGGATTGGGTATATTTACGTAGTTTTTTTTCCCCTTTGGATATGTCAAAGGCGCTTAACATGTGTATAGTATAACCTTGTGAAATACCAGGCGTATAAAGGTATTAATAATAGTGTCTCTGTATGGTGTTGGTTTTATTTAATACACTAAAACTTTTAAGATATGTAAGAGGAATAGCGCCAAAAATTATGCTTTTGTAAAATAAGTAATAAAAAGACTTCGAAGTGCAATTATGTTATTATTTTTGTGTTGTGTATTTGTAAATTGGGGGAGTAACTCGAAACCTATTTTCACTGGAACTCATTTTATAGTAACATATATATAAAATAGAGGTATTAATAGTCATGGTTAAACGGAGTAATATGTAGTATATATGGTTATCAAGAGTATTATACACAAGAACAACATCGCTCTGTTGTGCGAAAGAAGGGTATTTTTTTAAGAATTGGGGTCTTTTTGCTGAACCACCTGTAATTTAGAAACATCCGGTACCCTTCCACAGATTAAAGAATGGAACCTGCCAAATATTGGTAGTGAAGATCATTTTATGAAAGAGAGCTCAACGGGATATAAAAATCTTCGATTGATCGAAGTGCAATACTCCAAACGTAGTGTATGAAGATAGAAATCGGCCCATTTATACATGATATAGATAGACAAAAAAAACATAATTATTTGTTTAAGCTTTCTCTCTGACCTTGTAGAAAATAAATTGTTGCAATTCGAATGTCAATCATATACTAAAGCATCTAGAGAGAAAATGTTGCTTGTAAGTAAATTTTGTTTAGAGCGCACTATGTAATATATATATGGTACCTCACCCTGGCGTTTGGCGTTTGCGATATTATTTCCGATCATGGTTATATATTGAAAAGATGTAGTTTAACTCCAATTACTTTGTTTATCTCAACACATTCATATGATGTGTGATGTGTAGTATCATAGAAGAGAAAAATAGGAAAAATATTTAGGGCACAAAAGTCCTTTCGTTTAATTTATTGTTCTATTATAATGTTAATTTATTTGATTTTTTCTACCTATTGTAACCTCTTCATTTATTTATCTACTAATCCACTCGATGTTGGAATGTTAAGAAGGTTAAATACGCTGGCAAAGAAACCAGAAAATGCTATTACCGAAGCATTCTGATAACCGTAATTATGACGTCTTATTATACCAAAATATTGCTACAACGATATATAGATGTATATGTTAATATCATATTTTAATTTTCTTCCTTGGTTGTAAAGTTGTAATTTGTGGAGTGTTGACTGGTTCCTTCACCTTTAAATTTTTCGGCATGGTTCCTACAATCGATGTGAGTGACCTATTATATTTATAGCGTAAATAATCCACGATATTTACGTAAGATTCTAGTGCACCTTCTTCAGCATTATATTCCTCTCCAGTAATGTAATTCTTAATGTATCGATATTGTTTCTTTGAGTCTGTAATTATAGTATCAAATTCCGTTGGAATAACAGCTGTTGAAATAGCTGTATAACCAGATATACCTATAACAGATACAGTCTCACTTAATTTAAACTCTTGTCTCTCTTGTAATTCCATCCAAAATGTTTCTAAGTTTGTCTTCATAACTCTAGCTTCTTCGACAAGCTCATGTAAAAATCTAGATTTAGGATCATCTGAAAAGAGTGGTACACTGAAAATAGCTAATGAATTTGGTTTACCTCCAAAAATGTCACCTACAGTCCAATTAGAAAAATTATTTGGTTTGAAACATCTTTTTACAATAATAGATTCTTCACCGGGTATTCGTAGCTTCCCTTCACTATCTTTAGTGAAATCTTCACATAATAAATCGTCAATGATTGATAGCCACCACTTTAACAACCCCATACCACTTAAGGTGTGTTTATTTGGATTTTTCGATGATTCTGCAAATAAATATTGATCTGCAGGCCTTGTGAATAGACATAGTTTAGTTCTTATCTTATTAGCGAGTTTAAAAGAGAGATAGTGTTGATGAGATTGAAGCATTTTTTTCCTTACAGCTTGGGATTTTTCTTTCTGATGAGAACGATTTGATAAAATCTGTAAGGCATTCTCTAGACTAGTCTCTTTTGTAATAAAAATTTTTGAAAAAGATTGTTCATATTTCCTTTCAAGTGGTACAACTTGTTTCAAATAATGATTTGGATCAATTGAAAATAAATAATGAATAATCCCTTTTGTTATTTGTTTTGCGCTAAATTTAATGTCACTATAACCATTCGTATCTGCTTTGGATATAAATATTAACCTCTCAGCATCATCATAAGATGGATTCTTCTCATTCACAGTGTCATTATTATTGTTGTTGTTGTTCTTTAGTATAATATAAACGTGGATCTCAATACCATAAATAAATTTACTATTATTAGCCAATGCAAAAAAATGAGGAGTCTTTATTGTTACATCCTGTGATTTAGTATGGCAATTCTTCTTCGGTAAGGTTACAATTGGACGTACCTGTGTAGGTGTGTTTTGCAAATGCAAGATCTCAAACTTATGATCTTGTGGTAAATAACCCTGAAGTATCTTTTCGAGATTGCCTACCATTCTGCAAAAAATACTTTTGGATTGCAAAATAGAACAAGTATGGAATATTTAGACCTTTATCTATCGAATATAACAGAGTCTGTTAGTTGAAGCACTTAATAGTGTCGTTAAATCAAGAAATAACATGTCTTATTTCTTTTACGCGTCTTAATTGATTGATCATCGTTTATTATTTATTTAATGTTTGGCTCTGTTAGCGACAAATCTGTTTCTCTAAAATAGAATAACAGTAATTTTTCGGTAGTCAGCCCGAAAGGAGAGAACAAAAAAATAAATTAAAGATGAAGTTTAATTAAAAAGGATAAAAGCAAGGGTATTGAATGGCAAATAGACATAAACATAATATTTATTTTTGCTTCAAAAGACTGTAATCGGTTACATATTAGATCAAAATAGGCATATCTATATAGATTTCAACTAAGTTTCTTAATTAGGAATACCAATAACGATCTCTCTTTTTCATTATTTGGGACAAACCATTCTTATTCTTTTGTACCACCAAATAAATATAGAAGAGGAGACACAGCCACACACACACATACACACCCCTATTAATACAAAAAGCATATAACTGTGAAACCATCTCTAATCAATACACTATGGAACAAATAAATAAAGACAGTATGAAAGCTGATCAACAGAAAGACTTCAACATGGAAATCACAGTATCAGATCCCCAAAAACGTACTGGAGAAGGTGGTACATCCACAGCATATGTGAGTTATCAAATATCAACTAAAACAGATAACCCAGGATATCATGATGGGAAGTTCAACATGAATGATATTATTGTCGTACATAGAAGGTATAGCGATTTATTGTTGTTACATGATGTCTTAGCTAATGATTATCCTACTTGCATAATCCCTCCTTTACCGGATAAGAAAGTGTTTCAATATATAGCAGGTGATCGATTTAGCCAAAGATTTACTCAAAAGAGAAGTCATAGTTTACAAAATTTCCTTAGGAGAATTAGTTTACACCCTACTTTATCACAATCCAGCATTCTAAAGATGTTTTTAACTAGTAACGATTGGGATACATACAGAAGAAGTCTAATCGATAACTTACCTTCTAATAAAGAAGAAGTTACTGATGCATTCATGAATGCCTTTAAATCTGTTAATATCCAAAATGATGAGTTTATTGAAATAAAGGAAAGAAGTGATAAGCTTGATCACACAATTACTAAACTAGATAAAATATTTCATAAAGTTGTAAAAAAGAATGATTCGATATCTGAAGATTATGTTAAGCTTGGAACAGCTTTGCAAGAATTGAGTGAATTAGTTACGGGTGAAAATGATGAACTAGCGAAGAATTTAAAGATTTTCCAAGAAGGAATCATTCAATTATCATACTTAATTAATGATTTAAACAAATATCTAGATTACGACTATTTAGTGGATTTAAAAGATATGGAACATTACATCGAGAGTATGAGACAATTAATTAAATTAAAGGACCAAAAGCAAATTGACTATGAAGAACTGAATGAGTATCTGACTAAATCTATAAAGGAGAAGGACGACTTGATTGCAGGGTATGGTGGTAGTAATTTTTTCACAAATAAACTAGAAGAACTTGCAGGTATAAGCCAAGAGGCGTCACGTCGTGACAAGATAACGAAACTTGAAGAAAGGATTACATCTTTGGATGGAGAATTGGAGAATGCCAGAAAAATTGCAGATGGATTTGAACAAGAAACGTTAAAGGAGATTGCTCAATTTGAAAATGTTAAGGCTAAGGAATTGAAAGATACATTAGGTGAATTAGCTGATGAAAATATTAAATTTTACGAGAAAATGTTACAAACATGGACTAAAGTAGATGAAAGTTTAGTATAACTGATATCTATTTGTCAAAAAAACAAACAAAATAGAGAAATACAAATGACAAAGAATACCATGATTCATTATCATTTAATGTTGTTCTCAATTTATTATATAAGTTCTCTTTAAATACGTAAACATTGCATTCATAAATAGTCAATTTTAAAAGAAAAAAAAAATACAAAAAATATAGGAATTAATTAACTAAATCACATTAACAAGAGGTAAAATACTTTTGTACTACAAATAGATTACCGCAATCTAGTGAACCTCAAGGCTCTTTGTCTAGATATACATTTTCCAAATGAGTTTCTTTAAATTAATTTATTTATTATTTATATGCAATTTATTATATCAGGGGCTTTATTTAGTACTTTTAATACGTTTATGAATATTTATTTGAGCCTTTTGTCTAGTAATCTCCAACGTATCTACTATATCATCACATGAATCATCTATTAATTTCCAATCTATTCCATGATTAGAAATACCAGCAAGATCAGTATTTTCATCAAAATGTACTAAGTTTTCTAAGCCAAACTCTTGACCAAACAATGATCTATCAATATATGAAGACCAAATTATAGGAGGGAAAGTCTCTTTATCCAAGATTCTTTCCTTTTTCACTTTTGGTTTGGGTGCATGATCATTTTCTCTTACATAAAAATATCTTAATAACATTATTGCCTCCTTACGATATATTCCAGGTATAGCATCATAAGTTTTATTTTCATTTAATGATATTGTAGAATGATCTTTGTTTATCGTCAAAACAGTACCATTACCACCAAACCTTTCATTACCACAACCAAAATATACCCTTTTGATTCCCAATTGTTTCAAAGCCGATGCACACATTATACAAGGTTCAACAGTAACATATAATACAGTATCCTTAAATATTTCTACCAAATTCTCTGCACCGAATTTTTCTTGTATTTGATCTATTCCCATAAATTCTGCATGAGCAATACCTGTATGTGACTTATTTGTATCATTCATACCATATGCAATAATCTCATCTGTCGGTTCATATACAAATATACAAGCAACCGGTGTTTCGTTATGGTCTAGAGCATATTTAGCAAGCTTCACAGCTTGTCTCATGTGGGTCAAATGCCTCGATTCCATAGTTTATTTTCAATTAGGTTCTATAAAGGTTAACTAGTATCAAAAAGAGCAAACAAGAAACTTGATCTACCTTGTTTCCACTACGGACAAATTACTGCAAGACTGTATAAATACAACACATTAAAAAAAGGGTATAGTGATATACCTCTATTTTTATTACTATTTAAGATTAATAAAATTAGCCATACCTTAGAACAATATTGACTAATTTACGTAATGAGAAGAAGAAGAAACAAACATGCAAATATCCAAAGTCATCATTTGCGAAAAACTGGATTACCTAAAGTTTAAGTTAATTAGTTTCATTGCAAAATTGAAACTGAAAAAAATAACACGTAAAATTTCGATTACATTAACTGAAATATTCAGTTCAGTTGGCGTTGTTCAGAGCATTATTTATTCCTTCCAAGAAGAAACTATTCTTCTTCAATTTTTCGTGTCTTTTTCCACTTTAAAAGAAACACATTCCCTAAGAAACAAAGGAAGAGAATGAAGAAAAATTCAGTTTTTACAGCAAACGCGTGTTTGTATTTCTTTTTCAGAATGTTTTGTACGTCGTTTTCTCTGCCAACCATTAACATTATTATATAATACAATCGTCTTTTTTTGGAAAATTGAACAAGTTGACACCTGGCATCTTGGAATTGATAAAATTAATGAACGATTCGCCATCGCAACACAGAGAGACTCTAATAGTTTGTACACTCTGTTCTCAACTGGCATACTTCCTATGATAATTATAACACAACTGGACAACTGATCATTTTTTTTTTAATTTCTAAATTTTGCAACGAAGTATATATATATATATATATATAGAGTCTTTATTTCAGTATTGTTACTTTCATTAGTTTGTTCTTGTTTCACTTAAACTTTCTTCTCCTATTTAACGGTTTTTTCCCTTTTCGTATAAAACCATACAACTAAACATTTAAAAAGAAATACAAACATAACAAGATGTTTAACAAATCAGGTCCTGGTAAGTGGTTAGTCCCACTTTCAGTACTATTGTACACTCTATTTCTAGTGGTTTTACCATTCCAAAATGGTTCTAGATCATCTCACGTTCTAGCTAGAAGTGATGATGCTGAAAACTACGGTACCGTTATTGGTATCGATTTAGGTACTACTTATTCCTGTGTTGCCGTTATGAAAAATGGTAAGACTGAAATTTTGGCTAATGAACAAGGTAACAGAATTACTCCATCCTATGTTGCATTCACTGATGATGAAAGATTGATTGGTGATGCTGCTAAGAACCAAGTTGCCGCTAATCCTGAAAATACTATCTTTGACATCAAGAGATTGATCGGTCTAAAATATAACGACAAATCTGTTCAAAAGGACATCAAGCATTTACCATTCAATGTTATTAACAAAGGTGGTAAACCAGCCGTTCAAGTTACTGTTAAAGGTGAAGAAAAAGAATTCACTCCAGAAGAAATCTCTGGTATGATTCTAGGTAAGATGAAACAAATTGCTGAAGATTATTTAGGTAACAAGGTTACTCATGCCGTTGTTACTGTTCCAGCTTATTTCAATGATGCTCAAAGACAAGCCACTAAGGATGCTGGTACTATTGCTGGTCTTAACGTTCTAAGAATCGTTAACGAACCAACTGCTGCTGCCATTGCTTACGGTCTAGATAAATCTGAAAAGGAACATCAAATTATCGTTTACGATTTAGGTGGTGGTACTTTCGATGTCTCTTTATTATCTATTGAAAACGGTGTCTTTGAAGTTCAAGCTACATCTGGTGATACTCATTTAGGTGGTGAAGATTTCGATTACAAGATTGTTCGTCAATTGATTAAGACCTTTAAGAAGAAGCACGGTATTGATGTCTCTGACAACAACAAGGCTCTAGCTAAGTTAAAGAGAGAGGCCGAAAAGGCTAAGCGTGCTTTATCCAGTCAAATGTCTACCCGTATTGAAATTGATTCCTTCGTTGATGGTATTGATTTAAGTGAAACTTTAACTAGAGCTAAGTTCGAAGAATTAAACTTAGACTTATTCAAGAAGACTTTGAGACCTGTCGAAAAGGTTCTTGCTGACGCTGGCCTAGAAAAGAAGGAAATTGATGATATTGTCCTTGTTGGTGGTTCTACTAGAATTCCAAAGGTTCAACAATTATTGGAATCATACTTCAACGGTAAGAAGGCCTCTAAGGGTATTAACCCAGATGAAGCTGTCGCTTACGGTGCTGCTGTCCAAGCTGGTGTTCTATCTGGTGAAGAAGGTGTTGAAGACATTGTCTTATTAGATGTTAACGCTTTAACTCTTGGTATTGAAACTGCTGGTGGTGTCATGACCTCTTTGATTAAGAGAAACACTGCTATTCCAACTAAAAAGTCTCAAATCTTCTCTACTGCTGTTGACAACCAACCAACTGTTATGATCAAGGTTTACGAAGGTGAAAGAGCTATGTCTAAGGATAACAACTTACTAGGTAAGTTTGAATTAACTGGTCTTCCACCTGCTCCAAGAGGTGTCCCACAAATTGAAGTTACTTTCGCTCTAGATGCTAATGGTATCTTGAAGGTTTCTGCTACTGATAAGGGTACTGGTAAGTCTGAATCTATCACCATTACAAACGACAAGGGTAGATTATCTCAAGAAGAAATCGAAAGAATGGTTGAAGAAGCTGAACATTACGCCTCTGAAGATGCTGCTGTTAAGACTAAGATTGAAGCTAGAAATAAACTTGAAAACTATGCTCATTCCTTAAAGAATCAAGTTAACGCCGAACTAGGTGACAAACTAGAAGAAGAAGATAAGGAAACTCTACTAGATGCTGCCAATGACACTTTAGAATGGTTAGATGATAACTTTGAAAACGCCATTGCTGAAGACTTTGAAGAAAAGTTTGATGCTTTGTCCAAGATTGCCTACCCAATTACTTCTAAGCTATACGGTGCTGGTGAAGGTGCTGAAGGTGCCTATGCTGAAGACGATTTAGATGATGAGGATGATGATGGCGACTTCTTCGAACACGATGAATTGTAAGAAAACTCAATTTAATATTCAAATTCCCCCCAAAACTCCCATCCTTCCACGAAACATACAAATGAGGAAGATTACAAAAAACAAAAAATATAAAAAAATAACATAGCTACGTTATTTTTTCTTTTCAATCTTTTGACTTTGTAAAATTGCATAATGAACTTCAGTGCATAATTAACTCTGAACTTCATTGATGACGACAACTTTTAAGATGTTAATGTCACAGTTTAATATTTTTTTTAGCTTACATAGATAGATGTATAGATTTCTAATGGGATATGCACCATAAATAGATGTAAAAATATAAATTATAGCTTGAAAGAACGTTTAAAGAAAATTAAATATACTGAATGTATCGTAGTTTTACAATTTTAAATAGCCACCACTGGTTATTGCGCTATTCTTGTTTAAAGGAATTCCTCTCTTATTTTCTCGCTCTAAATTGAAAATTTTCATTCCGCCCAGAAATACCAGAAAAAGAAAATAAAATAAATAAAAAAAAATTTTTAATCGAAGAAGCTCATCGCAAAATTTTATATGTAAAAGCTATGTAAGATGATCAATACCTCAATATATAAATAAACCTTGGCATTGCTTTATAAATATTAATATTAGGCTGACATCAACACGATAAATACCAACACAGATACTCAAAGCCATGGCAAAGAAAATTAAAATGAATACCGCAATGCGGAAAGAGGCTCGTAAAAGAGAGGACGACTACTTGAAAGGACTTGAAACAAAGATTCAAGAATACGATCCAAAGACTGCTAACTCCAAATTTTTCAAAGATTTACCAATTAGTTCTCAAACATTGAAAGGTCTTAGTGAAGCAGCATTTATTAAATTAACCGACATTCAAAGGGAATCCATCCCTGTTTCATTGAAAGGTTACGATGTTTTAGGTGCCGCCAAGACCGGTTCTGGTAAGACTCTAGCCTTTTTAATACCTATTCTAGAAAAACTTTATCGTGAGAGATGGACCGAGTATGACGGTTTAGGTGCTCTCGTGATATCTCCTACAAGAGAACTAGCAATGCAAATATATGAGGTGCTAACCAAAATTGGTACACATACATCATTATCTGCAGGTTTAGTTATTGGTGGGAAGGATGTCAAGTTTGAATTAGAAAGAATATCAAGAATAAACATTCTTATTGGTACGCCAGGTAGAATTTTACAACATTTAGATCAGGCAGTTGGGCTAAATACAGCTAATCTTCAAATGTTAGTTTTAGATGAAGCAGACAGATGTTTAGACATGGGGTTTAAAAAAACCTTAGATGCCATTATTGGAAACTTACCACCAACTAGACAAACCTTGCTATTTTCTGCAACCCAATCGAATTCCTTATCCGATTTGGCAAGATTGTCTTTGACCAATTATAAGAGTGTAGGGACCAAAGATATCACTAACAAGGACGATGATGAACCCGCCACCCCAAAGACCTTGCAACAGTCTTACGTTATCTCTGAATTGGCTGATAAACTGGACGTCCTATTTAGTTTTATCAAGTCACATTTAAAAGCAAAAATTATTGTGTTCATGTCAAGTTCCAAGCAAGTTCATTTTGTCTACGAGACATTTAGAAAGATGCAACCTGGTATATCTTTGTTACATTTACATGGGAGACAAAAACAAAAAGCCAGAACAGAAACCCTTGACAAATTTAGTAGAGCTCAACAAGTTTGTCTTTTTGCAACAGATGTTGTTGCTAGAGGTATTGACTTCCCAGCTGTGGATTGGGTCCTACAACTTGATTGTCCAGAAGATGTTGACACATATATACACAGAGTTGGCCGTTCAGCTCGTTACGGTAAAAAGGGAAGATCTTTAATAATACTAACACCACAGGAAGAAGTATTCCTACAAAGATTGAAAGCTAAAAAAATTGAACCAGAAAAATTAACAATTAAACAATCTAAAAAGAAATCAATAAAACCACAATTACAGTCATTATTGTTTAAGGATCCAGAATTAAAATACCTTGCTCAAAAGGCATTTATCTCCTACGTTAAATCTATTTACATTCAAAAGGATAAAGAGGTTTTCAAATTTGATTCTCTACCAACAGATGATTTTGCTATCTCCTTAGGTCTTCCGGGTGCTCCAAATATTAAATTTAAGGGAACTAAATCATTTGAGAGAGCTAAAGAATTGAAGAATTCCTCAAGAAAGTTAAAGGCATTGGAAAAGGCAGATGACGATGGTGAAATTAGAGACAAAACTAAGGAGGTAAAGACAAAGTATGATAAGATGTTTGGACGTAAAAATCAAACCGTTCTGAGTGAACATTATATGAACGTCACAGGTGTCCAAGGTGCTGAAAATGAGGAAGATGAAGATAACTTTATGACAATCAAAAGGAAGGATCACATCCTTAATGAGGATGAGTTACCAGAACTATCTCTTCCAACATCCATCAGAGGTCAGAAAAGAGCACTATCCAAGAAGGCTTCTCTTTCCACAAAAGGTAATGCAAGTAAAACAGTATTCGATGATGACGGTGTTGCTCACCCTGTCTATGAACTAGAAGGGGAGGAAGATTTTGCCAAAAAGGGTGATGCTAAGACACAAAAGGATGAGTACCTGAAGAAGGAAACTGAAGTTATGGCCACAGCCGATTCAACAGATAAACAAGTTGCAAAGGAAAAGAGACAAGAAAAGAAAAGAAAGAGATTAGAGGCAATGAGAAGAGAGGAGATGGCTGAATATTCTGATAATGAAGGTGATGTCGAAACTCAAGTGTATTTAGGTACTGGTAATCTGAGTGATGATATGGAAGATGCCGAGTCAGATACCGAGGATCGTCAAAATAAAAGAGCTAGATTCAATAGCACTTCTGATAGTGAGGATGACTCTGACGCTAATGAATACGGTGTCACAGAAATTGATGCTCCAGAGACTCTAGAAGATTTAGAATCGCTAACAGCTAGATTAATCCAATAGTTGTGGTGTATCAAGTTCGTTATTCAAACTAAACGATTAGCATAAGGAATCTACACATATATTTTTACATAGTAACATAATTTGCATTAATAAATAGAAAGAATAAAATATCTATAAGAACGATCCCAGTTAGTTCATATCTTATTTGGCCACACCACTTAGTTTAATAGGCATTATACAAAGTTCATCTTTTACAAAAGTTGCCCATGCAGGATCTTGGATTCTAGCCAAATTATTTTCAAAACGTAGTATATGTCTATTATCCCACTTGAACACAAATAAATTTCTCTCAAGTTGAGAATCGCTGCTATCCTTGATACTTGCTTTGAAGAAACTCCATAGGCCCTTCCATTGCTCTAGGTCCCATTTTATACCCTTTAAGGTCATAATGAATGCCCATACGGTTATATCTCTATTATCATCAGTTAATCTACAGTAAGACTCCTGGTAGGCTTCCGGATTATCTAACGGAAGCACAAGTAACTTAGCAAAGTGTAGTAACAAATCAACATTTGTTTCAACATGTCTACGTAGTCTTTTAAACGGCGTACCCTGAGAGGTCACAGACCCAGTCTTGACACTTTCTAGAATTGAATTCAGTATGTCCTTTAGCAATTGTATATCTAGGAGTAGCTGTTCCCCAATCTCTATAACTTTTTTTGGTTTCAAAATCCTACGACTACTATTTGTTGCAAAAGGTGGCAAAGGTTGTAACAAACGAGTTATACAATCAACATAATTAGACGTCACCAAATCTATTACTTTATCAAAGAAGTTCCATTTGAACACATCTCGACTTAGGAGGTGCATAATATCCTCCAATGATGACTTTGATTGACTCTTATTATTGTCATTTGGAAAAGATGAAAATGTTAGTACTTTCTTTAAGGTAGTAATGTATCTGCTATAATCCTCAACTGCAATATGAGCCCAATCGGTACTATCAAATTCTTTCCAAACAAATGCTAAATCCAATGGTATAACCCTCTTCAATAATAGATTGTTCCCTTTTGCCAAAAGTTCATCATATATGTCCTTTGTTTTTAAAAATATAGTGGAGATATTTGACGGAGTAGAACTTAGTTGAGCTAATTTTTCCTCCAGTTGTGAAATTGTTGTCGAACAATAATCACAAGTATTTACGAGCAGTACTGTATATTTAGTAGTTTCATGTTTGTCCTCTATTTCTAGGTTGTCTGGCAATAGCAATGGGCGTAAGACTCTACTAGAATAGTCAATTAGCCATTTTGAGAAAAAATTTGCTAGAGATGTCAGGATACCATCACTACTACCTTCACCTATCAGTTCCAATGTTTGACTCAAAATAGATCTATAAGTTCTAAAGAGATCAGCACTTGATGGCACCACAAGCGAATCCTGTATATTTTCAGGAACCTTACTCTCACTCATATAAGTGAGAAATTTTTTCTGCATCATACCATCTTGATGAGATACCCAAAGTGATAAATAAGGTTCAAATGCCGCACTTAACTTTTCTGCTTTACACTTATTAGAAAATCTCACATCAATATATTTTTCAAAGTCTAAAGTCACTTGTAATGATCCCATAAATAAGTCAATTGATGGTGTCTTTCCCTGTAGTTCTCTTCTTAATAAGGTATCCAGGTCCTCTTTAGTTATTTCATAAAACTGAGAGGCTAAAGCTAGTGGTATACCCCATGAGGGTGGAAAATAGGCCGCATATTTAGAATTGAAGTTGTTCAATATTTTCTTAAAGAACATGTATCTACGAGATAGATTTTCCAGGGAGCCTGCTTCATCGTCTAGTTGAAAGATTTCTTTTATCTCATAAAGAAGTTTGCTAAGACACCAGTCTATTATTTGTAACTTAGCGCTATTATTCGAATCCAATAATTCACAAGCACCATCTCTAAGCTGGACTTCAAGCTTTTCATTTCCAGGGATTTTACCACTTAATAATTCGTTGAAGATCTTTTTGATCTTATTTAATATATCCGACTTCAATCGTGAAATAGATGATAAAAGAATATTTATTTCCGTGACAGATTTATACGACATGAAAGTTGATTCAGATAAGGAGCACATAATTCTATAGGGAGATACCATCTCCACAAATGAATTAGACTCTGTTAGCAATATACATTGCGTATAACTATCAACCAATATTTTAAGGTTCTGAAATATAGTCAGTGATTGTGTTATATTCTTCTTAGCATTGTCTAAATGCGAAATACCATCAGTTAGTTCCGATATAGTTGAATAGATTTTAGAAGCTGTATTTTGTGTTTCTTGGAAGTCCTGGAACACATCATCCACGACTGAACCACCGTCAGGATTACTGATCGGTGCTATTTTCGATTGCCGAATGTTATTTTCAATGTCCTCCTGTAATTGGAGCTTAACATTTCTAGTTCGTAAAAGTAGTTCATCTATATCATCTAAAGAACCTTGAGACGCGAGTATAGTTGTTATGTCCTCGATCGGATTGTAATTCAGACTATCCAATGACATGATGAAACAAAACTTAGCGTATTGTATTGTGCAACACAGTCGAGAGTTTATTTACAGTTCTTGCCCTATTTTTATATTGATTCTCTGCTCGGTATATACCTCTTTAGTGAGTTAAAAATTATTGAATGGTCTACTTAATACTTTTTTTAATGTTTTCGATACCGCGTAGGTGACACACAGACAGCATTAAGAGTTCTTTGTCCATGTATTTAATATTAAAAAAAATTCCAGATGTGATAAACGGAATAAATTTACATATTTGTAATCCAAACTTGGAACAGTCTAGTAATGTTTTTTTGCAAACACATTATCGTTTTTATGGTGTTGAGATTTTGTTAAATTTGTTTACTATTTGAATAAGGTTACCCTTAGATGTTTTCCAAGAGCAAAAAAAGAGATTATTTGTATATTGACATGTACAAATAAAAAAAAATGCATTCATCTTAATAACAAGATAAAAATAAGTGAGGGTTGTCAACGTCGTTAGAGGCTTATTCCAAGTTATCAGGTTATACTGCATCCTGTTTTTGATAGGTTTGAATAGACCCTTCAATATTTTGCAAAATGTTTAAAAAATCGATCTGTTAGCCTTGTAATACATAAGGAAGATTGAATGACAAAAACGTTTTTTTGTAATGTTTGACTAGAAATAAGGAAATAAATATTAATAATGGGTATCTAACAACTGCAAAATTGTTATTTGCTCGTTCATTACCACGTAAGAGGGTATTAGCAATATGTGTATGGTATTATTATTATTATTATTATTATTATTATTATTATTCTGCGCGTGTGTTTGATGCATACCACTTTATATATGCTATATATAAAACGATACAGTAATGTCGAATATATATTTCTCTTATAATTGGCTTACCTTCTAATTATCTATCATCACGTTATCATTCGATAATATTAAGTGTTATAGCTGTGGAATTAGGCCTAAAAAAACCAATGAATACAAATAATCAGTAGATCGGAATACAACGCAGACTTGGAATTAAAAATTGTCTTCAGACTAAAATAGATATTTATAAAATTTCCAGTTCCTACAATTTTTATAACCATTAATTAACTGTGAAATTTATTTTTTACCATATTGTGACATTTCGACTTTTTTAATACCTCTACTTACCTTATATAAAAGCATACAAATAACTAGCAAGGATTATATCCCACACGTATACTGAGAAAATCTAATACGTTTTTGACATACCTGAATTGAGTTTTAACAAATTAAATTAAATTAGTATTGTAACACAACATATATGTGATTTTTTTAACCTGCACGGTTATTGCTTATGTGAAGTGGTGATGAGATTTATTCAGTTGAGGATTGTAAAATATATAACAATCATTGGAGATTTAGTTTTCTCAAAAGACTACCCCTCCCCTGTTTGCAAAAACTGTCAGTAAGTTCCATGAGGTATAACTTAGCCGTTACTTTGTAACAGCATTACTTAAGGAAGTATTCCTTATCTGATTTTCAACTAATGTGGAGTCGTTGTAATTTCTATATGTACTTCAATTCTTGAGAGAAGCATAAAGCACACTAAAATGCTAAGATATTTATTTACTAATGAAAGATTAAAAATATAATATGATATATAATTGAATAATATAGGAGAAATACTGCTACCTATGCAGATATGTTCAAAAAGATATGTTGTTATCTTCTCCCCGATAACCGGTCAGCGTGCATAAGATGACTGATAATTTCACTAGGAGTTTAAGAGAATCGGATGAAAAGCCCTTGTTGTCGTGTATTTCAGCTTCGCTTAGTGCATCTCGTTTGAATATACCGATCAATAATTTTTTGAATGCTATCAACAGTTTCTTGGTACTTAATATGACATTTTTATTTTGATCACCCGAACTCACCAAAACACAGCACAATAATTGGAATATTGGAGAAATCAATTCGAATAGGGATACACAATTCGATGCATCCTCAAGAACCAAATGATTGTCCAAACTTATATTGATTTTTGCAACACTTGAATTGTTTATTTGAACCTCATCAAATACCAAATTCATTCCAAGATCTGGATCGATTCTCAAGAAAGAGCAACTTTCAATAACTTGGAATAGTTTATTCTCTACCAATGCCTTTGCTCCCGTTCTCGTTTCGGCAATTCTGATTAAAAAGAATACTGTTGTTTTGAAGGCAGTTAATTCATATAATAAATCATCAATACTGATTTGGTAAGGAGCAGAGTCCAACATGTTATCTATATTCTTCAATGAACGAATAATCAAGTGAAGTTGTGCACTCTTTGTAAGGGAGTCCAGAATGAAATTCTCGGGCGTTATGCTACCTATTTGAACTAAGGAGTCTAGTAACAAAATACTTGTAATCCTGTTGGTCTCCTGACCGTATATAGCATCATTACAAACAATCTGTATAAATTGTTCGCAACTCATGCGTAGCGTCTGTAAAACACCTTTGGCTACATGTTTATCTTTTAGCACACGTACCAAATATTGATTCGTTAAAGTGTAAAAATCAGATCTTAAGGGAACAGACGTCATTGGGGATAGGATACCATGAATACATAGCTTGAAAATGTCTGATAGACGGAAATCTAATTCCTCCTGTTGGCCAATAAGTAATCTATCTTTATCATAAACTTCGTATAAGAACACAACTAAAGAGACAAGCTCTTCTGCAAAGGATATATCAAACTCAACATAGTCATTAAGTTTTGGAACAACTGCTGTGAAAACTTCTAAAATAAACTTTGATCTTGATACAGAATCCAATTTTCCATCAGTGACTATTATTTGAACTAACTGAACCCAGGAATGTAAAATGGATAATTGATATTCCTCCGATAGCTTGTTATATAGTAAACCAGTGACATTTTTCTTAACTAAATGCAGTTCTTTCTCAGAATCTTCCAAAAATTTCTTTCTTGGGTCAGGTGCAGTTTGGCTTAGAATCATGCTTGTTGATTGAGGTGGAACCCTTGATTCAATAAATAGTTTTGCTAGCGATTCTACTGAAGAAAAGTCGAAAACCTCATCGTCACAGACATCTTTGAAGGTTATGGTAGCCAAATTAATTGTGAGATCGGAAAATGCGTTTACCAAGTCAGAGGATTCTTTCTCCATAGAGATTCTTGGATAGTTTAAAGTATCAAAAAATGAAAATATTTTTGCAGAATAAATGGTATTAGAAATTAACTTGGATACATATGAAGCGACTTGAGATTCTGTACCGGTAAACGATACTCTATGAATAAATTGACTCAAAAGTTGTATCACATAGGTTTTGTAACATAAAAATGATAGCAATGACCCCATAGATTTACTATTCAAAAATGCCTTGCCGTTCATACTTGCCTTGTCATCAAAGATGCGTCCGTTAAATAACGTGTATTTTGTTACATCTGGATCCAGCTTTATTAAACATGAAAAAAGTTCCATTTTCTCCAGGTGGCTGAATACAATATCAGATGTCATAGGGTTTCGACAAAGTTTCAGCAGTATCTCAATACTCAGACATGCTAGTCTCATTGGAGCGAAATCAATTGTTCTTCTCGTTAATAAATTTAAAGAACTAACTAACAAGGTGGTAACTGAATCCAGTAGAGAAACACCAGAACTTATAAATGTGGATAAATTGGGTCCGTCTGAAATAACATTAGAAACTTGGAATCCCAGAAGTAAGTGACTCACAGTAACTTTATCACTTGAGTAAGAAAGTCTCGACGATAAATATTTCAAAATCTTTATTTTCAATTCCAAATTATATCCAGAACTAATTGATGTATCAATTTGGGTCATAAAAGCATCTTTTATTCTGGAGGATTCGTCAACCGAATCGAGAATGGTTAAAACTTTCTCATCGATTGAATATTCAGGTAGTGCAGCGTTTGAAGACATCGTAAGCTTATCTAATACAGATAGAGACCTGGCTGCCAATTCGTGATGTTCAACACCTACATATAATCCTAGATGAGCAATGGTTGTTAAATTAAAAAACAGAGCGTCATAGAAATTACGCAGGCCATGGAGACCGACATCTTTTGGAGCAAAGAACACATCCTTCCTTTGTTTTTTAAATATAGGAACAAATTCTTCAATATATGTATTCTGGTATTCCAGAATTGTGTCCAAAATAGTGACCGCTAGTTCAATAAGGTGCAATTGATCATCACCACCTTCTAAATCAATCGAAAGCTGGTCAATACCAAACGTAATAATATTTAGGATGGGTTTGTACACCTTATCAGTGAATAAATAGTTAAACATAGCTGGTGCGGATGTTTCTTGTACGTAGGTAGAAAAATTTTCAGATACGACCAATTTATCTAGATCAGCACCTGCAGGACTTGAATTTAAGATGACTGAATAATCAAATGAGAAAAGGGCGCTTTTGATAATGTTCAAAATTGGTTTATAAATGGTTCTTCTTTTATGTTCGTTCTCGATACGTGTGGAAGGATAAAATACGTCATTTAAAATGTAATCAAAATAAGGCCAAATACCTGCCTTTCTATAAGATTGCCCCAATTTACTTGGATATTGTAGAGTCCCAAATTTCAAAAATTCTGAATTTTGAGAACCATCATTTATTAGCATCAATTTATCTAACAGATGTAAAAAGCCTTGTACTTCTGTAAAATTTGTCAAGAAAGAACCAAATGCAGCACGATAGGACTCACTAGAGCTTGTTAGACTGTAGGATTTGAAAATCAGAGAATCTAGTGAGAACCAGAATTTCGATCTCGCCGATGTTTCTTTTGGGACCAAGTAACTCAGGGTCTTAAAACAGGCCCCTACCAATGGTGTTTCAAGTTTTGAAAATTCAAATAGTACATCAGTAAATAAATTTGATAAATTTTGTTTAATGTCTTCATCTACTTCAGATGCTACTGAACTAATAAGTGTGAAAAGTGACGAAAGAAAAACAATAGTTTCTTCATTTAAACCTTCTTCTAATGCAACCTCCGCATTATTTATTTCCGATGTATCCTGTAGTCGTTGTCTCTCCTGTATGACATTTCCTAAACCACTAATTTTAATGACGTAGTCTTTAATACAGGTAGCAATCAATGTCCAAGAAACACTATTATTTTCCCCAAAGTAGTGGAAAACATCGAGAACATTCTTAGATCCAAAGGACAAACTTGCTATCATGAGATAAAAACAAGATCTTATCAATATATCTTTACTTTTAGAAGCCCATTCAATAAAACCGTATGTATTAGATTCCTTGTCATTCCAAAATTCCTCAGAATATTCTGGTCTTGCAGCATAGAAATAATGGATTGCTAAAAAAAATCTCTCTAAATCTGCCTTGACACATATATCATCTAAATTTAGATCTTCACCAGACATTAATGAATCCTCTTCTGCATCTTTTATCTTTGTAAGTAAGAAAGCGCAATCATTTATGATAGTTTGTAGAACTGAATGGAAAGTAGACGCAAACAGGTCGTTGGTAGCCTGAGACATCTGTATTTCATGAAACTGATATTTTGTTTTTGATAGTAAGTTATCGTTACCAGTTCCTGTGGTATGGTTAGTATTTATATTACCGTTTCTCATAATAGGATTCGTCATAATATTGCCTACAGTTGTGTTATCAATATAGGCAGCCTCATTATCAATTAGTTGCTTTGGAATTAACCTTGGAATATGTCTTTCTAAGAGTAATCTCATATTATAATACAATTCAATACTCTTGTTTCTTTCTATAATCGAAGTATCAGCGGAAAAGATTAGTAACTGTTCAATTGCGCCTAATTCAACTGCCGATGTCATTGGTTCATCTATATCAGTTTTGAAATCAATAGTTTTTGTCCTAGATTCTGGAACTTCTTTACACCATATAATAAAAAACGAAAGAAACACAAATGTTATCGAAACTTTAATAGGCTTTTTATAAATGGATTCTGTCTTTAGTTCTTGCAAAAAGTGTTTATGAAGTGCAAACACGTCATTATCAGAGAATCTATCTAAATTTCTAAATGCATGGAAAATCGAGGATAAATAGTAAACAACAAAGAAATCATTTGAATCAAGTTCTGCTGTATGTTGTATGATTTGGAGAATGCCATCTTTACTATTGAAATGACCTCTTTCAACTAATCCATATAATATTTGACTTAAAGTATCGTATTCCTTCAATAAAAAATCACGTTTAAATTTTACATCCTGTTGAAACAGGACATCGTAAGTTTCCAATATTTGGGCTTTATTTATTGTTTGTTTAATTTCAGATAATTGTGTATGGATTGCATTAAAGGACGGTAATACATTTTTTGTCAGGGTATTACTCCTTGTTAAATTTTGATATACTTTATCGGTTGAATGAGGACAATTGACAATATATGCAACGATTTGTAAGATGTACTGTCTTCTAATAAAATATTGAACTTTACCATTTCTGACTAAAGATACAATACTGTTACTGATGCTATTAAGAGCATCCAAATCTGGTAAACTGGAGACAATCAATTGGCAACAGATTAATTCGTCGAGGTTCATAGCATCTGATAGTTGAATTGCCGCATAAATAAAATTTTTACTCAGATTGTATACATTACCATCTGGTAATAGGACCTCATCGGCCTCAAGTTTGGATCGACTAGTAGCATTTTTCACTTTATCACCATTGAGGTTTAAAGATTCAAGATCAGGAAGTAAAGTATTCAATAATTCTTCATCTATTTTCCCGCCCTCAATAGAATTATATAATGATTCAAAAGGTGAGGCACTCCAATTCATTGTCATGTTGATTGATTGATTGGTGTATTTGTTAGTTGTATACTTATACCTACGCTGCAATAATTGGGGTAAAAAAACAACAACAACAAATGGTTCAAATACTACTTTATTTTTATGAAGATCGTATTTAAATCCTTTTGTTTTATTTAACATATTTCATCTTAATAAAAATTTAACATTAAAAACATCTTAAAATGAATAACATCGAGAGCGAAAAATAAACCAAAATTTAATGTTAAAGTGTAGTTACCCGCACATCTAAAAATATATTAAAAAAAAAGAAAGTTAGCACTCACACTGGGGGTCGAACCCAGAATCTTCTGATTAGAAGTCAGACGCGTTGCCATTACGCCATGCGAGCTAAATTTCTTAAAGTTTTCTACTGGACACGTAACTTTTAAGGAGTTAAAAATTTAAAAATTTTGTGAATAAGTTTAAAAAATGCTTCAAAATATTGGATACGAGCTCTAAAAGGTGTCGGAATTTACATGATAGAAGAATGACGTCAAGAATATAAAATATAAGAATAAAAGAATAATAAAGATTGTCAGATTTGATAATGTTCA